TAATTAATGAGATAGCATAGCAAAATAATGACTTAGCATCTTTAATATATGAGATAGTATCTAAAATAAATGACCTAGCACCTCAAATTAATAACAGTATCTCAGAACAATAATGTAGCATCTCAATTTATGACAATCTCTCAAAATAATGACTTAGTATCTCAAATTAATGATGATATTAATCATATTAATGATAATGGCATCTCAAATTAAAGATAGTATCTCAAAATAAAGACTTAGCATCTCAAATTAAAGATAATATCTCAAGATAATGACTTAGTATCTCAAAATAATGAGTTAGCATCTCAAATTAATGAGAGTATCTCAAAATACTGACATAGCACTTCAAAAATAATGACTTATTATAGCAAAATAATGGCATAGCAATTAACCTAACAACAAAAAAATAATAACTAGGGCCTCCATACAGAAGCTGCAGTGTGTCGCCGAAATACCACCGTTTTTACACACGTCAATCTGCTTTTCTACAGATGGGTCTAGATCCGGATCACAGTCCACCAGTTGACGACCCCTAGTCTATAAGAACAGTTCACCTTAGCTGACCTGATTACAAAAAGTTTTATGCATTTACTTCCCTACAATAAGTAGGGAAGTAAGGGTGTAAGATATGATGATGACGATCACTTATGACTCACTTCCCCAACAGCAGCGAAAAGCAGTACTGCTGTTTGCCATAATGACTAAGCTTTGTATGAGGGGCTAACGCAAACTTCCTGTGTCACTTTGATTCCCTCTATACTCATCTCAAAAAGTTTAAGCAAGTTCTAGTATCAGAGCAAATATGTGCCAAAATCCAGATACTTAGCCGTACTATTTAAATAAAGTGATGCTCATAGAGACGGTCTCTTTCAGAACTGATTCAGTTAATCAGTCAATGTTGAACAACATTGCAATCAGCAATGCTGAAATCAAGCCATCTAATATCTTCTGATTAGTCTTTTTTGGACATCATGGTGTAATTATAAAAGAACCCCCCCCTTATATAGACTCAGGGCTAAATGATGTCTGTTCTACAAAACAGCTTTGGTTCCTGTAAAGATGAAACCCAGGTTTGGGTGTGTGTCCAGTTTTAGCTGCTACAGCTATAAAATATCTAGAAACCATCACGGCCAAGACCTAGTTTGTGGAATTTGGGTCAGTATGATGCAACTTAGAATCACAGGCCGTGAATAGATCGTAATTTAGGTTATACTGCAATATTACAGCAACCAGTGGCCACTTTATTAGGTACACCTAATAGGCTGTCATGGGTTTTATTACATTTACATTTTGCCCCCTAAAAAATTAACTGACTGTGCAACTGTGCCATGATTGCAGTGCCAACATTATGATTGACCCAACAACAGGGCAGAAGCTCTCTGAATATTGTGCATGCGTATATACAGCTGTATGCAAAAGTTTGAAACCAGTCAACATGTTTTATTGATGTTAGATAGATTGGATTGGATTGGATTGCATTGGATGGATGGATAGTTCATTGATCCTGAAGGAAATTTAGCAGCCACTATAGAATATATACAAAGACCTATCTACAGGCATATATACAACTACAAATAGACAAAATTTTCTAAGTGAAAATAAATGAACTCCTTAAAATCCCAGGCTTATTAGATACTAAGGCTTATTATTCAGTAACTACAAGGACTTCAGTTCAAACTGGCTGAGCTATTCTTAGATTATAGAAGTGTGTAATGAAACTTTGGGCCTGCTGCTGCATGTAAAGGGGTTAATGCATCCTCTACACATTGCATCATCTTCACATTTTAGTGCTCAATTACTATTTATTTGCTGTGTTTAAGATATTTATTCAAATTGCACAAGAACTTTTGCACATGCTACATTTTATGTTTTATTCTTTCCCCCAGGATGTTAAATCCAGCAAATAAAGTGTGTTCTCTATAGAGGATAATGTTCACTTATTTTCACTTAGAAAATCAACAAAATGTGTCATCTGACCAGGTGCGCACAAACTATCGCATATGACTGTGAAGGTTTCTAATTGGCTCTTTGGATGTACAGCGTCAGGTTGTGGGAATAGCCTTTAATAAAGAAACAAAAGTGGTTCCTCTACTGCATCGCTCCCCTTTTTGGTTCCGTTTGGCACCTTTATTTTTAAGAATGTACTTAATCCCATTAATTTCTCTTACATTTTCATTACATTTAACAGTTCCACTTAATAACAAAGTTACCCTTCTTTGCAAAAAAGAAAATGAAAATAAGAAAATCCCTCTTCCAGTCAAAATGCTTAAACTCTGAAAGTGTTTTATACATGATTCTAAAGGAATTAGCTCAAATCAGAGCTCAGACTTTTAACTGACTTGGATTTAAGTCCTTTTGCTTTGAGTGACCCTATACTTTAATTATGTTTATTTCATTAAAATTAGAAAATATGTTTTTCAGTACAGACAATTCTTAATGTTCCACACTGATTTTCAGACTTTGAGACTCATTTACTTTAAAATAATAGCTCAAACTGCTCACCATGTGGCCATGAGGGACAGGGGTGCAGTCTCACTTCCTGCTCTGAAATGCAGGGGTGTGGCTAAATGCAGGGGTCTCCGACCTACAGACTAAAACATTTTGTTTCGCTAGCAACATCAAAACAGAAAAAATCTGACATTTTCATTTAAAACTTCAATTCATGGTAAATCTGAATCTTTCAACTTAAGAAATCAAAAAGATCTTTAAAGAAAAAACAGTAAAAAATGCAAAAAATGTTAAATGTTAATTATTTTCACAAATTTAGGAGTTAAGATTTGGGACAGACTCCTCCCAATAGAAAGTACCCTATAATTATGATTTTGTATATATTTAGTCTATTACTATCTCTATTAATGCCTTGGGTTTAAATACATAATAACCTTGTAAATATCTGAGCTCTGAATACGTCATTGTTTTTTTAAATATCTACTGTGGGGCTGCAGTTTGAACTTCTTCGGTAGAACGGTGCGTTTACTTTCCAGTGGACCGACCTTATTCTGACCCCCAATTATAACTCAGAGCAAATCAAGTGGTCATAGAAAGCACCGAGTAGGCAGCATCTGAGCGGATCTGACTCAGTTACAATTCTGTAATGCTGATAGATGATGTCATCAGCCACATTGGACACAGGAAGTGATTGTTTTCTTCTGTATTCGTGGTGAAAGTGTGCTGCAGAGGTCAAACCTGAGCTTCAGCATTTTCTGCTGTAATGGAAAAAGTTACTTACATGACCTTTGATGTCTACAGAGAAAATACACAGCTAACTTCAAAACCTGCCATACCCAGCCTGTAAGTGCTTTAACAATGCAACGTATCATGATTGTTCTCATATTGCTTTATGATTGTTTTAGAATTTATACTCTTTTCTTATGGTGACTATTTATTTCCTTCTGAATTACAGCTGATTACAGGATTTAGCTCAGGGAGAACTGCTAAAATAAAACAAAAAGCGTATAATATGAGTCAACTGCTGAGTCAATTGTGCCTAGCAATGTATTAAAAGCACACAAATGTATAAGGCCTCATTTACATATTGCAGCTTTTAGTGATATCAGTATTGAAACGGCCGTAATCGCAATATAGCAGTATATTGTACAGACCTTCTCCTAAAATACTGGGAATGTGTTTTGAGAACATCACTAGGGTTCACTTTTTCTTCCCACCACTCTAGTGATGTCCTCAAAACACATTCCCAGTATTTTAGGAGAAGGTCTGTACAATATACTGCTATATTGTGATTACGGCAGTTGCAATACTGATATCACTAAAAGCTGCATATGTAAATGAGGCCTTATACATTCATGTGCTTATAATATATTGCTAGGCATATCATACTCAGAGTACATAGCAATATAATTGAAATACAGTGCTTTATCAATCCCATACAGCTCTAATTAGGAGAGATTTAGCATAAATGAAGGCCATTCACTTTGATTTGGTATATTTGGCCTGACCAAAATAATTCCAGTAACCAATAATACAATGTGACTCGATTCAGGGTGGGCCAGTAATGAAAATGGGTGGGCCTGGGCCCACTGTGTCCAATCACGATGCTGCCCTTGCACTGTCTGGTTTGTGTCAATTACCTCTTATTTTTCATCCGTTCTCTTCATAGAAATGTGTGTGTAGTTGCAGGTTATCCTCATGCTAAAGATCATGTTTGGATACATTTTGCATGTTTTTATAATTTTAGCCATGATGTTTTGTTTTCAAACTGAGCAGTTCAGCCTGTATTTCTGTCACAGTTAAAGATGGACCTGATTGTCTCGATCATATAAAGTTGTGCCCTATGGTCAAGGGGTGGCTTGTTCCTATCCTGGCGATGCTGTGAACAGTATTACTGTAAACGACTGACATTTTGACCAATACTGATAGTGAGCCGTCCATATCCGCCAATATTACTGACCAATTGATATATGTGCCTTTCTACTGAATTAGTTCAAACTGCGGTTGCACAGTAAAACCCCTAAAAACAACACTAAATGTAAAGAAGTGAAGTAAATTATATTTACACAGCACATTTAAAACCGTAGTGCTTTCCAATAAAACACAATGAAGTATTCAGTCCTTAGATATTTACAAGGATGATGATATGATCTCTTTAAACCCAAGGCATTAACAGAGATAGGAAGAAGCAAAATATATATAAAAAAATAATAATCATTTATAGGGCACTGTCTATTGGGAGTTGTCTGTCCCAAACCTAACCCCTAAATTTTAATAATCTAATATTTTTCAGCCTTTTTAAGTAGTTTAATTTTTTAAAGAAAAAAAAACTTTATTCAAAAATTCTGTCCTGTTTTCACGTCACTACCGAAACACTAAGAGTTATAATCTATAGGCGGAGCTTTATTTTAGCCACACCCCTGCATTTTAGAACAGGAAGTGAGGCTGCATCCCTGACCCTCATGGCCACATGGTGAGGAGTTAGATCCGATTATTTTGAAGTAAAGGTGTCCCAAAGTCTGAAAATCAGTGTGTAACATTGTCACTACTGAAACATATTTTCAGCAATTACATACATTTTATGATTATGATTTTATGTGTGTACAACTGTCCAAAGCTGTGTCTGCTAGTCATGTACTGACTAGCGTTTTTGAGTTCTGCACAAAAAGAGGCAAAATTCTCACAACTGAAACAGTCACTACTGAATCATTTGGTAAAGTTTCAGTAGTGTTATGACAGTGTTTTGGCAGTGACAAAATGGAACTACAATCATTTGTTTAATAAAATGAACATAATTAAGGTATTGGATAATTCAAAAGGGTTTTAAAGTCTAAGTCAACAATTCGGTAGAATGCTCCACACCAATCGGGCTGTTGTATAGTCTGAGACGTGCTCTGGCTTCTAGGTTCCGGCCCTGACCGCTTCATTTAAGCAAATTGAGTCACTGGTTTTACTTTCCCCCAGACTGAAATCTGAAGGCATCAAATGTCAGGAGGTTCTCAGGGGCACGTAGGAGTAAGTAACTCAATCTTCAGAGACACAAGGGCTGTCCAGGATGTCAAACACAGCTCAGTTTACTGAATTCACAAACTGCAGCATGGGTACAAAACAAGATGGAAATCGGCTCCGAAACCAGATACCTGCAATAAGGCCGCTCTCTTCAGAATGAATGCATTTCTTATTTGAGTGCAAATTGTGTTTGTACGCCGCACCAATATGACCCTCGCTATTATCATTCACGACCCCAATTTGCATTCTCGTTCCTGGTCCTGTCTGTCTGTCTTCCCCTCCGCTGCGTCGTCATGGAAACGGATGATGGGGAAGTCGAGCTGCTGCTCCATCCAATTGGCCACTGTCAGCAACTTCATGTCCTGGAAAGACTGTCCAATCAGCTGCAGGCCGATAGGAAGGCCTCTGCTTGAGAGCGCTGTTGGTACGGTAACGGCAGGAAGACCTGAAGGTGTGGAGAGACAGAAGACAGATTTCATGGCCATGGATCTTAATATATACTCTTGCGAATTCAACTAACGGCTCAAAATAGGTGGGAGATCGAATCTACGGCAATCGTAAAATGCAATGCGGTCATTTAAGGAGGACGTAAGCACTGACGTAACCACCTGGATATCTTTAATAGCCCTGGATTTCAGCCTTTTTACACATTAACAACAGCAAAATTAAAGAAAATTGACCAAATGCTGCAACGCTGAAGCCACACCAGCTTTCGCTGCTGGTTTCAGGGAGCGTTTGCTTACTTTGTCCATTTAAAAGTTAACTAACTGCATAGATAACGTGGTTAAAACACTAACTTAGGATAATAAAGTTTGTCTCAGCAATTCGCTCAACATCGGCTTTTCGAGCTCCTGTGTGGGGTCACGCTGCAGTCAAACTAGCTCATATTAACACTGTGGACGTAATGAAAATGAAATCACTTGCAAATGGGTTAAAACAGGTGTGTTTGGAAACCACACAGGTTTACCACACAGACCAATCCAAAGCTGACATTTTTAAACCTACATGCTGAAAAGCAGTTAGCAACGGTTGCTGAGCAGTGATTGGAGGGCTGAGGAAAGTGGGGACTAGGAGTTGAGATGGCACCGCCCTATGGTAGCACATGGCTTGTGTCATATACTGGGTACTGTACAGTTACACTACTATGAAGAGTAGCATGTAGTGTTCAGTCTATACTGATGCAGTACGCAGTATACAGTACACAGTATACTATACTGAACACAGCCAATGTATATATACTCTATATATTTCCACCTACAATACAACTTTCTTCTGAAATTAAGAGCATTAATAGGATGTTTGTCCTCCTTTGCTGCAGTAACAGCTTCTGCTCTTCTGAGAAGGCTTTACACTAGATGTTAAAACATTGCTGTGAGGATTTGATTGCATTCAGCCAGAGGAGCATTTGTGAAGTCAGGTATATATGTTGGATTATTAGTTCTGGATCACAAACGGCACTCTAAGGCCCAATCCCATTTCACCCCTCGCCCCTACCACTGAGCCCTTAGCCCTCTGTTTTGCGTGTTCACGTCTAGGGGTAGGGTGTCCCAATTTTTGTTTAGATAGAGGGGTAGGGTGAAGTGTTAGGGTTACATGGCCCTCCAAACAGAGGTTTTTCAAAGACTCCAAACAGAGTGATATGAGAAAAAAGAAAAACCGGCAAGATGGCTGAACAAGAGACCAAAGAAACCCAAAAATATGAGAATTTTCTCAGTTAAAAAATACGATAACCACTGTATTTTCTTAGTTTAATGTAATTTCAATGTATTGTGGTAATTTTCTTCGTAAAAAGCATAAAAAATCGCTAATAGCATGCTAATGTCTCGGTAGCTAACTAGCTAACTTTCCCGTTCCACCTTAAATAGTCCAGCAGTGTTGACGCCTGAAGCACCAGAATGTAACTGCTGCACCGTTTAAGGTAGAACGGGAAAATTCTAACAAGAAGCTGGCGAATAGCTGACTGTTCAAAGAATGGATAAAACTAAATTGTGAAAGAGGGAACAGGCTTACGATTGAATAGCACTGGGTAATGGAAGATAATGGAAGCGTTGACCTGTCAGACTATTCAGACATCCTCTCGGTTCTGGTACAGCAATGGAGCCATTTAAAAACAAAAAAAACAACTGTTCTGTGAAGTGGGGTCAAAGGTCTGGACTTAATAAACAATTTATACTCAGCCTAAAGACAAACTCCAACTAAGCCAACTATCGGTTTATTGTCAAACACCCTTTTGGGAGGACAGCTGCTTTCCTTTAACATGAAAGATGGATTGACGAGTTAAAGGTACTTGGCAGCTTTAGAACAATGGTGTTTGCTGGGTTTTTTGTGTTTAGTCTGTTGGGCCAGTGTGCAGATTGGGGGATTAAATGGTGAGATCATCAGAGAGGTCAGTAAAGGTCAGGGCAGAACAATAGAGGCTAATCATTAGAGCACATTCCTAAGTTCCTTTTGGTCGTTACAGGTAACTGATTATGTTTACTCATGACGCTTTTGTTAGCTCTGTAGTCACGTTTAGCTTTAAGTAGTGAACCAAAATGGTTCTTTCGTTTTTGTTTTTATGTCTTTTATTAAAGGCATTGTTGTTAATAATGTTGATTGATTTAAATACAATTTACAAGTAATTACATGATTTGCCATAGTCTTAAATCAGGGTTCCAGACTAACACCGTCCTATTGGATGATAAAAATAACACATAGGACGAAGCTTAAACAGGTTTAGGAGGCTTCATGGACGATTAACTTGTGTGTGTTAACACTTAATGTCGGTACAGCACAGTCATTAAATCATGAACATGCCAGCAGTTCATGTCTACTGTAAATATAGCAAAGTTTACTTTAGACATTCAGAAATTATGCTAATTTCCATTAGCCTGTCAATGGGAATTCCTATATAATATTAGCATCAAGCTAACGGTTATGTCCATTCACGCTTTTTAGCATGCTCTGCCTTAAACATGGATAATTAAAGCCAGAACTTTGTTGGAGTTTTACTGTCGCTCTAGAATATTTTCAGATATGGAATTGACACAATAAAATAAAACGAACACAAAGACACAAAGAAAAACAAAATTCTCAGGAACAGAGCTATGAATTTTAAGGGAAGAAGTGATACAAATAATTATACAGTGTTTGGTAAAGACGCCTTTAACTTTTAATCAAGAATCACAGCTTCCTTATTAGAAAAATTATGCCTATAAATTCAACTTTTAAACTGAAAATTCAACTTTTAATTGTAGGAATTTTGTTTTGGTGTGTAAGATTTCATTTCTCATTGGTAGGAATTTAAGCAATGAATTTCCAGTTCATTATAAATGCAGTAATAATTTTTACGAACGTGAATTAAAGTTTAATGTGGTCATTTTTTGTTTGAGATACAGCAAATCTAATTATCATTAGCTTTTTTTTCTATTTGTCAGAATCCAATGGGCGCATGTGAAAATTAATTTCAACTAGTAAATATTAAATGTCAAATAGTAAAAATAAAAAAAAGAAGTGAATTTTCTCCAAAAAATGTCACCATGTGTAAATTAAATTTCTTGGTAAAATCCATTGCAAATTGAAAGATAGAATTAAAAGCTAAAACTGCTTGGAATAAAATGCTGTTGTAATACATGCAGAACGTGGTTTGGAATTTTCTTGCTGAAATAATCAAGGCCTTCCCTGAAAAAGACGTTGTCGGATGGCAGCATATGTTGCCAAAACATATGCACTAATGCACCCCTATACCATCATGAATACTGGAATTTAAACTGTGCACTGATAACAATCTGAGTGGTCCTTGGCCCGGAGGACACAGTGTCCATGATTTCCAAAAAAGAATAAAAATATTGATTTGTTGGACCACAGCATGCTTTTCTACTTCGCCTCAGTCCATTTTAAATGAGCTTGGGCCCAGAGAGGGCGGCAGTGTTTCTCGATCATGTTAATATACAGTTTCTTCTTTGCATTTTAGAGTTTTAACTTGCATATTTGCATGCAGCGACAAACTGTTTACGCAGACAGTGGTTTTCAGAAGTGTTTCTGAGCCCATGCAGTGATTTCCACTATAGAATCATGTCTGTTTTTTATGCAGTGCCGCCTGATGGCCCAAAGATCACAGCCAGCAAATACTGGTTTTTGGCCTTGTCCCTTACATACAGAGTTTTCTCCAGATTCTCTGAATCTTTTAATGATATTATGTAGCGTAGATGATGAAAAGCAAAAGTTATTTGCTGTTTTATGTTGAGAAACATTACTCTTAAATTGTTGGACTATTTGCCTGTGCAGTCTTTCACAGAGTGGTGAACCCCTCCTCATCTTTTCTGGTCATTTAAAAATAAAGTATGTATGTTTTGGGTACATAAACCCACACTGATGTTATTAGTGGGGAATGTTATAAGGTGAAATTTAAATATAAGAAAAATACAAGATACAGGCCTTTTAAGGATCAAGTGAATTAAGCAATCTCAAATAGATGATGCTGTTATTTATAAAAGTACAGACAAACTTCAGATGTATTTCTAATGAACCACTGCTGTAACTTGTTTAGATAGAGCTTGATTCTGTGCATGCGCTGCGCACCTGCCATGTTGACTGGCTGGGTGAAGATGTCTTCCTGAGCGCTGCGTGTGCGATTGTCTTCCTGGATGAAGTCAGAGTAGCGCGCTGCATCGCTCAGCGTGGTGGGCGTGAGAAGCACATCAACACCTGACTGGAACACGCGCCGGAAATCTTCTGTAATCAGACGTCTGATCTGCTGGGCCTTCACAAAGTAACGGTCGTAGTTCCTGCACGTGGGAAGAGAAATTACCACAACAAATTCTATTAAAGGCTTGGTGGAACATTTACAGTTTTCCCCTCAGCCCAAATGTCGATCAGACAGGTTGTCTGTGGTCATGCACTGGAGCTAAGAGGCTAACGCAAGTAGTGGAAGTTTATACCAGAGACATTATAAAGGAGGAGACAGGTCACTTGTTGGAAAATGAATGGTAAAGCTTGTTACACTCATCATGGTGCATGTTTATGGAGATAGAACAGCAAATTAGCTTGCTGGTAAGGACACAAGTGGGAATTGCCACCCTCAGCTGTGAAGATCTGCACAAGCACAGTAGCCAGAACAACCTGGAAAACATATTTTTTGTGTTATTTGAGCCAAACCTTACAAACTATGGGATTATGGGACTAATTTCATTTATGTTTTTAAAACGACCTTCACTTTTTGAGGTTTTAGGTCTCTTTTCATTCAAAGAAATAGGTTCAGTTCAGTGCCATATTACAGAAACTTCCTATCTTTTGTCCTACATTAAGCTCCGATAAGGTCAATATAAGATTTAGATCACATAATACTATTCTTATCTTACATCATATTATCTCAAGTTAGGAAATCCACAACTATTCGATTGAAGTCGATAATCAGCTCTTATGTCTGTTACCTAGATACAGACGATACGTGCACATTTGAAACATAAGCACATTAAAAATGACGTCCAATTTGAAGTTAGTCAGCTTGACAGCTACCACTACTGATGTAAACAAGGTTAAAACAAAACTAAGTTTCAATTAACTGAAACTTAGGAATGTTGCGACAGCGCCCCCTGCTGTTTATCATAGAGTTGCAGCTCCCCAGTTTCAGTTTCCATTTCCCAAACGCTTTAGCCAGCCTTCGAGCTGCACTATGTTATTCCTCCTAATAAATAACTACACATGCAACTCTGCCTCCTCATTATTCACCACCATGGTGATGCAGCATTTGGGGCTTTTAAAATGAAGAGTTAGAAAAAAAATCTCACAAATGTAAACAAAGCTTTACAAAATAAATGCATGTAACGCCATTATGCCAGTTATAGTTATAGAGAATTATGCTGCCTGTAACAGTTGTCTAAAAACAATAGAAACAAACTGTTAAAAAAGAAGTTAGGCCACCATTGGACACCGAGTGGATGAATCTGTGAACATCCTGAAAGAGCATTCAAAGAACATCCCATTCCAAAACCATGCACTTTAATATGGACTCGCCTCCCTTCGCAACTATAACAGCCTCTACTCTTCTGGGAAGCTTTCCACAAGATTTTGGAGTGTGTCTGTGAGAATTTGAGGTTCAGTCAAAAGAGCATTTGTGAGGTCAGGCACTGATGTTGAACGAGAAGGCCCAGCTCACGTTTGATGTTCCAGTTCATCAAAAAGGTGTTCAATGTGATGAGCTCCGTGGAGTTCCTCCACACCAAATGCCTCAAACCATGTCTTTATGGACCTCGCTTGCACAGGAAAAGGTCATGCTGGAACAGGAAAGGGCCTTCCCTAAATTGCCTTCTACGCTGTAGACTGGGGTTCAATTCCCGGCCTAGGTAAGCACCCTGCACTATACTAATAAGAGTCCTTGAGCAAGGCTCCTAACACCACCTTCGCCTATCTGTGTAAAATGATCAAATTGCAAGTTGCTCTGGATAAGAGCGTCTGCCAAATGCCATAAACATTACCCTTCACTGTCTAGCCCAAACCCTGAAAAATGGCCCTGGACAATTATCCCTCCCCAGCCAAACCTTACAGTTGGCATTATGCATTCCTGTATCTGCATTCTCCTGGCATCTGCTTTTGCTTTACACCACTCCAGCCAACGCTCGGCATTATGCATAGTGATCTTAGGTTTGTGTGCAGATGCTCGGCCATGGTAACCCGTTGCATGAAGCTCCCGACGCACAGTTCTTGTGCTGTTGTTGTTGCCAGAGGCAGTTTAGAACTCTGTAGTGAGCGATGCAACAGAGAATAAGCGACTTTTACAGCACTTGGCCGTCCCACTCTGTGAGTTTGCTCCTAGACTTTTATTCACAAATAACAGCACTTACAGTTGACCAGAGCAGATCTAGCGGGCCAGCAAATTTCGTGAACTGATCGGTGGTATCTATGACAGTGACAGACTCACTGCGCTCTTGAGTATGACATATTATACTGCCTATGTTTCTGGCTATGTGCATGATTTTATAAACTTGTTAACAATGGGTGTGGCTGAAACACTGGAAGTAAATAAGAGGAAGTTGTCCACATACTTTTGGCCATATAGTGTATATCGGTCAGGCATTCATTTAAACTACAATTAAGGTGGAATTAAGATGCTTTGTGCTGAACTTTGTGCTATGATGTCAGGAAGGAAGCATCTCACTGTTTCAATAAGAAGTAGTTCCCGGCAAGGATCCTGCTGCGGACAACGCTGTTGAAGCCCTCGTGACGTGTAGTGGCGTAAAGTGCTTCAGTAGAGCTGTCCACTGTGCTCCGGTGACCTGAGGAATGACATGCAGAGGAATACAGTGAGTTGGATGTATTCATTTGCCAGGCTGGCACTGTCAATGAGGCTTTTTCTTTACTGGCTTCCTACGGCGTTAATAATGTTAAAATGTAACTGGGTTAATGGTTAGTTGCGCAATGGTTTATATGGTTTAGTCTATTAAACACCCAGCCCACTTTATATATTTGCTTTACTCCAGCCAGGTAGTTCTTAATCTTATCTTGAGCCCAACATAGCAACACACAAACACAACAAAGATAATAAAAATGTAAGGTACATTTCCATACAAGACTAGTCAAGCAAAACAGATTTTAAAGAGGCTAAAGTGGCTGTTTGCTCCAAAATTGTTCTCAAACATTCTCAAACTGTCTATTGTTTAAAAATAAAGGTCGTTCTTCACAGATTCTTGCTACACCTTTCCTAGCACTGCATTGATTACTTTGCCTGGATAAACATATAAATATGCTACACTAAACAGTATTTTATGTGAATGTAATTATTTCCAAAGCTCTTCCCAGTAGCCCAGTATCTACACCCACAGTCTCCGTCCATTACCTACTTCAGGTAATTAATCCGTCATATAATAATCTGTATATATATATATATATATATATATATATTGTTTTACTAGCAAAAAGTAACTGCCCAGATAAAATCATTAAACCATGTAAACCGTTTTCTAAAGACTTCCATTACATTTAAGGCATTTGGTAGACCCTCTTATCCACAGTGATGAGAACTTTAATATATCAAAGGTAGGTGAACATAACATTGGGAGTCTTGTCCAAGGACTCTTATTGGTGTAGCATGGCGTGCTTGCCCAGGATATCAGTATATCCACTACTCTACAGTAGGTTTGCAAATCTCTAACCTCAAAACAGTTCATTACGAGATTATTCAGTGCATCACTGAATCTCAAATCTCACAATTTTGTACATTTCAGAATTATTAAAACACAGTCAAACTTTACACGAGACTACTCTTATTTTGCCTTCGCTGCAATGCCAATATTTATATTTACTGTTAAGCAAATATCCGCTGGTACCTGATATGATTCTGATGTCGTCGTGCATCTCCTGTTTTCATGCTATCAAAATTTTTTTTTTCTGAATTGATAGATGTTTTTAGGTTGATTATTTTGTTTTCCAGTGGGCAAATGGTAAAATCCCAAATCTCTGTTGACCTTAACTGCCATTACAGCCACAAAGTAAACAACTATTGCACATTTTGTACTTCACAAGGTGCTTGTGAAGTACAAAATGTGGATTCGTTTTAACAACCTGATGAGCTTCACTGCTCACACGACTATGCTGAGGACACATGGAGAATAGCATAGCAATGGCCGGCCTAGCAACACCTCAGCATTTAACTAGAATAACATAGTAACGGCCTAGCAGTAACTTAATAACCACCTGGAACGGCACAGCAATGACCTTCGCCACCCCCTAGGATTGCATAGCAATTACCTAGCAACACCTTAGAAATCACCTGGGATAGCACAGCAGCACCTTAGCAACCACCTGGGATAGCATAGCAACAGTCTAGAAACACCTTAGTGACCACCTAGGATTGCATAGCAATGGCCTGGGAACTTCTTAACGACCGCCTAGGATTGCACTGCTGCGGCCTACTAACACCTTAGCAACCAACTGGAATACTATAGCATAGCAATGGCCTAGGAACACCTTAGTGACCACCTAGGATTGCATAGCAATGGCCTGGGAACTTCTTAACGACCGCCTAGGATTGCACTGCTACAGCCTACTAACACCTTAGTAACCACCTGGAATACTATAGCAATGGTTTAGCGGCACCTTGCCAACCACCTGGTAGACAATAGCAACAGCATAGCCACAACCTACCAATCATCTGAAACACAACCACCTAGTAACACCTTAGCAATCACCTTAACAAACCCTTCGTAACACCTCATTAACCACCTCTTTAGCTTTAAATAACCCATAAACTAAAGAAGAACATAAAACCCTCTCAGAGTGTGAACTACCCACTACTTTCAACCAACCAGTACTATACAAACTTAATTAAGTTATTCAAAGCAATCGCAAACAAATCAAATCAACAGTTACCGCATCTTTCATTCTTATTAGCTGGATTTGTTGAAGTTCGTTCACGAACTTTTCCTTTCTAGTTATAATTTATTCCTCTGTTTTGACACAGTAAAGTCACTACCTTTATACTGATATATCCTGATGCACCCCTGCACTATTATACCCCTGCTGTACTGCTGTGCTGAGATCAGGGCGTAGATCAGGTAGCTGTTGCGTACCGTATTGCAGGCCGTCGAAGCGCGCCATGTTGGACGCCACCTCGCAGCAGCAGAGCATGTGGTAGCAGACGATGGAGTGCTGCGTGTGAGGGAGCGAAACCTCTTTGACTCGCGCCCCAGCACGCTCAAACAGGGCCACCACACGCCCCCACTGCGCCAGGGTCTCAGCCGACATCCCCGGGGCATGATACTCCTGCAGCATCACATGAGAATTTAGGGGGAAAAAAATTGTCGTTACAGTATACAATGATCAGGCATAACATTATGACCACCTCCTTGTTTCTACGCTCATTGTCCATTTTATCAGCTCCACTTACTATATAGGCGCACTTTGTAGTTCTACAGTTACAGACTGTAGTCCATCTGTTTCTCTGCATACTTTGTTAGCCCCCTTTTACCCTGTTCTTCAGTGGTCAGGACCCCCATGGACCCTCACAGAGCAGGTACTATTTGGGTGGTGGATCATTCTCAGCACTGCAGTAACACTGACGTGGTGGTGGTGTGTTAGTGTGTGTTGTGCTGGTCTGAGTGGATCAGACACAGCAGTGCTGCTGGAGTTTTTAAACACCTCCGTGTCACTGCTGGACTGAGAATAGTCCACCAACCAAAAATATCCAGCCAACAGCGTCCTGTGACCACTGATGAAGGACTAGAGGATGACCAACACAAACTGTGCAGCAGCAGATGAGCTATCGTCTCTGACTTTACATCTACAAGGTGGACTGACAAGGTAAGAGTGTCTAATAGAGTGGACAGTGAGTGGACACAGTGAGGTGTTTAAAAACTCCAGCAGCACTGCTGTGTCTGATCCACTTGTACCAGCACAACACACACTAACACACCACCACCACGTCGGTGTTACTGCAGTGCTGAGAATGATCCACCACCCAAATAGTACCTGCTCTGTGAGGGTCCATGGGGGTCCTGACCACTGAAGAACAGGGTAAAAGGGGGCTAACAAAGTATGCAGAGAAACAGATGGACTACAGTCTGTAACTGTAGAACTACAAAGTGCACCTATATAGTAAGTGGAGCTGATAAAATGGACAGTGAGCGTAGAAACAAGGAGGTGGTCATAATGTTATCCCCAATCGGTGAAGTTGTATGCAAAAAATACAACATAAAACATAAAATTTGGCATCTGCATAAGTGTGGACAGCTTTTCATTTATACTTAGTAAGACCCCCATTGCCTGAAATCACAGCCTCCAAATATTTCTAGCTGTCAGCTAACATTCTTTCTGTTCTAGATTTAGGAATTTTTCCCTGCGTTTCCTTACAGAAGTCAAGTATTTCAGAAATATTAGTTCATTAGTTCACTAGTTTATTAGGCTTACTCTTGCTTGAAGTAGTTCACAGTTGATTTAGATATAAGCTTGATTGAGAAAAGCTTGATAAGACCACCTCAATGATCAGTTGGCAAGTTGTTTTTTTTTAAATGCTGCTCCTTTTTTCTTCAACGATACCTCTGGTGACTGGCGCCAAAGAGTGCAATTTTTGTTCCATCAGATGATGGAAATTGCCTCTGGCTTACCTAGATGTTGTTTTGCATACTTCAGACATTGTCTTTTATGATAAGGTGTTAAGGTTAACTTCTGAAGACCCTTCCGTGTACATGATGTTAGTTCAACAACACGGCACAGTGGGCCACTGCGTCACTATTTCTGTGCCAGCCAAGTTGCCTTGTAGGTACTTGGCAGTGACGTGGGAGTTTTGCTTTGCTTAACCCTCAGTCAGCTGTTTGATGAACCCATGGCTGTTGAATAAAAGCACAACACCTTGCAAAGTTTTAAAGGATCTCATACCCTTTGGACTTGGATTAAGGCCTAGATTAAAAAAAGCTCTTAAAAGACTTAAACAATAAAAATATGTGTCCCTTAAATTTGTACAAATATGGTCCCACTTTACACTGTTTCTCTAATTACTGTGTAGTTACACATTAACAACACATGCAAACGATGTAACTACTGGTGATGTGTTCACTGTTAAAGATGGATTACAGTAGTATAGCTTTATGTATTTATGTGCTATTACTCATGTGACTACACAAGTGTACCTTCACAGTTGTAACAGACTATTTTCTCTTACGTAATTACATGTGTAATAGGGCAAACTGCTGTTTTTTCCAACAAGACTTTTCCGATTTTAACAGGAGGTGTGGAGTTACTTACATTATAAGAGTAGTTGCACTGGATCTGCACAGGAAATACCAACTTTACTAACATTTAGCTAGCTGTAGTATGCTTGTGTTGGACATGGTAACCAAAGTTCTGACTTTAAACCATACTGTAATATGATGGCATTTAGACAGCAACAGCAGTTATGTGTGTAATTACATGAGATAATTAATACGCTGTTAAAAAATGTGGTAACACTTGATTTGGATAGTCCACTTTAGATGCTTTGCAGATACTTAATTTACAACCCCATTTTCAAAAAAAGTTGGGATGCTATGCAGAAAGTAAATAAAAATAAAACGCAATCATGTGCAAATCATGTAAACCATATTTTTTAAGGAAAATAGTACAAAGACAACATATCAAATGTTGAAACTGAGAAATTTTATTGTTTTTTGAAAAATATATGCCCATTTTGAATTTGATGCCAACAACATAAGCGTTTGGAAACTGAGGAGACACTGCTGTCGTTTAGAAAGTGAAACATTTTCCCATTTTTGTTTAATGTAGGATTTCAGCTGCTGAACAGTTCAGGGTCTCCTTTGTCATATTTTTCATTTCATAATGCGCCAAATGTTTTCGATGGGTGACGGGTCTGGACTGCAGGCAGGCTCTTTTGATACAGAGCCATGCTGTTGTAATACATGCAGAATGTGGTTTGACATTGTCCTGCTGAAATAATCAAGGCCTTCCCTGAAAAAGACGTTGTCTGGATGGCAGCATATGTTGCCAAAACATGTATAAATTGTTCAGTATTAATGATGCCTTCACAGATGAGCATGTCGCCCATGCCATGTGCACTAACACCCCCCTATACCATCATGAATACTGGCTTTTGAACTGTGCACTGATAACAAGCTGAGTGATCTTTAGCCCGGAGGACACAGTATCCATGATTTCCAAAAAAATCACAAATTTTTTTAGCACTACACAACTTTACCAGCCTTTTGTTGCTCCCGTCCCAACTTCCCAAACACTTACAGAGTGTTGTTAAAAGAAGAGGTGATGGAACACAGTGGTAAACATGACCCCGCCCCAACTTTTTTGGAACGTGTTGTTGGGATCAAATTCAAAATGGGCATATATTTTTCAAAAAATAATCAAATTTCTCAGTTTCAACATTTGATATGTTGTCTTTGTACTATTTTAAATGAAAAATGGGGTTTAAATGATTTGCACATCATTCCATTTTGTTTTATCTACATTTTGCACAGCATCCCAACTTTTTTGGAAATGCGGTTGTATTTTCAAGTTACATTCAACTAAATATCTACTAAATTGACCATAATTTTCTTTAACTCTAAACCTGGCTCTAACCCTAACCTTAACCCCAACCTCAACCTAAAACCTAAACCCAACCCTCACCCTGCTCCTATCCCTAACCCTGGTCCAAATCCTAAACCTAACCACTGTTCAGAATCAACTGAAAAGACCGTTTCAACAGACAGTTTGTTAACATTTTGAACTGAATTTGAACATCTGTAGATAATCTAAAGAGGACAATGGTGGACCATCCAAATAAAGTGAGACCCAATATGTTGTTATTAAGATAGATTTGTGTAATTACAGAAACAAAAACTGAAGTTGATACAAATGCATTTGTGTATGCTGTACTACTGTAATCCATCTGTAATAGTGAATATGTCACCAGTAGTTACAATGTTGTTGCATGTATTGTGAATGTGTAACTACACAGCTATTAGAGACGTGTAATATAAAGTGGGACCACAAAAACTTCTATTCAGTTAGAAAATAAATCAAATGCCCAAACTGTGAGTATCAAAACAGATTTGCTTATGAAAACAAAAAGGTTTTCCGAGGAAGTGTTTGTGTTTGCATGATTACATGCTATCAAATTTCTCATCAAAACCGGAGCAAAACGGGATCATGGAAGAATGATAATGGATGCATGATTTGGTTTTAGCTGATCACAAGAGTAGATTACTGTAAGACTACGCTACCTTTGGTACGCCCACGCAAATATCTCTGACATCAAACTCCTCTGGAAGGTTAGACGGTAAGCCAGGGGATTCGACTGTAGTGGAGTCTTTTTCATCACGGCCCTGGAGAATACCTGCAGAGAGAGTACGCTCGCTCACTCACTCAAATCTCTAATCAGTTCACTAAGTTCTGCATAATTAAAAGGGTTAAGATGTTAACAAAGTCATTCAGAGTGGTCTGGTGTGAAATGCTCCATTCTCGAGAAATGTATCAAGTAAGAATTGTTCACAGTGGTGGTGATAGGAACCAGACATCTGAAGAGTTTAACACCTCTAAAGGCTCTTTTACAGAAAGTTATTCCATTAAATAAGGTTTTGGCTAAAACTTTGTTATAGGTTTAAAATATATTCATGGCGGAGAGGTAGGTGCAGGGTGTTCTTAGGCAAAATAGCCCCCAAAGAAAACAATTTTTTCCCGATTTAACACTATTTTATCATTATCAGCGTTACATATTCAAACTCAGAAGACGTGTGTAGGTTCACTAGTGATTTTGGATAGTAAATAAAGTGGGTATATTTGTGTTGTGGACATCGTGTCCCCTGGTTTCCTATGCAAAATACAACCTTCTCTACAACAAACTGTTCCACATTAATCCACTCAGGATGCCTTTAAGAGGTTTTAGGGGCTGTTCTCTAAACCTAAACTCAGAATTTGTATTCTGTGATTGATTTCTAGGTAATTCCAAGATCCAAAAAATCCTTAAAATATAATGCTTGTGAAAGTTTTCAGTCATCCACATCATTGGATTCTCCAGAAGTAGAAAGTAGAAAGTGAAGGCATGTGATGTCATGGAGGAGTGAACTGGTATGAAAACATCAAGATTGCAGAGTCCAGTCATCACAACCTCAGTCATCAGGTTATCAATAAATGACCTGATAACTGGAAACATTTACTGTTACTAGATCATTAAAATAATAATCACAGAACTACTTCTGATGCTGGCTTTTCCCAGTAAAACTTTAGTTGCTTGAAACTTAGAAATAAAATAAAGTGTCCTGCAACTCAGTTGAAACTCACTCGCAACGGCTGCAACGGTCTCAACTTCGTGGAACAAGTTTCATGAAACAGCCAATCAAAATGCTGCAAACACATCACATGATTATATCAAATGCTTGATTTCACTATATCAGAACAACGTACAAGAAAGTAAAACAGAGGATGGTTTGTTGGACACTCAAAAAAGGAGCTCCTCCCGATGGACTTTATGTAAGGCTGGCGGTTTTTATTTTGTCAGCTGAGCCATGACAGCAAAATATCTAACATTTCTATAACCAGCTGGCTTAACTATCCAGCTAACGCTAACAAGCTGTTTAAGAGGCTATTTGTGCCACTGTTTATTCATATTTGTTGGCTTGTTGTTCTTGCGATCTAGATTTGTTTTCTCCTCTATTGACACACCCTAATTTTATACAGAGTATAAAAAAGTATGAGCTACTAATTCGCCTAACTAGAGTAATTAAAAGTGTTGACTGTTTTTGAATTGCTTATGTAATTGTCAAGTTGCATGAACAGTATGTTGCAGGCAACTCACAACAGGCAACTAGTTGCATAAAAGTTTCAACAAAGACAGCTTAATAGTGCAATTTGCCTTTGAACACATACACACACTGTACAGTCATCAGGTTTGTAGTGTAATTGTAACCAACACACCCAGCACTGTAGCTGCGTCATGCACAGTCCTGGTCATGATGCCTGGGACATCCATGGAGTTGACCAGAGGGATGAGGCCATGGCGTGAGAGCAGGCCATAGGTGGGTTTCAGAGCCACCAGCCCACACAGGGAGCCAGGGTTACGTGTAGAGCCTCCTGTGTCAGACCCCAGTGCCCTGAAACACGTATGCAAAGAGTCAGAATCTGTATCTAAACACACACAGATAAAATGCATATAACATGCATTAATTGTCAGTAACGTATTTGCTATCAGCTGAAGTGAAGCACATCCATAGCTTCACTATTCAGATGGCCTGAAGGCCTTGACTAACTCTTGGAAGTTGCAGTTATCAGCACCAACAACACAAGCATGCTGTAATTTCACCTTAACTGTTGCTCACTTGTAGCTCATTGAAAGGGCAGATCCTATACTTTCAATGGACTGGGTATTGGTATCAGGCTGATATCAGCAGAAAATGCTGAATCGGTTAAAAAAGGAGAAAAAAGCAGGAATCTGATCATCTCTGTATTTCTTCCTGAGATGTAGTACAGTGTTTTTAGAACACTCTCAGAAAAAAAGGTCTGAAACTGTCACTGGGGCGGGACCCCTCTTGTCACTTGGGTGGTACCCTCAAGGGTACATCTCAGTACCTTTAGTCAGGGAACATAACTGAACCATAATCCATTGAAATGATATTTTCTAAGCTGTACTGACTCCACACACCCCGTCTCGTCTCCAGGCTTTTTATTTTACTGTTCTGTTTTAAAACATTGGGTTATGAAAAGGTACAAATATGAACTTTAAGGTACACAATTGGATCTTAAAACCACTGTTGTACCTTTAAGGGAACATTTCGCTGTTGTCAGAAGAAAACCTTGTATTTCCAAAAAGGTAACTTTACAGGAGAAGGAAAAAAAACCTACTTTACTTTTAATGTAAGTCAATGGAACCAGAATTTTTTCCAAGTCGTTTTGAGCGATTTCTTTTGGTCCATTCTTCATGAAATTTACATACAATGTAAAGAACAACAGGTATTTTCAAATTATGTCAAAAACAGAAAAAACACAAAAATGGACATACAAGGATTTCTTTCAACAGCAGCGATTTATATCGTTTGTACCTTGATGAACGAAAATGTACAGCACCTTTATTTCTAACAGTGTAGTTTCAGAATAATGGCCTACTTTTAGATGCTCATCTTAAGTGAAGTGCTTCAATGAATGAATGAATGAATCTCATTTTAAAGCTTAAATTATTATATTATTATAGGTGCATTCAAGTCGTTTCTAGCTACCATATGGATAATGTTTCTCCAAAATATCCTGTCTTCTCTTTGGGTCTTCAGGCTTCTGAATGGCTGGTTCATGATTCCTTTCACTGTATCCATCCATCTTGGTGCTGGTCATCCTCTTCCTCTTTTACCTTCAACTCTTTCATGCCTAACTGTCTTCGTCATAGAATATGTCCAAAATAAGAGCTTCAGGCTGGTTATCTGGGCTTCGAGTGAGAGGTGAAGCTTCATTTATTTGAGGATCCATTCATTTTTCGCCAATACAAAAGTCCAAAGGCATCTATTTTTTTTCTGCCTCCCTTAATTATTGTCTAGATTCCACACCAGTAAAAAGCACAGAGTAGACCCTATCCTGGCCAGTTCTGATCTTCATTTGTAGAGACATATCATTGCATTTGAAGATCTTAGTACATTAAATATGACGTTTAATAGGTTAGACTAGTAGAAGGTCAGCTGTTGGTAGCAGTGTAGTAGGTAGCAGATCCCCGACCTGGGCAAGCACATTACACTATACCAATAAGAGTCCCTGGGCAAGACTCCTAACGGTGCTGGCTAACATAATGGTACTGGATCGCTCTGGATAACAGTGTCAGCCAAATGCATATTTGTTTTTAAACAAAAAATATCAGATTGTTATCAGTATCGCCTGTTACTCAAGGTTCTAATGTAAAAGTAGTACTGTGTCTAGTAATGATCTTCTCAGAGTGTCTTCCTACTCAGTGTCCTTTTGTTTTTGTATTGATGGAGTGTCTGTTGTCATGGTGACGCAAGGACTGTCTGGAAAACTCACATGAAGCTGCTGAAAGAGGCCACAGCAGCCGCACTTCCTCCAGAGCTCCCGCCTGCGATCACCCAATCAGACTCAGGATCCTGTTTCCTGCTCTGCTCACGGTACGAGATAGCGTAACTCCAGGGGTTCCGCACTGGACCATACACACCATCTATACTGCCCGATCTGAGAGAGAGAGAGAGAGAGAGAGAGAAAGAGAGAGAGAGACATGGAGAGAGAGAGACTCAATATTATCAATATCAATTGGCAACATATAATCCATTCGATTCCAATCCAATTCAATTCAGAACATACAAATATTCTAACTTGTGTGCTACAAAAGTGAAGAGAACTAAGGAAAATATTTTTAAAAATCTTAAATCATGGCTTAAAAACTTACAGTCATATGTTAAGGTTTAAACACCCCTAATCAAACCACGTTTTGTTGATTTTTTAAGTGAAAATAAGTTAACACTAACATATATTGTGCAATTTCTATTTATTTGCTGAGTTTAACATCTTATATAAATAAAACGTAACATATTAAATATGTCATTGTTTTTGCACAGGCCACGTTTTATGTATTTTTTTCCTCAATCTGTTAAATTCAGCAAATAAACAGTAATTGTGCATTAAAATGTGCAGAAGTGTGTTCTCTGTAAAGGACGTGTTCACTTATTTTCACTTAGAAAATCAACAAAACATGACAACTGATGACAAACTTTTGCATATGACTGTATCTTTTTAGATTAGATTAGATTAAGTTTAGATTAAGTGACCCTTATTAGTCCCACAACGGGGAAATTTCACCTCCGCATTTAACCCATGAGTACGGTGAAACACCACATACACACTAGTGAATGCACACACACTAGGTAGCAATGAGCATACTTGCCCAGAGCGGTGGGCAGCCCTATCTGTAGCGCCCAGGGAGCAGCTGGGGGTTAGGTGCCTTGCTCAAGGGCACTTCAGTCGTGTACTGTCGGTTCAGGGGATCAAACTGGCGACTTTCCGGTCACAGGGCTGGTTCCCTAACCTCCAGCCCATGACTGCTCTTTTAGTCTAGCTTTCAATTAAAGCTCAGTTTGATGAATTCTTAATTGTGTCTTTATTGAATATTGTTAAAAATTATGCTAAATCGTACCAGAAGAACCAAAACTGGTGCAATCTGAGATTACTTTATGTATTGAATTGTTTCCAGAAGAACTGTAATCAGATCAAAATGTTGTGAGGTCAGAGATTCCCAGCCTCACCACTGTCCTATACTAGCTCAATATGACAGATAGCTATGACATAATGTAATAAAAAGCCATTTTACCCCATAGCAAACTCATCTAAATTGGTCTTCCCTACAAGCACAGCACCCTGATCCAATAGCTTCTGCACCACCGTGGCACTGAATGGAGGAAAATAACCTACAGACAACAAAGACACATGAGATGAGCCAGGTGAGACAAACAAATCTTCATTTATAAGCTTCCTTTGTCTCTTTATTTGATTACCTCTTAGCATGTGTGAGGCGCAGGTGGTCTCTACGTTTTCCGTGCAGAAGTTGTCTTTAACAGAAAAAGGAATACCGTCCAGCGGACCGAGAGGTTTACCTGAGGAGGACAAACAGACGTAGATAGAACCCAAAGTCAAATAATAGTATATATAACTCACTGTTTAAGCAATTAGTCATGAGGTATTGTCCATTAAACACACCATTATTACAGCATTATTAATGCTAATAATGGTAATGAACCCGGTAAACATGGTTGTAGTTACATACAGCTTTGAGGAAAAAAAGAACCCCCAAAAAAGATCTGGATTTTTCCAGGACTAGCTCTGAAAATATGATATGATGATAAGTCATATTAAGAAAGTCTTTTAGAATCTTTTATACTGGGATTTCTCTTCTTTTTATTATTATTTCATTATTACTATTAGGGTTAATTGTCATGTAATTCTGCATTTTATTATTATTATTATTATTATTATTATTATTATGGTACGAAACACTGAAGGTGCTAGAAACTTACTCTAATTGATTTTTATTATTAATAATACTATTTACTGATAGTTTTGCACACCTTTATATATATAATAATATATAATATATTATTTAAATATCAAATTAACTGTAATTGAATTTAATTGAATTCACATAATTGACTTTTACTATTATCCATAAATACTATTATTCATATATTGACTTTTAATATTTAATTTAAGAATATTAAATAAATTATAATTTAATTATATTGAATTCACTGTAATTGAATGCAATCAACAAATAGTATTAATATATTGCACATTTTAATATATTATATAAATATTAAATGAACTGTAACTGATTTAAATTGAATTGTATTATCAAAAAATACTATTATTCATATATTGCACAGTTTTAATATTTTATTATTATTTTATTTTTATAATTATTTAAAATTATTATTTCATATGTTGCTTTCCATAAGAAACACTCATAGCATTTTTACTGATTTTATTTTTATACACCATTTAAAAATGTCACCATGTGAACATTTCAGGAGCAGAACAGAATTATACTGTGATGAGCCAGGAAACCAAAACAGCGCAGAACAAACCAACACCTGAACTGACGGAAAACAAAGGTCATTAACCATTAATGGTCAGTCTAATTACCAACTACCTTGACTGCTGAAATGGTGTGGTCAGCAAAGACATGGCTGTGTAAAATCTGTGAGTTTTTAAAGTAAGACTGCATTATTGTTTATGAATGGACTATAATAACTTCTGACTTTTTTATGCCTGAGCAGCAGCCAAAGAAAACATGTGACTGAAGTTCATCCCAATAAAGAAGGTTGCTAAATATAAAGATTTGCCTTAATTGTTTGAACCATTTATTCAAGAAGTATATGGCAATGTAAACTATGGGGGGTAAATATGTTAAATAATAAAGTAAGATACGACTGTCGTTATTTGTCATTATAACTTAAGCTCTATTTTAGCCTATATGATTTGTTTTACCTGAGATGGTGTTGTAATCAAAATTTGAATCTGCAATTTTTACAAGTCTGTAGTTTTTACAAGTCTGACTGTGGAGAGAATGTAATTGTGGGTCTTCTATAAATGGCTGAATAGCAGTCCTATTCCGATCAACATCACACTAATGGAATAAGTGAGTGCCGTGTTGTTATTGTTATTGAATGTGATATTGTCCAAGCTATAAATTACATTTCACAACCTCCACTCATGCAACTAATTCACCTCTATTAGTATTAACAACTGTCTTGAGTGATTTGATCCTAAGTGGACAGAGAGACACATTAGACAAACAAGAGAGAGGCCAAAAAATAAGCTAGCACATGCTCTGCTATGATGACACAGTTGTTTGTTGCCATATGGAGGCTAAGGCAGAGAGCTAATAGTGGGTTTTACAGTGATCTGGCTGTGTGTTTATGCTGTATTTCTGGGTTGTGGGATGTTACAGCTGGTTTCTCTCACTCTGGCTAGCGATGGCAGGTTTCTCTGTATGAATCATGTCGCTATTTTTAACCCTTTGTTTATAATATGAAGGCTAAAAGCAGAGATGTGATATAACAGTAGCGAGTGGGGTTTGGGTGATTTTGGAGCTGGATCTCTGGCTGATGGATGGTCACAGGTGGATGAAATCACTCTGGATGGTGAAGCAGAGTCTGATGATCTGATGTGTGAATCATGTCGCTGTTTTAACTCTTTGTTGGAATATGAAGGCCAAAAAACAGAGCAATAATATCAGGATTTTGGGTGATTTTCCGAGCCAAATTACTCACTGATGCGAATGTCACAGCTCGATGATGTCACATGGGTCTGTTGAATGGTCTGATATGTGTATCATGTTCTGAAGCTAAGGGTTAAGGCATTCCTTCATTGCTGTTGGGGACGCTACAGATGTTGTGTGGTCGTATATATATGCCTGACCACCTCAGAAGGTGGTCTGATAGATCATAACATGTCTCTGTGATGTACTACATCCTGTTACGTCTATAAAGGGCTGGTGTGGCTGCAGACTTCCACATACACACCTCTGGTTAGCCTGAGCTCTGCCTCCTGCGCCTGTTTCATGGCCAGGTCCTCTGTTACAGTGATGTAGGCGTTGAGATAGCGTGTTTTCTTGATGCGGTTGAGGCATCTTCTGCACAGCTCTGTGGCCGACAGCTTTCCCTCCCTCAGAGCTGCAGAGACCTGGACAGCAGCACAAAGTCGAAGGCTCACTTTTACACCTTTCTTCTAACAAATCTACGCATCTACGTAAGCAAACTACAGGCCAGATTCAAACGTAAATGCCAGATGTAAAATGGCAAGGTAATATGCAAATAGTGGAATCCTGCAATATGAAATGGCAAATGCAAATGATACAACTGATCATGAATTTTTATTCTGAGTCAAAAATTTCCATGATATGTTTTCATATGCAATTTATACCCATATACCCACAAAATGTACTGACATATACTAACACAGAAAGTTGCATTTGAGTATAAATTCACATTTAAATATACACTTTTTACACTTATATACTATGCATGCAATTTATACTCAAATATATGGAAGGAATTTACTGGCACTTCATGCTTTACATTTTACACCAAATAATTATAAATATATCGTCTGATACCTGAGACGTATTTTTTAAGGTTTTGGCCTAAACGGTACTTTTTAAAATCCATTCATGGTGGAGAGGTACACGCCAAGGTGCTGTAAGGCAAAACAGTATCCAAGAAACGTTTTTTCAGATTTATCATTCAGATTTAAGTCTGCTCACTGGTCTTTCAGGATAGTTAACAAAATGACTATATTTGCGCCGAAGACATCATGATTTACCCACCACTGCAAAGACACCAGAGCAGGTTGACGGGTTTCTCTACAATGAATCAAATCACACTGAATGACTTTGTTTACATCTCAACAGCTTAATTACCCAGACTTTCTCCTTCAAACAGCTTAATGGCTTAAGCAAGCTACGGAGCTCCTAAGGTGACACAGTAATTATTTTTAAATTAGATGTGGCAAAATTCATATATTGAGGCCACAAATTACTATATCGAGGCCACACATTAATATATTGATGCCATGACTTTAGTTTCTCATAACTCATGGCCTCGATACATTATTTGTGGCCTCGATATAGTAATCTGTGGCCTCAATATAGTAAATTGTGGCCTCAGTACAGTAATTCTTGGCCTCAATTTAGTAAATAGTGGACACATTAATATATTGATGTCATGACTTTAGTTTCTCATAACTCATGGCCTCAGTATAGTAATTTGTGGCCTTAATATGGTGAATTGTGGCCTCAATACAGTAAATTGTGTCCTCAACATAGTAATTGGTGGCCTCAGTACAGTAATTCTTGGCCTCAATTTAGTAAATAGTGGCCTCAAAACAGTTATTTGTGGCCTCAATATAGTAATTTGTGGCCTTAAAATAGCAAATCTTGGCCTCAATTTAGAAAAAAAGTGGTCTCAATACAGTCATTTGTGACTTAATAATTATATAATATATATAATAATTTGTGGCCTTAATATAGTAAATTGTGGCCTCAATGTCGTAATTCATGACCTCAATATAGTAATTCATGACCTCAGTATAGTAATTCACGGCCTCAATGTAGTAACTCATGACCTCACTAAAGTAACTTGTGGCCTCAATATAGTAATTCATGACCTCGGTATAGCAATTCATGAGCTAAATGTAGTAACTTGTGACCTCACTAAAGTAATGTGTGGCCTCACCGTACTAATTTGTGACCTCAATAAAGTAAACTGTGGCCTCGATATAGTAATTTGTGACCTCAATATAGTAAATCGTGGCCTCAGTGTAGTAATTTGTGGCCTCAATATAGTAATTTGTGGCCACGCCTTATTAAAAAACAACGTCACCTTAGGGGCTCCGTATGAAGCAGGTATTAGCTGAAATACTCCGTTCAGACATGAGGTAACAAAATGAACCTCATATCTTAATGAACACACAAGAGCGCCGCACTGGACCAATGTAGCATTTTAAGTCCAAGCTACGAACCAAACGAGTATAGCGGCGTATATAACCTATATCTATATGTTCGAAGCCAAATCTATCTGGTTAGGTTACCTCTCTTATGGTCAGACTCAGCATTACTGCAGAAACTCTCGTTATCCTCCAAAGTTCACAGCATCCCTCCTCAACTGGAGGCTGACATGTTGGTCCCCTGTTGACCCGCGTCACGTGTAGAAGCCCTGCTATCTGATTCGTCGATGAGGGACAGAGCCGCTTTCTGATTGGCCGAGTCGACGGTGACGCTGGCGGGTCTGTCGAGTTGACTTTGCGGTGTATGGAAAGTCGAAGCCGGCTAGCTGCTGTTTTCTCTCTTTATTTTAAGATAAAACAATAAATACGCAAGTTTTTACCTGTCAAAGTCGACACAGTGTGACTTTACCTAACGAAACATTACCGTAGCTCAGAACCTGCCGGGACAAATCCGCTCCAGTTGTCGCGGTTTAGCTCTGAGGCTAACACGTTAGCGTTAGCACAGTCGGCTAAAGTGACAGAGAACTTTCTCAGGATGTCACCGTAACATAACCAGCGCTGCACGGCTGAGCAAAGAGTCTGAGGCAGTAAGATGGTCGTGTTTCTCCGGTAAAGTCGAGCAGCTTAGCTACGGTTTTAGTACAGCAGTGATGCATGTGTTTAGAAAGGTAATGTGCGCCCGCTGGTTCAGCCTCCATAAGCTGTCCTGGGGTGGCAGCTCTGTAAACTCTGCCCTGGTAAAGGATGGAAGTTGCCTCAGGGCACTCAGCACTTCAGCCAGAAGAAGCACAGTAATGCAGGCCTGGGTCATTGATAAATATGGCAATAACAGCGTGTTAAGATATACCAAAAATGCCTCATTCCCAATTATTCACTACCCAAACGAGGTCATTGTCAAAGTCCATGCAGCTGGCCTCAACCCCCTTGACATAAACATGAGGGGTAAGTGGGAGTTTCTTGCATCTTGTTCTAGAGCTGGGCAGTATGACAATATTTATCGTTATTGTCATAAATTATGTGACAATGTCACAATACGCTTTTCTGAGCATATGGTGGACATTAGAAGCTATCAGTGTTTAAAAATCACTTTCCAAATGCATGTTTGGTTGAAGAGAGTATCATTAGCTCTGTTAAGTGCAGCGCAGTGTGTGAAATGTTGAATATGAGTAATTGGATTCATAGTTTTTGATAGTATTATAAAAATGTGGCTGTTCTAACTTATCCACTGTCAGAAAAAAATCTCTCTCTCTCTCTCTCTCTCTCTATATATATATATATATATGTATGTGTGTGTGTGTGTGTGTGTGTGTGTGTGTATATGTGAATATATATATATGTATAATATATATATATTCACATACACACACACACACACACACATATATATATATATATATATATATATATGTTGTGTTACATCGTGTATTAAAAAAGAATTCCTGAAATATCATGATATTTCATTTTTCCATATCGCCCACCTCTTAATTATTAAGGTTGTTTGCAATGTGTCTCATTTTAAAGTGCCACTTCGGCCAAAATAAAAAACGAACCATTGTTAAATCCGTTGTGAACACGCCTACTTGCTTCCTATAATGGTGCCACAATTGTATGAAATATTTCAGTTTAAAGACTAGAAAAAGCTTTTTTTGATGATATACGTTGAAGGTGGGAGGAACATGTGAAAAGTGCTCTCGGGAGTGATACATGTTTTTTGTGTTTTTACTAGCTGGCTAATGCAGAAGGAAGCCAGGTTGCTGACATTGCTGCTAGGAAGCTGAACATCACATTAGCCATTACATTGGTGCATTCCTTTATTGCCTTAGGGAGGGGTCCCAGTGACGTTTGTGCGTAATGCATGCTGATAGCTGATAGAACACTGATGGACAAACACGTGAAAAGGAAAGGAGAGGAAATCCTGAGTCAAGGCTGGGGCGGGGAGTGGGGGGGGTTGGGGGGGGTGCAGTGCTGTTCTACTGAATACTACATAACAAAATGAATAACTTGTTAAGTGCCTGTTTAGGATAAAAATATCCATTTATATTTTTAGTGTTACCATAGTGTTGTGTTGTGCAGAGGTCAGTTAGATGGTCTGCTTAGGGATTGCATGGTTTTGGCGCATTTCAGTGGAACATACACTATATGGACAAACGTATTGGGACACACCTCCTAATTATTGAGTTCAAGTGTTTCAGCTACACCCATTGCTAACAGGCGTATAAAATTAGGCACGTAGCCTTGCAGTCTTAAAAGACAAACACTGTCAGTAGAGGGTCGTACTGATGAGCTCAGTGACTTTAAATACGGCGCTGTCATAGGATGCCACCTCTGCCACAAGTCAGTTTAACATTTAACATTTCTCAACATAAAATAGCAAAGAACTTAATATCATTAAAAGATTGAGAGAATCTGGAGAAATCTCTGTATGCAGGGGACAAGTACATGCTGGCCATGATCTTTGGGCCCTCATGTGGCACTGCACTAAAAACGGACATGATTCTTCAGTGGAAATCACTGCATGGGCTCAGAAACACTGCTGAAAACCACTGTCTGTGAACACAGTTTGTCGCTGCATCCACAAATGCAAGTTAAAACTCTAAGGTGTAAAGAAGAAACTGTACATAAACAGGGTCCAGAAACACTGCCGCCTTTGGAAATCATGGACGCTGTGTCCTCTGGGCTAAAGACCACTAAGCTTGTTATCAGTGCACAGTTCAAAAGCCAGCATTTATGATAGTATAGGGGTGCATTAGTGCACATAGGATGGGTGACGTGCACATCTGTGAAGGCACCATTAATGCTGAACGATATATACATGTTTTGGCAACATATGCTGCCATCCAGACGACGTCTTTTTCAGAGAAGACCTTGATTATTTCAGCAAGACAGTGTCAAACCACATTCTGCATATATTACAACAGCATTGCTTTGTATTAAAAGAGTCCGGGTGCTAAACTGGCCTGCCTGCAGTCCAGACCTGTCACCACTGAAAACATTTGGCACATTATGAAATGAAAAATACGGCAAAGGAGACCCTGAACTGTTCAGCAGCTGAAATCCTGTATCAAACAAGAACGAGAAAGCATTTCAATTTCAAAACTACAGCAGTGTCTCCTCAGTTCCCAAATGCTTACAGAGTGTTGTTAAAAGAAGAGACAATGAAACACAGTGGTAAACAGGCCCCCGTCCCAACTTTTTTGGAACGTGTTGGTGGCATCAAATTCAAAATGGGCTTTGTAGTATTTTCCTTCAAAACTGTGGTTTTCATGATGTGTATAACATTGCATCCTTTTTTATTTACATTCTTCCAAAACATTTGTCCATATAGTGTATCTGACTGGAAAAAGAAGCACAGTTTAAAGCTGGCTTGACATGGTGTAGCTTATGTTAGGAGTTGCCTGCAATGTAATTTCTGTTGCCAAAACTACATGGATGATGTACATCTGTAGGAAGTTTTTTTGGGCTGACACAGTCGTGTATAATATAAAAGTGCTGAGTCTGCATACAGGATGGAGGGTTGTCTTTCCATACGCCTGTGTTCAGATTCTTTGCCCTCAGCGCTTGACCAAGTGTTTCCTTTTTCTCTCCTCTGACAGGTGGCTATGGAGCTGCAACCCTGGCCATGAAGCGTGACCCTCTGAGCATCAACAAAGCAGGCAGCGAGTTTCCCCTGATCCTGGGTCGTGATGTATCTGGGGAGATTATGGAGTGTGGGCTGGACGTGTCCTACTTCAAACCAGGAGACGAGGTAAGGCACTAGAGAGAGCTATGCTGTGTCCGAAATGGTCCACCAAATCTCTGCACCCTACATTTGAAAATCTGGACCGCTATATAGAACAGGATCATAGGGAACAGAATTTTTCATGGTAGTGAACTATTTTGGACACTGCGTTATATGAGTTCGCTCGTTACTGTTCGACCACAGACTCCATCACATAAACAGTGTAGCTGGACTAGAATTTACTTGTGAATCTTCAAACCAAACAGTGCAGTGCATTATGGGTATCCACGTTGACTAGAGCACATCAGTTGTGCACTGTTCCTTGTGGATTGTTTGATGTTTTCAGACACCACTACAAAATGTCAGAACCCCAAAATAGTGGGCGAGTAAATAGGACACAGTTTCGGACACAGCACTAGAATAGAAAGAAGAAGGAATAACTCCAAAGGCCTCCACAGTTGACCCTATGGCCTGCCTGACCAATATGAAGAAGTTGTGACCAGTTCGGATGCCGATTTTAAAGGAATGATTCGGGGAAAATTCAAACGTAGATGATCAGCTCAGACATGTTTGGTGTCCAAATTTTCCTTTGGTTTAGTGCTGTTGATATGAGGTTAACGTTGTTAATGAACACTAGAAGTCAATAGTCACCCAAATCTTTTTTGTAAATACGTAACCAAAACTTCTCTCCACTCGCTCAAACCACATCCAGCTCTCTATTAGACTTGTCAATGTGATTTAGGGCACAAAGTGGAGTTGGAATTCAGCACAATACCTGCCTGCAGTGACCAGATAGACAGTGAAGTTTTGTTTGGTTTTATAGTTCGCATTATGTCACACTGTCTCCTAAACCACATTGACAAGTCAGCACAATCTTAATGAGGAGCTTGACGCAGAGAGGTTTTGGCATGTATTGGCATGAAAAGAGTTGGGTGCCTTCTAAGATTTGTTAGCGACATTAGCCTCGTAGCTGGGGTAAGCATTCGTTTAAGGACCTAATAATTCCATTAACTGATATAATTGGCTAATACCATTTACAACAACCCCGTTTTCAAAAAAGTTGGGACGCTGTGCTGGTACGAGTGGATCAGACACAGCAGTGCAGCTGGAGTTTTTAAACACTGTGTCCTCTCACTGTCCACTCTATTAGACACTCCTACCTTGTCAGTCCACCTTGTAGATGTAAAGTCAGAGACGATAGCTCATCTGCTGCTGCACAGTTCGTGTTGGTCATCCTCTAGACCTTCATCAGTGGTCACAGGACGCTGCCCACAAGGACGCTGTTGGCTGGATATTTTTGGTTGGTGGACTATTCTCAGTCCAGCAGTGACACTGAGGTGTTTAAAAACTCCAGCAGCACTGCTGTGTCTGATCCACTCAGACCAGCGCAACACACACTAACACACCACCACCACATCAGTGTTACTGCAGTGCTGAGAATGATCCACCACCCAAACAGTACCTGCTCTGTGAGGGTCCATGGGGGTCCTGACCACTGAAGAACAGGGTAAAAGGGGGCTAACAAAGTATGCAGAGAAACAGATGGACTACAGTCTGTAACTGTAGAACTACAAAGTGCACCTATATAGTAAGTGGAGCTGATAAAATGGACAGTGAGCTTAGAAACAAGGAGGTGGTCATAATGTTATGCCTGATCGGTATATATTTGACTCAAAACTCAGTCTTGCATAACATAACATAATGTAGGTGGTGACGAAGCTTTCCAGCGTTTTCAGTTTTGTTAATGATGTTTTGATGTTCATACGCACACATGCACATAGTTATTCCGACAGATTGCACTACACTACAGGAGCAATGGGGGTCATATTACGTCTGTTATTTTGTTGCATTCTTTTTCATTAAAGAAAAATTACCTGTCATGCAGACGGTGATAGCAGCAGCAATGAAGAGAAACAAATGCAAGTCCCAGAATATCCAAAGTGTTTGTTTTTCACCCATAAAATAACACCGTGGCAGCATAAAACAGCAAATGCAAAGCAGAGGTGGCATCAGCGCATACACAAACATTTAAAACTAAGGCACGTTTCTTCTGCTAGTCTATTAATAAAAAAGATACTATTCAGAATGTTAAACACTTACAGAAATAGTCAACAGTTTAGCTCTATTCAAAAAAGTCTTTCAAAGAATAAGAAATGGTTTGTGTTTTATGCTTAAAAAATTACACCCTAACACATTGCATTGTTTTGGAGTTAGGATGCTCCATTAGTGAAGTGCTACCTCCTCTTTCTAGTCCACTTTGTTTTCCTCATCCTAGAGCCAGGCGAATGTAGAGCAGGTCAAAATCTCTTTAAGGCTTCTCCAGGCATCTCTCAGCTGGGCAGGGCGTGCTCTGTTAGTGTCACAGTGGAGGGTAACCTGATTTAAAGGAATGAGAACTGATGAAATAAAGGGCAAAAGCTATCCTTTACAACAGACACACAAACACAGTAGTGTTGGGTGTCCAGTATCTGGGTGTGTGGAACTGAATGGTGTCTGCGTGACTGGATATCCAGAACAAATGCATACAGAGAAGTTTACATTAGTGCACTAGTATTTGGGCACTGTTGTTACTCTCCGAGTAAAGTCTTTGAAAAGAAAAGATAGTAGGTTTAGTTTTCCCCTCACACACGATTTGATTGCATCGCTGATTGGCTAATGATCTGACTCTGGGTGTGGGGTTGCATGTGGATTCAGAGCTTTCTGTGCTACTGTGTTTCCTATCAATGTATAAAAGATGCACTTTATCATTGGATGCACTGTGATATTTTTCAATTTTATTAGATAGATAGAACTTTATTGGTCCCGAAGGGAAATTGCAGTGTTTCAGTAGCAAGACATATAATTTCACATAAACTTACAGAATTGCAGAAAATAAAAAATAGAAAAATAAAATAGACATAAGTATTGAAGTGTGAATGATATTCCTGTTCATGTGTTTTCTTGCTCAGAAAGGTAGTTAATGACAAAAAAACCGACACATTTTCAGCATTATTAGATCACATTCTTTCCATATCAAATAGTGAAGTGATGTAATCGACGAGCACGTTAAATGCCACAAATGTGTGCTTATTTATGCTAAATGCCATCAACAGTATTTAAAATTATAAAATTATAAATTATAGCTGTTGTGTCAATAAAAGTTAACATTTGAACAAAAAACAGTTGACAAAGTGCAAAGCTCCATTTTATTTTGCGTAGAGTGAAAATCAAATAAGAAACAATAACACCATGACTTAAAAAGAACCCAGTAACAAAAGGAGTGAATATACAATATGAATTTCCTTTTGCCATGTGATCAATGATGTGGTGTTCCCTCTGGGGTTAAGTTGTGGTCTTTTGATGAGGTCCCAGTGGTTTCAGTGGTGTAAACACTAACAAAGCCAGTTCCTAGCAGGTCCCACACACTCCACTGACCATGCAGTGCTGCCTCCAAGATGAAATGTGAGCTAGTGGAGTCCTAACGTGTTCCTGTTTGCTTTGTCTTCCAGGTGTGGGCTGCTATTCCTCCCTGGAAGCAGGGCAGTCTGGCAGAGTTTGTGGTGCTGAGTGCTAATGAGGTAACACCCTGTAAAACAACAAAAGTGTATGCTTAGGTTGTTTACATAGCCTGTGTCCAGGCAGTATATGTACAGAGTCAGTGACACAACTGTCTGTCCATATGAACCCTTTTTTTTATATATATCTATGTCCTCACCTTTAAGCTTGTATTATATAGTATAAAATGGATAGTACCAATTCTAAAAGTGGATTGAATCAACCATGTTAGGAGTGAAAAATACTTGATAAATACTGTTACACATACAGCACTGTGCCTAAGTCAGAAACCACCCTTCATTTATGTAATTTCCAGTCAAAATGGCCATTAAGTACAAGTTATCTATTTTTCAGTTTTAGGGAATAAGCAGAATATATTCAACAGAAAATTATACTAAAGTCTCAACAACTAAACATACTATCTAATTGGTCAGTATTTATTGTGTCCTTGCTTTATCTTTTATTACAGCTTACATTCTTTCAGTTTCTTAAAAAAAGAAAACTGCAGGGATATTTTCCATACTTCCAAAGTTCAGTCTTAGAAGTTAGTTGCATTTTAAGCTCCAAGTAATCCGAAAAACACATTCAGTGATGTTGAGGTCTGGACTCTGGGGTGGTCAGTCGATTGTTCTTAAAACACCAGCAGCCTCTTTTTTAAAATTTTTTATTTATTATTTTTTTATTTCTTCATTTTAGTCTATTTTCATTTCTCAGTAAGGGCTTTATGGCAGCTACACATCCTTTCAGACCCATAGCGCTTTGTCTTCTCACAGTGGAAGGATGGACAGAAACACCTGTGGATTTTTTCAGATTTGAAAAAGTAGTGGACCTCGATTTTCTCCTCTCTTTCAAAAATGGAAGCTTGCAGGTGGTTGTCCCATTTTATGTGTATCTTTTAATCATTTTTTGAACTCCTGTTTTTGCATTTATTTTAGCCTGCCCTTTTTTATGCAAGTGGATTATCTTATTTATAATCTCTTCAAAAATATATTCTGAAAAGTAATGTACTTGTAATTTATGTCCGTTTTCTCTGGAGATTAAATAAATTTACTTACTTTTGCACAGTACTTGTATCAACTGAATTCTTTTTTAATGCAAGTTATTTAAAAAAAACCTGTGCTGTTCCTAGAATAGTATTTGATTATTATTATTGTAATAATAATTATGAATTGTTTATTAATTATTGGTGCAGTTTGTTATATTTTATTTTGTTGGCTTTTGTAAATTGCGATAAGCCACTTGAGACTGCACATTACAGTGATTTTACCACCTCTTATACTTGAGGGGGGGGACTTCTTGAGGTATTCTTATTTTCTAGTTTTTTAGACCAAACATTTAGTCCATAGCCTTTTGTCCTGCAGTTTTCTTAATAATGATCTCCTCTTTTGTGTGATGCTGTTCCAATTTAGAACCAATTACTGCATGCAAACAAAGCCTCCAGTGTTAGGGTGCTGTTTTCCTTTCGAGACTATAATGGGTCACTGGCTGTTGTGTCCTCCTTTTTAATAAAAGATGACTGTTTTTGAATGTGTTGTATGTGTGTGTTTGTGTGTATTTGTCTGTGTTTGTTTGGCTCAGGTGTCACACAAGCCCAAATCGCTGAGTCATGTGGATGCAGCGTCTCTCCCGTACGTAGCAGCCACAGCCTGGTCTGCTCTCGTCAACACGGGTGGCCTCAACAAAGACAACAGTGCCAAAAAACGGCAAGTGCCCAAACTCTCCCTACTTAGCTGTCATTTTTGTTTGCCTATTCACTCCATTACTTAGTCCCTGATTGTCTCTGTCTCTTAGCCACACACACATACACCACATGTCCTCAGTTCACCTACCCAAACACCAAAACACGTTTTGTCTGCAGCTCTGGGCTGTCCTGGTGTGCCCATGTCCCCCCTGCCTCCCGCCTATGTGGTACCAAAGCTGGGTCTTTGATTTCCTTGATTTCTTCCACCTCATTATGTCAAAAAGAACCGTAGCTAATGAAAGGCAGAGAGCCAAGCAGCTCCCTGATGTAAGCGTCCTGAGAGACAGGAGGACCCAACACAGGCACATTCACCCAGTGTTCCTCAGACCAGCTAAACAATTAGCGGCGCTCTGGCTCTGGGGACACTGTCAGGACGGGGTTTAGTTAGGGGTCATTCAGTTTGGTGCTGGAATGAATAATCAGACAAAAATCCAATTGATTCCCACAGTTCTATGTCTGAAAGCTTAAAATATTAGTGTTCGCTCTTAGGTACAGCAGTTTTTTGCCAGCAGTAACTAACATCATATTATTACTCAGTCTAAACTTTGTGTTTGTTAGTGGGGGAGAAAATTTTTTATTACAAACTGAATTTGACAAGTTATATAAGTAATTGTGCAAACAGTCTTGCAGTAAAGGATGTTTTTTGTTTTGTCATTTTTGACATCAAAATTGGACTCAAACTTGCTCATACAGAATTTAAATTCAATGTTAGTGTAATTAATGTGACAATATAATTTTGTATCTGTGTAATTACATCTAAATAGCATAGTGACAATAATAACTAGACTTCTAAAAGTTAAGCATAAGGTGTACTTTTCTGATGTACAAGTAAAAAAAAAAGGCTTTAATATATATAACTTCTAACCAACTTCTAATACTGAACTTAATATATGTATGTATATACTGAACTTTGCAGATGTCTATGTATATATACTAACATATATATATATATAGACAGACATCTACAAAGTTCAGTATTAGAAGTTGGTTTTCTTCTTCTTACGATCCAAGTAATGCCAAATACATTCAATTATGCTGAATTGTGGGCTCTGGGGTAACCAGTCCATGGTATGTAAATTAAATAAAACTCTTAAATTAAACTCCGCTGTTAAACTGGGTGTTTATTGCTCTTTTTTAATGCAGTGTTCTCATCCTCGGAGGTTCAGGAGGAGTTGGAACCTTTGCCATACAGGTAATAGACAAATGTTTTGTTTCTTGTCAGCTAAGATTTGCTGTCCATTCTGTTTTTTTACATCGCTTTAACAGAAATGTTACAAGACTTATTCAGAGTAGGGCTGGATAATGAATCATAGTGATAATGAGTCTTAAAATTTGAGTGTCCAATATTGAGAGAATGCTGCATAGTACAGGCTCATTTAATCATTGCTAGTATGTTGCAGTTTTAAGTCAGACTCTGCTGTATCTCTTTACAGATGCTGAAGTCGTGGGGCGCCCATGTAACAGTCACATGCTCCCAGAATGCCGAACGCCTTGTAAGAGGTCTTGGAGCCGATGATGTTGTGGACTACACTGCAGGGCCTGTGGAGAAGAAGCTACAGACTCTGGAAAAGTATGTTGAGCTCACAAAGCATGACTCAGAGTTTTACATTTCACGGCGTTTGGTGTTCTGAAATCAAGTCAGAGCAGGAGTGCTGTTGTCTCATCTGCACTTGGATGACTCAAGCTGGATTGGTTTTACCAGAATAGCCTGGATTGAAAAGTCACAGTTTGGATATTCATGTCAGACTTTTGCGACATGACATAAAAAAGCCTTTAATGAAAACAGACAGTGAAATCCTATTATTCTCAGTATTGGTTCAGGAACACTTGTAGTATGTCTGTATAATCATACTCAAGAATATCTTTATTGTTGTAAGAACCTCTCCATAAACAATGGCTTTAAAAGTGAGGTCAAAAACATCTGTTGTCCTAATTTGACTTGACTGAATTAAGTAAAGCAATAAGCCACAAGAGGCCATGTGTTACAGTGATTTTATGAAAGGTAAGGGGTTTTAGTCTGCTTTGCATTGATCTGTACAGTACCCTTATACGATAAAATCGCTGTAATGCATGGCCTCTCATGGCTTCATTAAACAAAATGTAAAGACAATGGCCAAACATGAAGTATTCTTATGAATAATGGTAATAAGGCAGATGTTTTTCCTCTCTCTCTATGAGAAATTTGATAAAAGCGAGTAAACAGTGACAGTCTGTTACTTCACAAGTCAGTAACTACTTTCATAAGAAATGAGCACAAATTATTACCTTCAGGAAAATATTCTGTCAGATTTTTGTAAAAGTTTTAAGATCTTCTACAGAGAATGCGTTTATATGTGGTGTTTTTTCTATAAAGTTTAGCACACAGTTTCTGTTTATTTGCTTGGAAAAAGTTAAACATACAATATAAAATGTGCCACAACTTTTGCACATAAACATATTTTTTTTCCAATGTTAAAAGGCCTGACTGTAGATGCTCACTTACTTCTTTCTCTATTTTTCTTTCTCGCTCTCTCACTTTCTCACTCTTTCTCTCACTGTTTTTTCTGTTCCTTTCCCTGCCTTTGCTTCCTTTCTTGCGTTTTTCTCTTTTCTGCTTTTTTTCGTTCCCTCTGCCCTCAGGTTTGATGTGATTCTGGATAATATTGGTGGAGAGACTGAACATTGGGCCCTAGGCTTACTCAAACCCTGGTGTGGCGCTAAGTACGTTACCTTGGTAACCCCCTTCCTGCGCAACACAGATCAACTGGGCCTTGCTGACGGAATGATGCAGACTGCTGTCACCGTAGCAACCAAAGCTCTGAAGGTAGCAACTGGCCCAAGCCATTTTTAAGGCCATGTTATAGTGCAGACGTTTTCCCCATTTGAAACTCTGTTGGATATGGATTCATAGTGGTGCTTTCAGGTCTGAGCTGAATGTGCTTGTGTGGTATAAAGCGAGAGAGTGATGAGGTAAACCACTCTTATGTTTTTCCTTGTACTGAGTTATGAAGGCAGCCTTTGACTCGAAGCCCCACCGTCTCTTAACTGTCATGTTCCTCACCACCCACCTCGTTACCACAAAATCCACGAAGTGTTCTTTCCGAGAAAGCAGGCACCTTTGCTTCTTTCTTGTTTCTTTCTTCAGGACTGAATATATTCCTTTGCCATTCACTAAGTTCACCTACTAGAAGAGATCTGCTTCATCAGGGTACGGGTTAAATATATAAGGTATTTAGATTCAGCTCAGAGGGACCGTACGCTAAATCAGTTGGCTTGTTTAACCAGTGACTCAGACAGATGTTTTGATCCTTAACATAATTTTGGTCTTGACTTACCACGAAATATCTGCTCTCAGTGCTGGAAGACATGCAAAATTTGGGCACCCTGGACAAATTATATTATATGTTGATTTTGTAAGTGAAAATAAGTAAACATCATCTACAGAAACTTACTACATTACATTTATTACCTTGCTTTCATGTGGAAAATCAACAAAAGTCATTAGACCAGGGGGAGTTCAGACTTTTGCATACACAATCTATTTGACATTGGTAACACGTAACATTAGTGATTTAGTTTTAACAATTGGCAAATTGATCAATTAAAAAAAACTTAATAAACTACAATATGTTTTATTTGCCGTGGGCTTTAGACTGTTTTGAAAAAACAGTTTAAAAAAATTAATAAAAATAAATAAATGGTATGATTTTGTTCTAGAAATGTGCTTTTTGTCTGGTTAAGATTTACGATACTGTGTAAAGCTCCCTTTAGTGTAATTTTAATAGAAGAAATCAAAACAGTCACATTCTTTTAAAAGAGAACACCAGCATTTAGGAAGCATTAATTCCTTTATTTTATTAATGCATACTTAAATATCAGATACCCTCATCTCATGTAATATATTTGGAACATATGTCATTGAATTTAGAGCTGCAAGTAACTAACTTATGTCTATAATTGGGTTAATCAGTCCGTGACTTTGATGAATCGATTCAGTGAGGAAAGAAAAAGTGCAGTTATTAGTTTTAAGCAGTAAAACACCTACCCTGTCTTCTAAATCATATTTGCCAAAAAAAACAAACAAAAAAACTAAACAGAAGTACTTTTAAGGTTATAACAACTATATTCAAATGTCCATGTCAGACTCACGATGTCCTAAAGCTTTCTCACGACACAAGAAACAGTAATAACCATGCGCTGATGTCAGCATTTTCGAAAACATCCGTCTACATGAAACCATAGAAAACCCCACCCAGGAGAGCATTTTCCAAAAGCTTCGGCGGCAGTGATCTAAAACACTGTCTTGCGTAGGTGGAGGACCAAAATGCAGAGAAAAAAAAAAACTGTTTTCAGAAAATATCTGTATTACTGTGGACTAGTAAAGCTGTGTTTGCTAGTCATGTACTGGCTAGCATGTTTGGTTTCAGCTCAAAACAAGTTGTCACTACCAAAATAATCACTACCAAACATTTGGTGAAGTTTTGGGAGTGTGTTTTGGTAGCGACAAAATGGAATTCTTGAAGTCTGTGTGTATCAGTATGAAAGCAACCCTAATAACAGAAAAGTGTTAGCTGTGGGTGTCATATGAGAGCTGTAACTGTCAGTCAAATAGACGGATAATATAATTTTAAACTCTTATGATAAAAGAAGCTGAACTCACAATTTTTTTTTCTACTGAAAGTCGACCCATTTTTCCACAAATCTGGGCTATAAACTATAAACAGATGACGTCTCTTCAGTGATCTGCTCTGTACAAATTATTTTTATAAAAAAAATACAAAGAGCATCTAAGATTTTTGGCTTTCAGCAGTAAATTGTAAGCATATAGCAGTATGTGTGATCATAAAACACATGTTCTGTTAATTTGAGAGGAGCTTTTACAAAAGAAAAAATAAATAAATAAAATACAAATTTACTTTTATTTCATGCAGTTACTGAATAATTTGCCTTATGATTTGGTCATGTAGATTCAGATGGAAAAACCAAAATATATCCTGGTCAATAAGAGGTTAAACTAAAATGCAGCTCATTTCTTCAGTCAAGGTTGCATGATCTATTTGCTAAACTGTTCTATTTGCTAGCTTATTCACCATGCTTAGGTGCTAAGATGCTGTCGTGCTGGATAAGCCCTGTTTTACACAATTTGCAGAAAACCATTATTTTAGATGATTCTATATTTCTGATCTTGGGTTAATTCACAACTCTGCACTGCAGTCTCTGCCGTCTGTATCTTTCCTGATGTATATGGGGATTGCAAATGTCACCAAGCCAGTTAATCGATGGGATTTGTTACCAGCAGTGTTTTATCAAGCCCTACGTGACTTTTATCTGTACCACTGAGCTCTGATTAATAAGCACTGTTTAGTTAATAGTGAAACAAGACTGTTTTTAGTACTGAAAATGTCAAGTCCCAGTCCGTCGCACATCAGTGAAAATCTCTCTCATGCAATAACAATTGGTGTATTGTGATGCCCGTACCTATTTCTAGCTTTTCCAGAAACTGGTATTTGCGTGAAAGTGGGGGAGATGTTTCTGTGGTAGGGATTGCCCCACCTCAGAGCCTTCAGATGTTTTCACATGTTCAGTTCTGGTGAAAAAGTGAGCGATGCTTGTTATTATTCAAACGAAGAGTGATTCACTCTAATGGAGATGTTGTGGGTGGAAAGAGAGAGTGGGGAACACGCAACAGGCTGTGGCTAAATTTACCTCCGGGGGGTTCCATGCACGCTGCCCTGACGGGCACCTTTTATTTCGGAGTTCAAATCTGCACCCACTTGATGATGGCTTACTCTGTGTGATTTGATGAGAAGCGTACAGTGTCTCTTAAGACAGAAAGTAAGCACCCACGCTGTAGTATGAAGTTAGCTAGCCTGCAGATGTTAGATACAAAAGTAAATGAATCAGAATAGAGGAAGAGTGATGTGCTGTAATGAATAGACAAACTCATTTAGTCAAATAGATTTAACACCTGCAATGTTTATCATTCTCCAAAACTTCTGCACTTGAAAATTGTCCTTTTACACTTCAGACATTTCAGTCTTCTCTTAAATCAGCGTTTGAAGAGCATTCATATAATATAGCATTCATGAGATCTTGCGTAGTTTCGTTCCAGTATTGAGTCAGTGTTGAATCTGCATTTCACAATGTATTTTCACAATTATTCATATGAATACACCTAATATGTTATCTATTACGGGCTTATTGAGTAGGCAAATACATTACACTCCTAAAGCTTGGAATCACTTGTCCTATTAATAACTGGTGTGATTTCTACAGCCCTGTTTATTTTGGACACATCTTAATTTTTTTTTAACTTGATAATACAATGGTTATCGTAATTTTTTAACGGAGAAAATACTTACATTTGTAGGTTTCTTTGGTCTCTTGCGCAGCCATCTTGCCAGTTTTTCTTTTTTTTCCTCATAGGAAAACCTCCGTTTGGAGGGCCATGTAGCCCTAACACTTCACCCTACCCCTCTATCTAAACAAAAATTGGGACAACCTACCCCTAGACGTGAACACGCAAAACAGAGGGCTAAGGGCTAAGTGGTAGGGGAGAGGGGTGAAATGGGACTGGGCCTTAGTTTAATGTCGTTTCAATGTATTTTGGTCGTTTTCTTCATAACAAGCATAAAAAAATCGCTAAAAGTATGATAATGTCTCAGTAGCTAGTTAGCTAATTTTCCCGTTCCACCTTAAATAGTCCAGCAGTTCTGACGCCTGAAGCGCCAGAATGTACCTGCTGCACCATTTAAGGTGAAACAGGAAAATTCGAACAAGAACCTGGTGAATAACTGACTTCAGCTTCATATCACCAAAGAATTAGTGGTGAAAGCATATCTTTGAAAGCACATGATTCCCTAAATGTAACTAAAGCCCAGCAGTGAGGAGCTGAACTTTTCCCTCCTCTGCTGTCACTGAAGACGGGCCGGGTCGCCTACAGAGCAGCGCTAGTAGCTGTTAATGAAGCGATGGCTTTTTTTTTATTTGAGGGTCCCATTTCATAGGGCAAGATTTTGACCAAAAAATCCCTGTTCCAAGGGGTTAGGGTGACACTCGAAAACAAGGGGTAGGGGTAAAAAGAAGAAATGGGATTGGGCCTTCAGTTACCTACTGTTTAGTTGAAATTCATCCTAATAAAATCAACCTGAACAATCTTCAATTGGTTTCATATTAATGAAAACAGTGATTCCACACTTTTGAACAATAGTGTATATTATTACTCGGTTGACCCAGATTAGGGAAATACATAGTAATCAATATTAGACTCCACCACCAGCTGACAGGTTTCAACATCAAGCAATTCATTAGCATTCTGAATTTACAGTTCTTGGAAAAGAATGGAATTTGGTGTTTCAGTATGATTGTCATCTTTGCCAAATTGGTTCAAAGTCAGAGTTGAAAACACGTTTTAGACTTTTAACTGACTTTGACTTTAGACTGAAATCCTTTGCTTTGAGTGACGCTGTAGCTTAATAATGTTTATTTTATCAGAACTAATGATTGAAGATTCCATTTTGTCGCTAGCAAAACAGTCATAACACTCCCAAAACTTCACCAAATGTTTTGGTAGTGATTATTTCGGTAGTGGCAACTTGTTTTGAGCTGAAACCAAACATACTAGCCAGTACATGACCAGTAAACACAGCTTTGAATGGTTGTACTCACATAAAATCATAATATTTTTCATTAAAATGCAAAAAATATTACATAGATGCAGAAAATGTGTTTCAGTAGAGAGAATTCTCAATGTTACACACTGATTTTCACATTTACTTCAGAACAATGGGATCTAACCTCTCATGGGATCTGCAGGGGCGTGGCTAAAATGACTCCGCCTATGAAGTAAAACTCTGTGTGTTTTGGTAATGACATAAAACATTGGACAGGATTGAAACTGAAGTTTTTGTTTTTTTTTAAATTAAAAAATTTTACTCTAAAATCTAAGTCTTTCAACTTTACTCTAAAAGAAATTAAAATGTTCTTAAAAGAAAAATTGCACAAAAAAATCCCAGAAAAAAGTAAAGATTATTTTCACATGTGGAAATATGGGGGATATGGTTTGGGAAAGCCATTTCCCAATAGAAAGTATCCTATAAATTATTTATATTATATAGTTAGCTTATTAATATTTCCTTTAATGTCTTCATTTTAAATAGTTCATAACATAATCCATGGAAATATCTGAATAAGTCTAAATAATAAATTGTTTTTTTACTGTGGGGCTGCAGTTTGAATGAATTTGGTAGAATAATCCGTATAATAGCCTTTAAACAGTATTGTCAGATAACACCCACTGTACAGCTCATTTGCAACATAAGCGTTAACTGATTCTGAAAAATGTGGTGTTTTGGTCCTCAAACAATCATATAAAATAGTGAAATTAATTCTGTGTGTCATTTCAAATAGTGACCAGAAACAATGGCTGCAAAAACTTGAAATTTAGAAAGAATAAAGGGGGGTGGGGGGTGGGCGGCGGGGGGCAAAAGTATAGATTTCCAGCATTTATTGTTTTTTCCAAGTATATTTGTTTCATCGTTTGAAAATAGGAGCATTTTTGCATTTAATCTATGCACTCATACTGTTAATACAAGTATTTGGATACATTTGATTTCAGCAAAGACAGTACTGTAGGCTTGGGATGTATTTCTATACACTAAGCCAACACTAAGTGTTTGAACTGTCAGCTTTAATTTAGCATTTTCTTGAAATTCAGGGGATTGTAGCACGCTTTACAAACTCTCAGCCCAGCATAACATATAGGCTATCATGCATGCTCAGGATTTCCTTTAATAATGATACTTGGTTGCACATTATTTGCATGTATCTTAAAGTCTGTGGTGCCCAGACTGATCAACTTTGCTGGTAAATCTTTGCTAAAAACAGCAGCTGACTAGAAATTTTACCCTATTAATTTGTTTGAGTCCTTGTTTATGTTCAGTTAGGCCATCCGTTGTTTCTTTTACTGTCACCTTGAAAATGAGACAGATCTGATCTTGGATTAGTGCTCCCATTTCAGGAGGCTCCGTAGAAACCAGCCTTACAACTACTCTCAACAGATGTGTAGAATTTCAAAGTAAGAGTTACCGTTTTATGCATAGTTCAGATGAAAACTGAGGGAAAGCCCTTACACACCTTTGGCTCATAATGTGAACTGAAGCTGCTTGACGATGTATTTGCTCAAAGTATGACCTTTTACTATAAGAGAAGGAAAAAACGTTTGCTGAGGCAAACGTACACATTACATTAGGTAAAATGACGACAATTGTTGAACCAAACAGCAGACTCATGTTAAAATAAAGAGAATTTTATTTTTTAATAATATTTTTATTTATTTCTTCAGAAATTTATTTGTTAACTGTATTGTCGCTGTAAAAGTGTTGCATTGTGTTAAAATGACGGATGTTGTGGTTTTAGGCAGGAAACCCAGTCTCTCCTATCCCCCGCGCTGCTTTCTGCCTGCTCCAGAGATATGCATGCACCCTAAGATTTTACCTTTTAAAAGCAAAAGGAAGCATTTTATACTGACAACTTTCAGCTCTAGCTGAAACACTCATAAAGACATACATAGTGTGTCATAATTCCACTAGTTTCCATATGAGAGTGTTTCAGACTCATGAAGAACTGAGTTTAATGTTCTGCAAGTCTTACATGTCACATAGAGAGATGATTGTGTAGTCATAAACATAAGTAACCTGATAAGCTAAGCCAGTAACCCACTAATACCACATAACCACTTGTCTCTTTGTCTGTCATACATACACCATACACACCCCATCTATTCACTCTAGCCCTTTTCTGTGGGTCCCACATGAGTGAATGAATGGATGTAATGAAAATGAAAGAAACCAGAAGGATAAAATGGGAAGTGGATGGACTGAGCTGGATTCACCTTACGCACCAACAACCCACATGATATGCTGAGGGGTGTATGGACACAATGTATAAGGGTCATTCTACAGGCACGTCCACTTTTCTATCTATCCGGAGGAGTCACTGGTGTTACAAATCCTCATTGGTGTTCCACATAAGAAAGGAAACACCAGAGACATTTTTAATAAAAAATGCATTTTACAAAATGGCTGCTACAGAGCATCAAACCACATGTCGTCAATCAGGGAAAATCCACTAAAATATGTAATTTAATCCATTTGTATTCTATTTTTTCACGATTACCTGAGAATAAAGTCGGTCACACCAGTGACTTGAACTAAAAGCTTCATATGAAATCATGAGCTAAATGAGAAAATCTCTGATAACTGAAAAGACACAGTGGACTCACCATTTGCTTTTCTTCATAGATCCTCAGAAAATAGGTAAAAGGAAGTCAAGTGATGTCATCAGTGTGATTTTTATGTCACACAGTAACACCAGTGACACGACTCCTGGTGACAACAACTTTAATTATATATTTTATAATATTTATTTGGCATTTGTTTTCTTTGTCATTTAATTCATACATTTCATAGTCATGTATAGATTATTGCTGATAAAATTGCAGAAAAATGTGTTTTTTACCTCAAAATATGGCCCCACCCTTTACATATGACTGTGAGGACGTGCTCTTCTGTGGTGCTTGGAATTCTAAATAATTGATTTCAAAAACAATATTGCTAAATTGAGGCTCAAGAAGATGTAATTGTTGAAATAACTTTTATTTTAAAATATGAATAAATTGTAACCCTAACATGCTGTCCAAGTGTGATATATCTGTACACGATAGGAACACAAAAAAGGACGTTTCTGTAGAGTGACCCATAAATGATGAAGATGGTAAAAAAAAAACGGCCATGAAAGTTTGGAATGTTTCATCTTTCCTGTTTTGCTCTTTGTCTTTTCATTATACAGCACATAACTAAAGGCGTCCATTATCGATGGGGGTTCTTTGCTCCGAGTGGCCCAGCCCTGGATGACATCAGCGAAATGGTGGATGCAGGAAAGGTAAAACACGAGAAAGATTGATTAACTTACTAATTTTCCCTCTGCTGTAGTATCTGCACCTTCTTCATGTCTCATTATAGAAAAGGCCATTTTCTCATTGAGCTCTGTGAAGCAACTAAAAGAGGAAGCAAATCAGCCACATAGAACTGTCTTATTTAAGAGGCACAGTCGTATGCAAATAATATTTTATATATGTTGTGTTTCAGTGATGGAAACACATCCAACATACGTTCCCATCTAAAAGTATCTCACAGATACTGTCGACCTCAAAAGCCCTTTTCCACTGAATAGCCAAATGGTTCCCACAGACGTATTTTCCGGTTGTGGTTACTTTTTCCATCTAATGTGCTGCTAAATCAGGTCCAGGAAATACCTTCAAACACTACTCAGGACAGTGGCTTAGCAACAGCTAACAGCTAAACACCACAGAAAAACATTTGTTTTCGGCTTTCTCACTTCAACACCAGTCACACGAATTTGCTGTGAGTTGTTATGAAATGTTATCCTCTAAACATGTGTAATTTGGGTGTCAGTTAGCCGGGACCGAGCCTGTTCTGTGGTGTGTGGCACTTTTGGCCTGCTAATTAAGGTATCAGTAGCTTAGCTAAAACACCACAGAACAGATTTGATTTTGGCTCACTGTCACTCCAACACCAGTCACTTGACTTGCTTTCTCAGGCATGATTTTGTATCGTCTATAATTGTGTCAGTTAGTTGGAGTAGAACCTGTACCTAGAACCTATGTGTGACACTGTTTGGGTCTGTAGCCTACTCGCTAAGCTCACACAAGGCTAGCTAGCTGCAGTATGCTACAGATCCAGACACCACGGAACAGGTTAATTTGCCTGCCTGTCCCTCCAACACCAGTAGTTTGACTTCACTCCATCAGAGTTGGGTCAATTTTATCTAAATTTGTGTAAGGTTGAGCGCAAACACAGTAAACAACAAATAGCGCCCCCTCCAGAGAAATTAACCATGGTCTCACACACCTTAATTCTTAAAAACTCAACAAAATGTGTAGCATGCAATTTGTGTCATTTATTAACTTTAAAGAGATTTGCCTACCGTACTGGTGAAGAATGTAAAGGGGAATTCTTCCAACTTTTCAGAAATGTATGGTCAAATAGTAAATTTGAAAAAATGTATTTGTTGGGGACAGTTTTGCCCCTGCATGTACCTCTCCATCATGAAAGTGTCATGAATGCAAGTCAAAACCTTCTCAAAACTACGTGAAATAATTTCTCAGGCAGCATATTTATAACCATTTCATGTAATTAAAATCTCCCTCAAGGAAATTTGAGGCATAAACTCTTCCGACGTCTGGTTCCTATCACCATCACTTTCTGACCCTGTAAGTTTCTCTAGAACAGAACATGTCATATTAAAACTACTCTGAATGACTGTTTGCATTAACGTTTTAATTATGTAGAAATGTTAGAACCTAATTTCCAAAAAACTTGGGACACTGTGCAAAATGTAAATAAAAATAGGATGCAGTGATATGAAAATCATGTACACCATAGTTTTGAAGGAAAATACTACAAAGACAACATATCAAATGTTGGAACTGAGAAATTTCATTGTTTTTTTTTTAAAAAAAAATATGCCCATTTTGAATTTGATGCCAACACGTTCCAAAAAAGTTGGGACGGGGTCATGTTTACCACTGCGTTTCATCACCTATTATTTTAACAACACTCTGTAAGCGTTTGGGAACTGAGGAGACACTGCTGTAGTTTTGAAATTGAAATGCTTTCTCGTTCTTTGATACAGGATTTCAGCTGCTGAACAGTTCAGGATCTCCTTTGTTGCGTTTTTCATTACATAATGCGCCAAATGTTTTCAGTGGTGACAGGTCTGGACTGCAGGCAGGTCAGTTTAGCACCCGGACTTTTTTAATACAGAGCAGTGCTGTTGTAATACATGCAGAATGTGGTTTGTCATTGTATTGCTGAAATAATCGAGGCCTTCCCTGAAAACATCATCTGGATGGCAGCATATGTTGCCAAAAAATGTATCTATCATTCACCATTAATGGTGCCTTCACAGATGTACACGTCACTCATGTCATGTGCACTAATGCACCCCTATATCATCATTAATGCTGGCTTTTGAACTGTGCACTGATAACAAGGTGAGTGGTCTTTAGCCCGGAGGACCATGATTTCCAAGAAGAATTTCAAATGTTGATTCATTGGACCACAGAACGCTTTTCCACTTCACCTCAGTCCATTTCAAATGAGCTCAGGCCCAGAGAAGGTGGCAGCATTTGTGGATCCTGTTTATATTTGGTTTCTTCTTTGTGTTTTAGAGTTTTAATTTGCATTTGTGGATGCAGCAACGAACTGTTTTCACAGACAGTGGTTTTCAGAAGTGTTTCTGAGCCCATGCAGTGATTTCCACTACAGAACCATGTCTGTTTTTAATGCAGTGATGCCTGAGGGCCCAAAGATCACGGCCAGCAAATACTGTTTTTGGCCTTGTCCCTTACATACAGAGATTTCTGTATGTAATGATGTTATGCACCATAGATGATGAAAAGCAAAAGTTCTTTGCTATTTTATGTTGAGAAATGTTATTCTTGAGTTGTTGCACTATTTGATGGTGCAGTCTTTCAGAGTGGTGAACCCCTCCTCATCTTTACTTCTGAAAGACTCCGCCTCTCTGAGATGCTCTTTTTGTACCCAATCATGTTACTGACCTGTTGTCAATGAACCACCAGGTGTTTTTTTTTTTTAGGATTACACAACTTTTTTAGCCTTTTGTTGCCTCCATCCCAACTTTTTTGGAACGTGTTGTTGGCATCAAATTCAAAATGGACATATATTTTTCAAAAAATACAATTTCTCAGTTTCAACATTTGATATGTTGTCTTTGTACTATTTTCAATTAATAGAGTTTAAATGTTTTGCACATCATGGCATTTTGTTTTTATTTACATTCTGCACAGCATCCCAACTTTTTTGGAAATGAGGTTGTAAAAAAATTGGTGGAGTTCCCTTTTAACGTTGTACATTAAATTTAAAAGAAATCTAAGTGCTGACATTTTGACTTAAGGTCTAAAACTGGAGAGGTTTTATGTGGCTTACTTAAGGTAAAGGGAAGGCTTAACAGCAAAACTAACGTATTGTGTTTATGCAAGTGACCGCAGGCCTCTAACAGGACACACTGCCCCTCTAATGAACATCTGTTCTTGGAAAGCCATAGCGCTTCATTCAGCTCATTAACTATTTATCAACCCATTCATGAGTAGATCAGGTGTACTGGAGCAGAAAGAGTTCGCTGTTATCCCTGACATAATGCATCTCTGCTTTTCCATTTTTCACACAGTGTTAAATTTATATTTTCAGTAGGTTTGTCACCAGTTTTTCTAGACTGTTGACTGAAATCATCTTTGTGTGAACATAAGTGAATAAATGTGTAAAGAAAAGTTCCAGTTCTCTGTGAGAATCTAAGAATGCTAAAACAAATAGGGTTAATAAAGGTGTCTGTCAGAAACCACATTAGCAAGTCTATTTGAGAATACTAAACATGGTTTTAGGCACGTGTGATGATTTAGGAATGCAGTTTATACAGTGCTAAACTTGTGGCTGCAAGCCTTTATTCCTTGTTAGCTACATTAGCCTCGTAGCTCCAGTGCAAAACTAACCCTCCTATTATCTTTACGGCCATCTTTGATCCCATTTATTGTTTAACGTCTCTAAATATATTTTTTTGCTTCATATTTAATGACTTTTCCTAATTTAATGGTGAAAACTGGGTAAACCTAAAATGAGCATGATGATATGTTTTGTCTGACCTTGTTTGGCTGTTTTAGCTGTATAAAACATAATAAATATCAACATTTTACACATTTGTTTTGGTTGTTTTGGATGATATTGATGTCAGTACAACATGCAATTTTATAATCTTCAAGAAAACTTCCCTCTGCTTTAGGAACCTAACCTAACATAACCCCACCTATAGTAGTGTGAGAACCACTGATAGTTCACATCACATGGCGGAGGGGAAAACAGAATTCCCACCAAAACTTTTATATTTCCCACAGGTTTCAATTGCTGGAGTCAAACTGACCCCAAAGATAGTAGACGTTAGTAAATCTGAATATCACATGAGGGCTAAATAAGCTTCACATTTAGCTTCTGTTTTGAAATTGAACACTGGCTTGGTTTTGATCCTGAAACATAATTGACTTAAAGCTTTACACTATATTTTGTAGGGCTGAAAATGGCAATGGAAAGACAGAGTGAGGGAGACAGTGGATGTAAAAGAGAGAGAAAGAAAAAACGAGAGGCAGTCAGAGGGCGGTTGGTGGGCCATTCCACTCGCTCAGTTGGAATGCCACCATAATCCCAGCACTAGTCCCGCTAATCGGGCCCTTTTGTTCGGGCATGTCTGAGTCGCCCCGTTTTCGTGGACGCCAGTGGAATGTTGCCTGCGTCAGGCCGTTGCAGCTTCAGTTCCGCCATGACATCATGGCTGAGTTCTCCATGAAGAGAACCACAGTGATGGCTCGGGCTGATAAAGCTTCAGCCTCATCATTATGTGCTGGTGCAGTTGTTGTTTTAGAGTGCAGTGGAGTCATCGACCTCTGGCCCCCTACGTCTTTCTGCCTTTTATATGCCTGTTTTTCTGTGCTAGACAAGCAAAGATTCAGCTAAACATTTAGAGCAACAGTTTGGCGAAAAATTTAATTTGCACAATTTTGACTTTACCCAAAACATAGTCTGTAACGGGACACCCATAACAGAATTTTTAACATACTGTTAGCCTGCTGCTACTGCTGTTTTTTGCTGTTTGCTATACATTTGGCCATCTCACAGTGTCAGAAACCACATACACAAGTCTATTTAGAGTATTTAACCACTCCACATGGTTTGAGGCAAATATGTGCTGATTTACGCATTCCAGCTCATATAAAGCTAATCGATGTACCTAAGCTCCCATTACTTGCTAGCTTCATTAGCCTCCACTGCAAAAGTAAAGAAGCAAACTTCTGACACCAAACATGTCTTGGGTGATCAGCTACATTTGGGGTAAACGGGGAAATTGTCTAAATTTGACTTTATGCCAATCTGTCACCTGAAATGCAACAGCATTATCTATTCATGGTGTTTGTAAAGATGTATATTTAGGTTACAGTGAGATGATTGAATTCATACAGTGTATATACAGCGTGTCCCAAAAAAACTGACATAATTTCGTAGTCTAATAACGTAGCCAATTCTCCCTCAAATGATCTCAAATTTTAACATAATGTGTAAAAACTAACTTTTTTCAGGTTGAGGAATGGCGTTCACTGGAAATGAAAAGGCATTTTGTGTGTTAGAATATGCTCGAACACAGTCAAACAAGAGTGTGCAGTGTGCATTTTCGAGAAAATTCAATAAAAATGCACCAACTGGAAAGCAGATTTGGACATGGCCCAAAAAATCCAAAGAGGAAGGCTGTCTGTGCAGCGCAAAGGGATCTGGACGACCACCAGTATCGGAAGATATTACATTAGTGAAGCTGTGAAATCGGTTATAAAATCTACATCCTTCTAAATTTCTTGTTCGAATTTTGATAAATAAATCTTGTATTGTTTAACATGAAGCCTATTTAATTTCGTTTGCCAGGACATGTAGTTACTCAGATATTCACATCTCAAATGATGTCAATTTTTTTGGGACACCCTGTATAAAAATATACATACATTAGTCCCTTTTTTCCTTCCCTCCTCTCACTGTCTTGCTGTGCTGCCCCTGGATTCTTTTCACTCTCTTCTTTTTTTGTCTCATTGCTCTTCTGTTCTTATTCTAATGTTCTCTCTCTCCTTTAGATCCGTGCTGTCGTGGAGGAGCAGTTTTCCTTCGCTCAGGTGCCTCAGGCCTTCGAGAGAGTGGAGAAGGGCCACGCCCGAGGAAAAACCGTAGTTACCGTTACTAGGGAGCAGGAAGAGTGACCATGGCAACAGAAACGGGAGAAATGGTGAACTCACTGATGGCTTCAGTTATGTCACCTTGGAAACAGAGAACTACGAGCGGGTTTTAAAGACACAGATCGAGCCTCACCTGCATCTAAATTACACCATCAGTGATAATTATCCACAAGAAACATCTATCAGAGTTAGAAGCCAAGGGCTGTAGCTTCCTGCTATCTGTTATCACTGACAGTACCTGCACTGTTTTGGGGCTTAGCTCACTCCTCATGGCCACAGTATTGATTAAAGTTATTGAACATCATGCCAGTTGCAGCACACACTGTGGGAGCAACAGGGCCCTGTATTATTTTATTTCCTGTTAGACTAAAAGCACTGAGTACACACTCCTTTCGGGAAAAAAAAAGTTTGCATACTTACTTTTTCTTATTAAAACCTTTTGACCGCAATTCTAATGTGGTTTAAAAGTCCAGAAAATTTTACCATGTGACTTCAGCCCCATGTAACTGTGATGCTGTTAGGTATCAAGTACATTTCAGCAAACATTTTGTTCATATATTCACCTTTTTCACTCTCTTGAATGGTAATAGGATTTCGAGGTAACTGTCATGTCACAGTAAGTCTGTATTGGGAGTGTAAATAATATTAATAACTGTCATGCAGGCATTTCATATTGCCATTTCCAATCGCTTCCACTTTGGGTGTCTCAACAATGATTATGGATGAAAAATCAGGGAAATAAAACATTTTATTCTTACTAAAATGTAACAGTTATCTTTACAGCTTCAGAAAATATACAACAAGACACATTTCATATATGGAAGTAAACCATGGAGTGTAACAACAATTGCAAATAAAGTAAGGCACTTTCTAAAGGAAACAGGACGAGAACACAGAAACCAGATTTTACTAGTCATGATTTTGTTGTATACCTCATTTTAAGTATAACACTGACATGTGGGTGGAGTAGTGGGTAAATTACTGCTTCTAGTCAATGGCAGGTTACTAATTCATTAGTAAGTGCATGTTTTTTGAGAAAGCTCCAGCCTCCCAGGCAGGTACATGCACATAAAGTGGTGTCTGAGTGCCACCAGTGGCCATATTGAGGTATTACACAAGTGACATTCATTTATTGCAGGGCTTTAGGTCCACAGGGAATACTGGACTCTTAAAAAAAGAATATTCTTAAGGGAACTTAAGAGCCTGAAAACAGGGCAAACTCAGGCTATTACTAGAAAAGTCTTTACAACCTACATTAGCAAGACTTCTTGAACAACCTTGATGTAGTCCTTGGACATCAGTGAAGTCTGTGAAGTTTCTGCGGTCTCCTGACATGCTGCCGGGCATGTAGTGTTCCTCTCAAACCCCGTTCTCGAAGCCATTTGAAGAGCTCTGCAATTGGGCCTACTGGAATGGTTTAAATTGTTCTGTATGGTCACCACAGTGCCCATGGCTGGAGATATTGCACTGTTTTCCTTAGGCTTTGCCTCTCAGGTGCAGAGGTCAGTCAGGTATATGTCCAGCAATTATAGTAGTTCCACTGTCCACCTCTGGTTGGTCTTCCTCTCATCAAACGTGTTCAGAATCACCTGGTTTTTATCATACTGCTGACCACCTGGAAAAGAGGATTGTTTTTGTAACAGGTCAAGAGATCAAAAATATTTTCGGTAACACTTTATTTGGATGGTCCACTGTAGATGCTTTGTAAATGCTCAGTCTGTCTTTAAGTAACATTCAACTAAATCTCTATTAAATGTAACTGAACTTCAAGTTCAGTATGAAGGATTTTATTAAATCTGTTCCTAAACCTAAACCTATCAATCAATCAACTGAATATCACCAGAAAGTTTGTTAGTGATTTAGGTATCTGTAGAGCATCTATAGGGGACCATCTAAATAAAATGTGAGCATATTTTTTATGCACATAAAGATGAATAGTTCTAAATCTGAAATCTGATTTAAAGCTGTTGTAAAATACTAATTATACACACAATTGCACACATCAGCTGAATTCTGGATTAAATGTGCCAAAAAACACTGTTACAGTAAATTTGAAGTTAGTTAGTTTTGTTATAACCTTAAAAATGTAAACTGTCAATTTTATTTACTCAGATTAGTGGATTAATAGTGGAATAAAAGACCTGAAGAAATTGAGGAAAATGAGTGAAAAAAAAATTTGCTTGACGACTTGCTGAAATTAGAAATGGGAAATTATGCTGGGACCTTGAAAAAAGACTGCTTATGTTGCTTAACAAGCAGCAGGGCAGCTCGAGGCTTGTTGCTTTAAAGAGTAAATTCCACTGACTTTTGAAAAAATGCAGAATTACAACAATGCAAAGCAAACAAAAAAAATTCAGAGGGGTTTTCAGACGTGTGTTGAGTTCAATGCCTCTAAAAGCTCCCTCACAGAAAGTCATTACACAAAATGGTTACAAATACGCCGCCTGACGCCGGACACATTATTTTACATTAGTTATGAAAAGGGTTTTGGCCTTAAGTTTCAGATTTACTATTTAAACATCACTATATAAAAACTCAGAAGACGTGTAGGTTCTCTGGTCATTTTGCATAGTAAATAAAATGGCTATATTTGTGCTGTAGGCCCATCATGACGCCTGGGGCCGCATTACAGAAACCTTCTATCTTGTTGTATTAACTTAAGATCTGACAGGTCACAAATTCGTATAACAGAAGACAATTGTATCTTAATTTAGGAATCTTACAGCATCTTTTCTTATCTCAAGTTAGGAAATCTGAACTTACTCGATTGAAGTTGACAATCGACAATCAACTGTCGTGTTTGTTACCTACCAACAGACCATATGCGCACAGCTGAATCATAAACATGTAGCTAATCAAGTTAGTTAGTCAGACAGCTAACGTTAGCTACCATTACTGAGGTAAAAAGGTCTAATAAAACTAAAGGCATGATAAACTGAGAGTTAAGAATATTGTTTCAGTACTTCGTGCTGTTTATCAGAGTCACTACTCCAGTTTCAGTCTCCATTTCCCAAACGCTTTAGCCGAGCGCGCTAACATTATTCCTCCTAATAAACAGACACACGTTCAGCTCTGTCTCCTCATTATTCACCACCATCACTGTAATATTTCATCAACATTAACACACGAAGGTAATCAGAGGGACGGTGGAGATCGAGTCTGCAGTGTCTGGGGTTTTTAAACGCTGTTAGCACCGTTTTCAGTGTAGATAAATGTAGCATCGTTATGCTACTTATAGTGAACAGTACTGCCTGTCTGCATAAAACAACAGAAACAGAAGATTAAAACAGAAGTTAAGACGCTCTCGGTTTATCTTAAAGTTAAGAAAATATTTAGGATATTTTGGCAACTTAGGATGTTTCAGTAAATCCATTTTCCTTACATATCAGCAACTAAACCCATACAGAAAGTTTGGTGTAAATCCCCTTTAAACTACAACACTATTCCCATATAAAAAGCCTATGGATCTCAAATGCCACCTGTTGGTGAATGATATAAATGTTCACACGCATTACCAACTATGGCCACAGGGTGGTGTGCTTGATAAGTTTATAAGAGCATTAACTTCTGCCTCTGTGCTAAAAGTACAAGCGTCATAACACAAGGTGTGGCTGTGCTGTTGGCCGCTGTCTTAACAGGCTGGAGCACCATCCCCGAAGTAAAAGTCTCAAGGTGTGTTCTGAACCCTGTCATCAGCCTCATCATACCAGGGCTGCCATTTCAGAAGGGAGTGTTTTCTGACTGATAACAACTAAAATAGTCCACATGTACAGCCTTGGACATGCCCATGTACATGTGTTAGCTTATCCTCCCTTTGTTTCTGACTGCCTGTCTGCGTGTGTGTGTGTGTGTGTGTGTGTGTGTGTGTGTGTGTGTCTCCATCTCAGACACAGTATGCGATCTTTAGGTGTGTGTTTAAACGTGAAGATCTTGTCACTCATGATCCTTTAAGCCTCTTTTATTAGAAACCGTGCGCAACTTTCACTTTTAATCCCTGTTACATGTACATGTCTCTGAACTCTCAGCACAAAGTGAGTATGAGATTATACAGTGGCAAGAATTTTTTGGTTTTCTGCATTAATTTGTCATAAGATCTGATCCTCATCCAAGTCAAACGTATTGACAAATATAATGTGCCTAAAATAATAACAAAAAAATTCTGATCATTCTTGTCTTCATTGAGAACAACCATAAAAACCTCATAGTGCTAGTGGATAAACTATGTGAAGCCTTAAGTTAATGATCTCAAAAAAGCTAATTGGAGTCAGGTGTTAGCATACCTGGAGCCTTGTTAAGAAAATGTCTTGGCGGTGTGGACTAGAGCTACTTTGACTGATAAAAATCACCCAAACGTTTTGAGTTTGCTCTGCACAAGAAGGATAAGCGTATGTGAACCTTGCCTTGCCAAAAAGAGCTTTCAGAGGATCTACGATCAAAAATTGTTGATTTAAATAAAGCTGGAAAGGGTTACAAAGTGATTTCAAAGACTTTAGAAATTCACCAGTCTACAGTCAAACAATCTACAAATGGAGACAATTTGGGACTGAGGCTACTCTGCCAAGAAGTGGGCGCCCAGTCAAAATGACCCCAGGAGCACAGCGGAGACTCATCAATGAGGTAAAGAAACAACCCCTGAGTGACAGCCAAAGATTTGAAGGTGTCATTGGTGCAGGCTAACATCTGTGTTCATGAGTCTACAGTCTGTAAAGCCTTGAACAAGCAGGGTGTCTATGGCAGAACACCACGACGGAAGCTGCTGCTTACTAAAAAGAACATTGCTGCACGCCTGAAGTTTGCGAAAGAGCACACTGACACTCCACAACGGTGCTGGCAAAATGTTTTGTGGACAGATGAAACTAAGATTGAACTATTTGGAAAGAACATGCAGCGCTACATCTGGCGTAAAAAAGGCACTGCACATCACCATGAAAATATCATCCCAACCGTAAAGTATGGTGGAGGGAACGTCATGATTTGGGCCTGCTTTGCTGCATCAGGGCCTGGCCAGCTTACAATCATTGAGGGGAAGATGAATTCCCAAGTGTATCAAAAAACTCTGCAGGATAATGTGAGAGTGTCTGTATGTCAGCTGAAACTCTGTAGAAGTTGGGTGATGCAACAGGACAATGACCCAAAACACTGGAGCGAGTCCACAACAGAACGGCTTATGAAAACAAAATCCGCCTTTTGGAGTGACCAAGTCAGAGCCCAGATCTCAACCCTGAAGCAGTTCTGCCAGGAAGAATGGGCTAAAATTCCTCCTGAACGATGTGCAGGTCTGGTCCACAGCTACAGGAAGCACCTGGTGGAGGTTATTGCTGCCAAAGGGGGGGGTCAACCAGCTATTAATTTCAAGGGTTCACTTACTTTTTCCACTACCACTTTGAATGTTGAATGAGTGTGTGCAATAAAGACCTACAAGATCATATTTTTGTGTGTGTTATTATTTTAGGCACATTATATTTGTCAATACACTTGGCTTGGATGAGGATCAGATCACATTTTATGACAAATTAATGCAGAAAACCATAAAATTCCAAAAGGTTCACATACTTTTTCTTGCCTCTGTATAGAGCTCTTAGTTTCAGAGACACGTACACTAAGGTGTGGGCACTGTGACAATGTCAGTCATTATTATGACTGATTACATAATGATGAGGGTTATAATAGTTTTGAAATTTTAAGCTTTTATTGTTTGTTTTTCATTTTGGTTAGTCTTAAGGGGGCGTCAGTTTTAGTTTAGATTTTATTTTCTGAAATGTAAGAGATCCGTTTTTATTTAGTTTCACTTTTAGTATTTAGTATTACAGTCAACGCTGTGACGGTAGGTATTTGATGAGGGAAGAATAAAATCAACACAACAATAGGATGACAGCTAATTGGATGATTGGATGACAGCTAATTGGATGACAGCCCATTATGACATAAGTCATAATTCTTTTTTTATTGTTATTTTCCTTTAGCAATTTATTTTACCAATTGCTTTACTCCCTCTTCCAATACAAAAAACTGGGCTGTCAAAGTTGAGAGCGAGTTAATGTAATTCATTATTAATGCCACTAATTGGTAACACATTTTCCTAGTTTGACCCTTCAAACCATCTGTAGTGGTGCTGTCAGTCCTCAGCTTGTGCGAGTTCTCCATTCGCTCTCATTCTAATAAGGTTTTTAAATGGCTTTCAAAGCTTTGGTATCTCCAGCTGACTATGCTGGACAGTGCTCGAAGGAGATAAACACGTGGTAAACAAACACAACAGCATGTATGAATGAGAGTGAGGGGTTACAATCACAGAGGAGGTGAAACAAATGACTGTATCTATATCTCGCTGTTGTCGGAACAAAACCTCGTATCTCCAAAATGGTAACTTTACAGGAGAAGGAAAAAACCTACTTTACTTTTAATGTAAGTCAATGGAACCAGAAATTTTTCCCAAGTCATTTTAGGTCATTTCTTTTAGTCCATTCATCATGAAATTTACAAACAATGTAAAGGGTAACAGGTATTTTCAAATTTTGTCAAAAACTGAAAAATATGGAGATACAAGGTTTTCTTCCAACAACGGCGATATATATATATATATATATATATATATAAAATATAGACACACACTGTTTCTTTATGTTCAGATTTGACAAAATACGATTTATCGCAATCAACTACACATGATTGTGCGATTAATCATGATAATCTGAATCTTTTTAAATAAAGATAGCACAACTGTTTGCAGGAACAACCTCAGAATAGTAAAATGTGGTGGTGCATACTGTGCACAGGGAAAGTGTTTTCCTGTGCCGTCATATTGTTGCCATGTTGCCCACCTTTACATACACTCACCTTTAACCTCCAGCACCAGGTCAGGCTTGAGGCTGGAGCGTATGAGACCGTCTGCTGTGATGTTCCAGAATTGATTGTCTTTGCCGGGTTCAGGGGAAATGTTGAGACGTCCACCCGCCATCATCACACTGCCCGACGGCTCCAGGCAGCAATCTTCCACAAACTACTCCGAGAGAAAAAGGAGGACAGTCAACCTTCAAAGTTTGCGACAGTCGGCTCAGATCAGCCTCGCCCTAATTCCTCTGAACCCACCTTTACCTTCATAAAAACATTCCTGGGAATTCATTAACCTGCTCTGAAACATGAGCTTGTAAATCGGAGCATGTATGTGGACACGGGCCAAACATAACCCGCATGGAGGCAACAGCAGCAGAAACACTTATCTGCTTTTGGCACAGGTTCAAGAGCTTGCTATAAGCTTCGCTGATTAAGGTGTGTTACTTATGTTTAAAAGGAAACTGTCGAAATGCAGACACAACATGGCACGCAGCGCTTTCAGGACACACCAAAGAGGGCTTTCTTAGTGTTTAAACCAGATAATCTCACTACTGTGGGATCACTGCAGGAGGCAGGCATGTTTACAACAGATTTCATTTTGGCCGGAGTGCCCCTAGAAATCAGGTAAACGAGGCTGAACACTGCTGTGCTGTGGCCTCTTGGTCCACACGTCCACACATACACTTGAAACGTACCTTGCAGCGCAGCAGTCCATTCTGGTAGAGCCAGACTTGTTCATCTCCTCCGTTCTCATCCAGTACCTGCACCCTCAGCAGCTTAATGTCGTCCAGCGGCCCGGACAAGGACATCACACACCCGGTCTCCGCGCTGCGCAAGCGGAAATACACTGGCTTCTGCTGAGACACACACACACACACAACATACCTGCTGTTTTAAAAGCTTGACTTACATGTGTGTTATGAAATACGGTTTATTAACGTATTTATTATTGAAATACAAAAAGAAATTTAATATGATAATAAATAAAAACACAATGCTCCCAGCGCCAGTCCTCAGGACCAAATGCCTTGCATAGTTTCATGTTAGCAACGATGTGACCTACCCAGATTTGCCATAAGCTGATGAAACAAAACCAGAGGTGGTGACCTCCAATCCTGGAGGGCCAGAGTCCAGCAAACCCTGGACTTGGGTGTATTTTAACTGTACATGTACCTGTTGAATTTGCCCTGCCCTGCCGCCTCTAGTTCCCATGTAATTATGCCTCACACCTCAGTACACAACCATCCGTCAGACCAAACACACGCAAAGCGACACGCATTCCTTAACATTCCAAGCCGGCGATCAACCGGTGTCATGACTCAGACACAAAGAAACAGAAAACAGAAACGTGTGCAGGAGAGCTCTGCAGAGAATGGCAGCCAAAACACAGGATTTCACAGACACTGGCGGAATCCTAAATAGTTCTAAATGTTTCCCGCAGCACATGAGCCGTCTCACTAATTTCACTATTCACGAGAATTAAAGCCAGAAAGCTAATATTTCATTTATATGCTGGAATGTGTATGATGGAGGAAGCATCTCCACCAAACTAGCAATGACAGGAAGCAAATAACTACAAGAACAAAGTCTTACTTTATTACCATTCTCAACTCTTTTATTCTCTTTGTGTTAATTTATTGTTTTTGTACCCTATTCACGTGTCTTAGAACACTGGTTCTCAGAGGTGTCCTCAGGGATCCCAGACAGTCCACATTTTTCCTTTATCTGTATGTTTTCCAAAATCTGGACCGTCTGTGAGTCCCTGAGGACTGGTATGAGAAACACTGCCCCAGAAGATCGAGATGAAGAAATAGATGCGAAATGAAGTAATAATGACTAAAAACCTCTTACCTGCAGTAATGGACGCAGAGATCCGATTTGTCGCCAGCCGCTGAATTTCCGCCAGTCGCCAATTTCACTGGGCTGGAGCAAAATCTGACGACCATGGAAGTTCTTCCCTTCATATAACACCCACCTGAAAACACACAAAGCATTGAAACACACATACAGACATTTACTGTCTGTGATCCAACTAAACTTATCAGCTCATTATAAAGCCCTTCATTATCTGAATTAGGCCGGTCACAATTATTTGAGCTGATTTAATGTATTTTCCACAGTTGTTAGCTTCGATAATCAGACAATGTGAATCGGTGCGTTTTAAGCTGGCAAATACATGTAAACAAGAAAAGCGAAAAGCGTAATGGGACACATCACGAGTCCTACAAAAACAACACAGTCTAACTTCTGCCTAGGTCAGGGGTCGGCAACCTGCGGCTCTTCTCCTGCCCTGCTGCGGCTCCAGAGCAGAATTAGCCGTTTAGGTAAAAATAAAATAATCCTCCTTTGCAGTAAAATAAAGCTCTGCTGATCGTTCAACACAGTTTAACAATAAATTGTCTTAAAAGTTAATGTAGAACTGCTAATTCACCCTTTAACCCTGCAGACTGGCGTGCAGATGGTCACCATAGCAACGCAGACAACAATGTAGCTAACAAAAGGCAAAGATGGGATATTTAAGATGAACATCAATAGTCGAGATGAATGGACTTCTCTGCATTCATAATCACTCCAGCTGGTTTCCTGATACGATTAATCTGCACTAAAAAGTCGCAAAGCTGAAGTCAGCTTCTTGCTCAAATTTTAAAAAATTAGAACAATTATATAGAGAATAAGGAGCGACTTCAGCCTCGAAAAAAATCAAACGTTGAGAGACATTTTACAAGAAACTGTTCAACTTTTGCGGAAAAGCTGAGCTAAAGCTTAAAGCAGAGCAAAGTAAGTCTGTGTTTTTGTTAATATTATATTTTTAGTCTACACTACGTACATCAGCGCATACTGAGACACATTTACAGCCAAGATGGTGAAATGGACATAAAATATTGTGGCTCCCAAGGTGGTCTGATTTTTATTGAAAGGACAAAACGGCTGTTCTTAACATTTGCGTTGCCGACCCCTGGACTAGCTGCTATAACACCTTCAGCAGGCAGTGGTGAGTAATGTTTATTACAGCTCGAGCTGTTTCTGCTGCTAATTACTACAGTTACCACTTTCACCTACTAAGTATCGACAGCTAGGAAGGAATATTTGTATTTTAATAATGGCTTACAATAAAGAAAAAGACAAACTGTTCATTGCAATTATTTATATGGGATTTTATGATCATGACAGGCCTAATCTGGGTCAGCTGTGCTGAAGCAGGGAAGAAAACCTGCAGTGTACTGACTATAAAGATAAACAGTCTGTCACTAATGATTCTGTAAGCAATTCAGTAATCTATTGTCTGTCTATTAGTAGAATAAAATAGAATAAACTTTACTGTCCATTTCTGAAAATGTGTCTTTGGCTTCATCAGGTAGCACGAGATTAATAAATAGAAAAAAAAAAATCATTTCATTTTTTAAATCCAGTTATATTGATGTCACTAACAGCGTGCATCAAAAATCAAAAGAGAATTATCCTGCAGTCCTATGCACCCGTTTCATGAGTGATAACGTCCAAGTGTGATCTTCACACCACAGCCAGACATTTAGTACAGCTGCAGCCTGAGAACTTTGCCTGACTATGAAAACATTACAGGCTCTGTCCCAACTTACAGCATCCTACTACTAGTGAAGACCGTTTTCTAGTGTACATAATTGGTTGCCAGTTAAAAAAAACTGGATTGTCAACTAACTGAACCATACAGGTATTTTTGGTCATTAGGCAAAGTGCAGCTGTCACATGTTCACAATTAAAAAGCTTTACTTGAGCCACAGTTTACATGCATTCATAGGCAAATTATAGACACAGCCTCTGTAATCAGTGGCAGGACTACATTTGGCCACATTTGTGTGTGTGTGTGTGTGTGTGTGTGTGTAATTTTCCACGACGTGCGAGCCACTCACATTCCTCCGTTCACCAACAGGGACTGGATCCGCCCATCAATCCCAGCCAGCGATAGGCTGATGGCTCCATCCGTCAATGCGACCTTGCGCCCCCTGAAGCTCGGCTTACAGAAGAGAGTGATCGAGGGAAGAGAAAACTCCTGCCCAACAGAAAAGAGAAGGCAGAGACACAGATGCTTATGATTACAACCGATGATCACGTGTTCTCTTACAGAGGCCACATTTGGTAGAAGAATAAAACGTTTGTGTGGACCAGTGGCACAAATGAGTGTTTTTTCCCTCTGTCACTCTTATTTCTCGCCCTATTTTAAATCTTTTTCCTCTTTACTTGTCCACTTCTTTCTTCCCTCCTCTATTTATTTTTTCAACCAACTTCACTGTCTTCATCTCTCCTGTGCTTCTCTGTCTTTGTACTCACATGTCCTACAGTGTGCAGAGAGCGGAGGGTACAGTCTGGTCTCAGGCAGCCCATAGCCTCAGCGTCTTTGTATTCTCCTTCCTCCAGTACGTACATGTTCTCTGTAAACTGAGGCCCTTCAAACGCCACCCAGCTGAAACACAAACAAGAAAAAAAACTTAGCTACTCAAAGCAATGATGGCCAAAATTCAGATTAATACAGCTTCTCCTTTCTCTTATGTCACATTATATCACAAAATGCTTTTCTAAGAAAACCGTGGATCATCAGTACTTCAAAATCACTGACCAACGGCATGTTTCTTTAGAAAGAGAGCACAATTAGTCCTGGATTTAGTATGGTGCCGTATGTGAAATGCATTTTTGCCGGTTGTCCTTTACTTTGTGTGAACATTTTATGATAAATGGACAAATAGAAATGCTATAAAAATCACTTGGAATAAAACATTTAGCCTTAACTTACATTAAAAGTTAAAGTTTTTGCCTTTTCTTGTACAGTTGCCTTTTTGGAGATACATGTTTTTTTTAGGACAGTGATGACAGGATAAGACAAACATGATGATATGAAACTCGAGCTCACTTTAAATCTAAGCAGCCCCAGTGTATTTGAAAAATGTGGCATCACTGGTTCTTTCTTGTCTGTTTCAATTATCAAATCAAAATGTAATATTGAGATGTTTGTTTTAATCTGAGCGTTTTACAGCTCCGGGTGTCCAACAACAGTCAGAACTAGCTTTTCCTCTGCTGGCGACCAGTGAGACAACATCCTCGATATTGACTGGTCAGTGCGCTCAGACTAGTGAAGAGCTTTACAGTCACTTACGTGACAGAGTTTAAAGAAGGTATCATCTGAAACCCCTGAAAAACTGAATTGGTTTGATATGTGATCTTAAATAAACTGGCTTATGGGGTTTGTGAACCTGTATGACCAAAGTGCAGACAAAATTTAGGCCTTACAGGGGAGCTCCACTGATTACATCATTACAATGTAAAGTCATTCAGATTGGTTTGATATGAAATTGTTCATTATAGACAATCTTACAGACTATTTCTTTAGCTACAGTGGTGGTGATGGGAACCAGGGGTCATGATGCATTCAACACAAATATGGCCATTTTATTTACTATCCAAAGCCACCAGACGTGCTTCTGAGTGTTACATGTGATGTTGATGATGGTAAAATAGTCATAAATCTGAAAAAATAAGTTTTCTTTGGGGACTATTCTGCCTTACAACGCCCTGCATGTACCCCTCTGTCACGAATGGATTAAAGTAAATGGATTAACAAGACGTTTTAGGCCAAAACTGTCGCAAAACTATGTCTCAGACGTCAGGCAGTGTATATCTAACCATTTCATATAATAACTTTCTGTGATGGAGCTTTTAAAGGCAGTAAACACTTCAGACAACTGGTTCCTATCAGCAACACTTTGACTCATTTCTGACTCATTGAGCTTCTTCAGAACAGAGCATTTCACACCAAATCACTCCGCATGACTTTGTTTACATCTTAACCATTTAATTATGTGGAGTTCCCCTGTAAGATGGATGCTATTACTGTTTTTAGCCATGCTGTGTCCATTTAAGGATAACAGTGTGTCACAAACTACACATGCAAGTCTATTTGTTATTACTTAATGACTCATGGTTTGAGACGAGTGAGTGATTGTTTGGTGTGCAGTTCATGTGATGCTAATAATGTATAAGCTGCATCAGCTTCATAGCACCACTGCAAAACTAATGAAGCAAACTTCAGACACCAAACATGTCTTTGCTGATCATCTATACTTTCTCCAATAGGAAAACTGTGTATTTATATTCTGTTCAGACCTTCACTTAAAGTCCCTCATTGATTTAATATCATGTATCTGCGTTTATGATTACTCTAATCAAAAGGTATGACATTCTTTGAGAATACCAGAACACTTTTACGATGTTAAACAAACGCTCAGATTCACTTTGAAGGCTCATTTGTACACATAAAATGGTTGCAATAAATAAAACGACTGTTTATTGTAATGATATTCACTTCATTTACATATCAACAACTCAACAACCTTCAGGGAGCTTTTTATCTTCACCTCTTCACCCCTTAAACTCCAAGCTTCTTATCTTTCAGGAGCTACTATGAATTATTCAGAACCACTGTGGCAGTAATGTTAGTAGTGTAGTTATGAGAGTGAGGAAAGGGTTAATACTGGACAAGAATGTTCCTTGGTACTCACTTTCCAGCTAGAACCTTACAGGAGCGAGGGCAGAACCCGTCCGGCAGGAATGCCAAACTCTCCTCTAGAACCACAACGTCTCCCCGGAAGCCAGGCTCAGAGAACAACTGGATCTAAAATCATAAATCAATCAAATCCATTTTTATATCATATCAAAGTTAATTATAGCACAATAGACTTTACACTACACCTTCACTTTACCTTGTACTTCCACTCACTGTCCACTTTATGAGCTCCACCTGCCTATAGCTCCACTATATAAGTGTACAATTACAGACCGTGGCTCCTCTTCCTCATTCACCACTGGTCAGTTACTGACCACAGGGCTGTTTGTCCAGATATGATGTGGGTGGTGGATCATTCTCAGCACAGCAGTGACACTGACATGGTAGTGTGTGTGGTGCTGCTATGAGTGTGTCAGACTCAGCAGCATTGCTGGAGTTTCTACACACGTCAGTGTCACTGGTAGATTAAGAGTGAACCACCACCTGAAAATATCTAGCCTAGAGCGGCTCTGGTCAGAAAATGACCAATGATGAAGATCAAGGAGTGAATTACACAAACTGTGCATTAACAGACTGTAAATTAGCAGGGTTGGGCAGCCATGGGCTGGAGGTTAGGGAACCAGCCTTGTGACCGGAAGGTCGCCGGTTTGATCCCCTGAACCGACAGTATGTGACTGAAGTGCCATTGAGCAAGGCACCTAACCCCCAACTGCTCCCTGGGCGCCGTGGATAGGGCTGCCCACCGCTCTGGGCAAGTGTGCTCACTGCCCACTAGTGTGTATGTGGTGTTTCACTGCACAGGTGGGTGAAACACGGAGGTGTAATTTCCCTGTTGTGGGACTAATAAGGGTCGCTTAACAAGCTAGGGGGTTCTAATGAAGTTGCTGATGAGTGTTCACTTTATCTCCGTACAGTCACTTAAACTCAACGCAGTTACAACCAGGTAATTACTAATTGTAACTAAAAAATTAGCATTCCAAGTCATTAGCTGCCTGATATTAGGACTGCACAAGAAGACAAAATGTACTGTAACATATTAGAGCAACTGTAAAGTGACCTATAATATTGTAGCTGTCCAAAAAAAAAAAAAACGTTTCAGTTCATTTTTAATTTAAACGCAATCTTATAAACACAGTGGCTCTCCTTAACATTAAGGGAATGGAAATGAAAGTTGTTCTTTGGACAGCAACGATACTATAAGACAAACATGATGATATGAAACTCAAGCTCACCTTAAATCTCGGCAGCCCTCCTGTCTGATCCTGCAAAAGAAAAAAAAATACAAAATATATGATGAGTGCACTGAGAAATATTTGCAATACTTTTTAAAAAAAAAATCACGCACTGCAAATTAAACTTTAATGCTCCCACTGTGTGTGCTAGGACACATTTACACCTTAGTTATATAAAGTTAAGATATATATACGTCTATCTTACAGCCCCAAAATCTGAAGTCTTATGCAGTTGTAATAAAACCTTTGGATTTTTAACAACAAGCCTCGCATAGTAATTCGGATGATAGCAGTTCAGCACTTTCCAACTCTATATTTCACTATTTTTCTAAGAGAAAACTCAACAACAAAGTTCAAAACAAATGTCAAGCATGTAAACACATTTCTTTAGATTAAAATGTGTACAAATGTGTACAAAACATACAGCTGTGTCCAAACATTTGACTGCACAAGCCAGCAGAATGTATGAGACGGTGTTTACCAGAAACACGGGCTGGAGGGAGGAAATCTTGTGGTTTCGAGCGCCCCAGTCCTCCGGGCTTCCGTACAGACCTTTCTCCAGAACGTACAGCTCCCCAGAGAACGCAGCGTTCTCAAACGCCACCCATCTGCTCACAATCAGAGAGAATGACATTAGACTGTCTTACACATACAGTATCTCAGATTACACAGCTCTATTTATCTATAAGGCCTGACAGTAAAGTGTTATTTTGTGGTCATTTCTTCAGAAGCTTTGTATCCAAACACTGCAAAGTTTGCTTAGGTAGAAAGTGAGCAGGTCTCAAAGTGCACACTTGAGAAAGGGCTGATTCACCTAACCCTGCATTAAAGTAATAGCTCAGCATGAAAAAAGGACATAAGTTTCTGGAGGAGTGAGGCTACTGTAGCTAGCACCTAATTAAAGCTTACAGCCCACCACTTTCATTGTGTCTAAAATCACCACTTGCTTGCCTCAAACTGCTTAGGATTAATTAACAGACAAGCTTACGTGGTTTCTGACACTGTACGACAGGCTGTTATCTAGAAAAACGGATAAAAGTATGCTGTGCAGCTAAAAACTGGAGATGGCACTATAACACTTTTCCCAGTACCAAGTGGTATTGGACTTGGTATTAGTGGTATTGAAGTGGTATTAGTGGTACTGAAACCTTCTGTATTGGCTCAAGCCAATTTAACGTTTTTCTTTAAAAACTACACACTTAAAAGACGATCCTTCAAGGGTTCTTTAGTAAAGGTAATGGTTTTATTTATTTATTTATTTATTTATTTACTGCCAGACTCTCCAGGCCTCTTTTTTCTTCATGCTGCTGAAAAACACTGCAGCTCAAATCACTGTAATGACACCATAAAGCACATTCCACAGGTTTTAAAATGATTAAGTGAGGAAGTGGTCAACATGTGCAAACACTGAACACAGCCTACTTCCGTTGAGTCAGTGAGCCTCTCCTGCCTCCAGTTTGATAAAACTAGCCTCTGGCAAACATTCACTTCTCCTTCATTAACAGTTTCCTGCCATAACCGGCATACTGACCAAACCTTCTCCGACACCTCCCTCAAACCAGCTTCTCACTGACACACTCCAAAGAACCAATCAGACATCAGCATTGACAGTTAGACAATGAGTGCGTTTACATGCACTTAATAATCTGATCATAATTGGACTTCAGCAGTTGTATGATTATTCAAGTGATCGTATAAACAGCACACTCTGATTTCTTAGACCGGATTAAGGCCTAGAAATGTGAACAAGAATCTGATAAAGAGAGCTCGATTTTAGCTCAGTAATCAGATTTCTCAGTGCATGTGTACCCTTACTCTGATTTCTTTTCGGTTTTCTCAGTTTGCTCATGTGCGAAAAACAGACCGCTGCCCCAGAAATAGCAAGCAGATGGCAACAAAACACTTTTGGAGCGATGCTGAAACCAACTTCAGGCTTAACGAAGTGAAGAATGTAAATATGCTTTATCTTCTAGATCACGTATGTTCATATTTTCCACTAATGTGACGATGTTTTAAAACAAAAGCCACAGCATGACGTTTGAGTTTTACGTTATATTTACATCACGTCTCATTCTGTGAGCTTATTGGCTCACAGAACCCAAGTGCACATAAACACTTTGAACGAATTCCTGACAAAATCTGAATTTCAGCAGTTATCAGTCTATTAGGTGCATGTAAACACACTCTGTACACACTGTGTAAACATTTACTGTGTAAACTATTAACCAGCAGCTCCAAGGGAAGCTGCACATTATCTGGGTTTCTGTATTCGCTAACTTGCATCTTAATAAGATGTCCAATGATGAACAACCTTGAAGAACAATGTTAAGCTCAGTAAGCTAGCTATGTGAACTTCACTTAGTTTGGCTGCTGACAGCTTAATGAAACGGTTAGATTAAACAGGTCTGTGCTATGAACGATTTAATTGTCTTGTTCTAAAGCAGAAACCTGAAGTGACCAAAACAGGCTGATTAGCCATCTTGCATCTTGACCTAGCAGTGTTTACTTAGTAGCTATTACTGGTTATACTATAAAATAATACAACCCACTGTTGTCAACAGTTACAGAGAACCGTGTGAAGAGTCACGTAAAGTTTATTTCTTGAGAGTGTAAATACAAGCACTAGTTCAAAAACACTCTGCTAGCATACATGCTAAAAACATTAGCTTTAGCTACATAGCAAATAAACACTACTTCTAAACATGTTAAAGCACTGTGTTAGAGAACTGTGTAAAATGACTGCAGTCAGCTTGAAAAGCTGCGATCATTTAAACAAACTGCGATTATGCGATTATGTGAATGATTGTGACAGGCCTGTACTAAACTGGCCTGTCTGACATTGGACAGAGGGTAATGTGGCTCTTTACCCTTTACTGCCCCAGTAGAGAGGCTTACGGTCAGCTGGCTAGGCCTATTATTACAGTCTACAGTGAAGGCCAGTTACACAGAGGATTTAACAACTATGAGAATGTGTGTGTATTTATAGTACATTCAAGTGTGTGTTACTCACATACTGGCCTTTCACAGGTTTAGAGTTGTTTATACATGTTTGCGCGAGTTTGTGTCTAGGAACAGAATGTATGCTGTAGAAAAGTGAGTGTGCGTGTTGAAGTATGTGTGCGTCAGACATTCTTCTCGTCTCTTTAACCATTTAAGATCTAAACCTAAAAGTGGCCACCTGGATACGTCTTTACACTTTTGACCACAACTTGTGATATATTACACCAGGGGTGCTCAATCCTGGTCCTGGAGATGTACCACCCTGCAGAGTTCATCTCCAGCCCTAATCTTGGGTGGTGGATCATTCTCAGCACTGCAGTAACACTGATGTGGTGGTGGTGTGTTAGTGTGTGTTGTGCTGGTACGAGTGGATCGGACACAGCAGTGCTGCTGGAGTTTTTAAACACTGTGTCCACTCACTGTCCACTCTATTAGACACTCCTACCTTGTCAGTCCACCTTGTAGATGTAAAGTCAGAGACGATAGCTCATTTGCTGCTGCACAGTTTGTGTTGGTCATCCTCTAAACCTTCATCAGTGGTCACAGGATGCTGCCCACAGGACGCTGTTGGCTGGATATTTTTGGTTGGTGGACTATTCTCAGTCCAGCAGTGACACTGAGGTGTTTAAAAACTCCAGCAGCACTGCTGTGTCTGATCCACTCGTACCAGCGCAACACACACTAACACACCACCACCACGTCAGTGTTACTGCAGTGCTGAAAATGACTTACATTAAAAGTAAAGTAGGTTTTTTCCTTCTCCTGTAAAGTTACCATTTTGGAGGTACAAGGTTTTCTTCCAACAACAGCGATACGTAAATGACATCATAAAAACAATGAAGGCAAAACAGGCTGTTACCTTAATTAGCTAATATGGACTGTGGAGTGAGTGATGTGCTTCTAGACTTTACTTATATCTAAGACTTATTAAAAAAACCTCCACGATATGTGGAAAACGCTTAAAGGGTTAACAGTTGGTCTTACAGAGGAAATGAGCTGTGCTTGCTGCAGGATATGTGCCACCTCATCCAGCCTGTACTGAACAAGTGCCACACCTTTTAACTCCACCCTCGCCCTCAGCCTCCTCATCTATGTTCCTGCAGAACAACTATTAATATTACAACATAAAGAACGCAGGAATGCCAGAGAGCTTTACAGAGACACGCACCAGCCAGTAACACGACGCAGGAATGATCTGCATGTTTTCATCTACACTGTCACTGTACTAAATAAAGTTCTGTTATAAAACGACTTCCTGAACTTTTATGAAGCTCATCCTGTTGTGCTGCCTGAATGAAAGAGAAGCGGAGCGATTCAGGAATGATCGTAGCTCTCTGGACAGTTAGAGAGCTGAACGACCGATTTAGTGCTTTCCTGATGCAGAAACCGAGGAATAAGGAGAGACAGAGAAAGAAAAGGGCCTGGATGATAAAACTGAAATGAAATACTGACAGATATTTAATTTTTGAGAATGATATTAGATCCACTGTTTACTAAGCTTCGCTTTCACTCAATCCTAAAAATGAACAGCTGTTAATTTTATATACTTGTACTTTATTTTATATACATATTACTGCTAACATACAATATTTTTAATATAGATGTTTATGTCTCATTATCGACACAGAATTTTAAAAAGTCACAAAAAGTGTAACCATGGTGTCACTCGTAACCATGGCAACAGATATGTTTTCAAAGAGCAGGAATTCTTCAGCAGACAGTCAGCCTGCTGGCACGCATGCCTCTCTGAGCTGGCTCGGCACGGCTGCGTCAGACAGCGCACACCAAAAACTACAAACAGCTGGAAACACAAAGAGCCAGAAAAAGCCCAAGGCCCAAGAGACAAAGACACTGATGGAAAACATCTTGCCAGCGATGCAGAAACGGTTCAGCCTTTTGAAATCTCACAGTTTGTTCATGGCAGGACTGGATGAAAGAAGAAGACTGAAAAGAGAGGAGTGAATGGAGGGACTGGTAGATAAATAAACAAATAGATGGGGATGGATGGAGACAGGCAGACAGATACCGTACCAGCCACAAGTACGGACAAACTTATAGGCGTGTTTTTCTTGTTTTTACCATTTTCCGCATTTTAAAGTCATAATGAAGACATCAAAAACAAGTCTAATCTTCTATTTTAGATACTTCACAGCCATAATGCAGCTCTCCACTACTGACAGACATTAAGTTTCCCAAATAAGAGCTGGCTGTTTCTGCTATTTCAGTTTTTTTTTTGTTCCCAAAGTTAACAAAGGTGAAGGTAATGGAGTCAGATTAGTAGTTTCACTGGATGAATTTAAGAGAGGCAGAGATCATAAGACAGGAAAACTGCAGACTACATCGACCAGTCATCGACAAACAAAGAAAGGTAAAAGCCAAAAAACAGGGCAAGAACTAACGAGGAACACCTGGAAACACGACTATGAAGTTGTGTGAAATCCGGCCAAAAACAAAACCAGAGACAAACTCGCAAAACAAGCAACAGGTGTTAGGAATAACGAGGGGGAACGCTGGAATGATCCAATGTGATCCAGGAGAGGCGTCCTGTGATTCTCAGCCACAGCATCATGAGACATACTTAGTTCCAATTACTTTTTTTGGGGTTGTTCAATTTTAAATTGTTGAAAACTAATAAAACTGTTTTACTTTGTTTTGGAAATAACTTCACTATATTAATTTGTTTCAGGCGTTTAACGGGAAAAATTTTAGATCAAAATGTCTTAAACACAATGAAACACTACATGTCCAAAAGTTTGTAGACACATGCTCATCCAGTGTTTCAAGTGAAATCAAAGATGTTAATACAGAGTTTGTTCCTACTTTGCAGCAGTAAGAACCTCTACTCTTCTAGGAAGGCCCACTCGAATGTCTCATTCTATTAGATGCTATGGAGATTACACAAACAGTGTGTGTGCAGTTGAACACCTGTGTCAGCAACAGGTGCCCACTGAAGTAGCTAAATTCACTAATTAATAGAGGTGTCTGAATATTCTTGAATTTATAGTGTACATTCAATCAGGTGTGTCCAAATGTTGGTATGTGACCGTCATATAAAGAGAGCTTTCGTGAGGACAGCAGTTGGGACGGATACTCACACTCCAGACAGGACGTCTGCTGACTGGCTCTTGGTACCGTAGCCTGTGTCCTCCATGGCCAAGACGGGTCCCAGAAGGTCCACATTCAGGCTCCTCTCTGAAAAGTCCCTCTCACTGAACAGCTTCAGGTGAGGAGACACAAACTCCTGCAAGTCCAGGGTGCAAAGTGAAGCACAAACAGTTAAAAAGTCTGGGCCTCATTCTGATGTTGTTTGATTGTGATATGTTAACCATCTCTATTCACTATTCACTGTTCACTATAATTATTTTCCTTGATCTCCATCGGTGCTTCTACACTCACTATTTTGCATCAGAATTAAACTAGACATACTTTAGACTGTTCTCTAAACCTGTCAAAGACAATTTTATTTACTTGCTGATCAAATCCAATCCAAAAGATTGAATTTAGTAAAGGAATTATTTGTTTTAATTATTATTTTTGAACTAAAACCCATAATAATTAGAAAAGGATCTCATCTCTCTCTGCTGTCTAAAATTCTACCAATTATTCCAAATGCATGGTAAGCCTGAGGAGTGTTTATCTGTTGAGCAAAAAAATGAAACATTATAAAACTGAACCTCCAGCTTCTTTACACTCCAACCGCCAACACCCAGCACTCTAAAACTAGAGTTTACACTGATCACACTGTCTTGTTGAATGAGCATGAATTTGGTTAAAGATGTCCATCCACTGTTTGAGAGTGGTGTGGTCAGAGCTGATGGTGCTGATTCTGCAGTACTTACTGCGTGTACAGGTCTGATGGAGTGCAATGTCTCGCCCACTTCCGCCCAATCAGAGACGTCGACATATTCACCCTCCTCCAACACATACTGCCGGCCCTCGAAGCCCGGCTCTGTATAGCCCACCCATCTGTGTTAAAACACACATGAAGAGAAGTGAGGTCAACAACAAAGAACTTGAGAAGGTGTTATGACAAAATGCATCATGACCACTACATAACTTTCCTTGATAGAAGTATAAGAAATGTTCGATAAATGTTCAATATAATAGACTATTCTTGCGCTTCTGCGTTCTGGCGACAGCCCTGGTGGCGTTTTCTACTGCAAATAAAGCGACACTACTCTGCTGTCGCCACAAGAGTGCGCACTTCTGAGTTTTTCAACATGATTGGGGGGGGTGTCGCTGTACTTTAGCAACGTCTGAAACGTGGAGTTATATATTCCCTGTTTGAGTGGAGCGATCGGTGATCTGTTCTGCTGTAACCAAGTGTGAGTGATGAGATAAGTGGCATAGCTAACTGTACTGTCCTACAGTGAACTCACCTCTTTCCTAACATCCTAACAAACTTTAGCAGCATTAAATCACGTCTGCTCCTCTCAACTAAAGTGCTGTTACAGCGCTTAGTCATACTTTAGTGTTAGTGCATTTTCAAGCAACAAAAGTGAAAGAGAGAAGTGGGTTCATGTTAGTTCGAGCCCTGATTTAAACGAGAGTAAACTGAAGGTTCGGTATGTGCTGCACTGGAGAGCGGGAGAACGCTAGCTTCCCAGGCTAGCTGTTTTTAGCAGCTGGCTAACTTGAAGCAGCGCTCCGTCACTCACACAACACAGCAAATTGACGTTACTGTAGAGCAAACAAGACAAAAAAGCACTGATTTCAGTTTAAACCTAGCTAAAAGGAGGACTCTGTTTGTCTGGTGTGAGAGAATCAGACACAGCGAGCGTCAGATATATATCGCAGTTCACCCCTCAAACTCTCAGTCATCTGCTAGCTGGTGTTTGAATACTGTGATATGCTCTGACATGGATGTAAGGGAGAGTGATTGCAGTAAGGTGGTGTGATCCATCATGGACCTACCAAGCCAGCTAATGTTTGCTATTCACGCTAAGCTGACGTTGTTTAGAAACTAAACAGTTTAGCATTTGTAACTGGATAGCCTAGCATTCATCACCAGACAACTAAAATAATCTGTTTTCTTTCTTAAATTATGAATATTACAGCTGGCAAAAATCAGCCTTCAAACTTGCAAGAAATAATGATTTGACATTTATTGCGATATGTATCGATATTGACTGATATTAATTTTTTTATCGTGATAACATTTTTGGCCATATCGCCCAGCTCTAGTCCTGACCTCAACGTCTTTGGCATTAGAAGTTGATTGAGAATCAACTTCTAAGACTGAACTTCAGAAGTGTGGAATAATACCCCTGCAGATTTTGATCTGTGATGTGTCCAATTCTCTTTCAAATATGTTTTTTATAATGTGATGCTGAAAAATGAATAACTTATTAGATGAAAAAGGTGGTCTCTGACTTTTGACCTTCAGAGTCATAACTCATAAAATGTACACAGTGCAAGTTACTTTAGACGTAGCTCTGCTTAGATGACGCCATTTCCCTTAACATGAGACAACATCTGCTTCCTGTGTTCTGACATCACATTCTCGGTCATAAATGTACTAAAAATTTACAAAACAATAAACAACTTAATATCATTTTTAATCCCAAACTACACTACATGTCTAAAAGCGTGCAGACACCTGCTTGTCCAATGTTTCATCTAAAAATGCAGGAAGTTGTGCTGCACTAACAGACTCTACTTTTCTGGTAAGGCTTTACACCAGATGCTGGAACATTGCTGTGAGGATGTGACTGCTTTCGTCCACAAGAGCATTAATGAGGTCAGGTACTGATGTTGGACGATCAGTTATGGACACACCACCTCATCCCAAAGGCACTGGACGGAGCTCCATCACTACAGAGAACACAGTTCCAATGCTTCACAGTCCAAAGCTTGAGGGCTTGCCACTGGACATGGTAACCTTAGGATCATGTGGGGCTGCTCCAGAACGTCCAGTTCAGATCAGCAATGCTTTTATAGAGATTAGCTGCGAAGGCCTGTATGAGCAATGGGTGCAAGTTAAAGTAGCTAAATTCAGAAAACAGAAGGGGTGTCTACAAACCTTTTGACGTGTGTGCATGCGCCTCATTCGAATATCAGGTTAAGTAAACGGACACTGATATCTATGTATTCGAAAAACCGGGTCAATCCCTACAGCTCTACGGATTCAAGTCTTCAGTTATTTCCCAAGTCCTTTACGAGCTGAGGCAGGTGCACTGGAGAAAGGAAAACACTGAAGTGCAGCAGAAGGGCCCCCAGGACTAGAGTTGGGAAACCCTGCTTTACAGCCCTGAGACATGTGCGCCAAGGAAATTCTACTACAAACACAAATTACAGAGTTCAACAGCAGGTCTGAGAACGTTTTGCATCCAGCACACGCTCAGGTCAGGGTATCATTAGGGTAAATCCCATAATGCCTCGCAGTGGTAAGATTTACTCACAGGCCGCTGACTATTTTCATAGAGCCAACGGAGGTCAGTTTCTTCGTCTGGGCGGCTGAGGAGAGGTCTGCACTCTCGCTGCCTTCCTCAGCATCTTTCTCTGTCTGATTCTCCTCTTCCTCTCCATCTCCAATCTCAAAGACGTCTCCATCGATCTCCATGCAGGCGCCTCCAAACAGAGGCTCCTCATACAACACGGCCTACAGAAGAGAGAAAAAAATAGTTAGTTCAACTGCAAGCTCTGAAAGCTACACACATCAGGGCAATTCAAGTGGGTCTGTCATAATTCTGAAATTTCATCAGTCGATTAATTGCAATATAAATAACTGTGATAAACGATGTCATTGTCTTTTGTTATTTTATTGCATACAGCCATTAAAGTACAAGCCTGAAGTAGCCAAATTGGCTGGTTAGCTATCTTGTTTTCTAGCTGTTGATACCTAATGTCTCCTGACTGACGACAGAAACAGCTCCAGCTCAAATAAACAAACATTACTCAATGCTGCCCTCTAAAAGTGTTATTAACAAACATTAAATAAACAAAAATGGCTCATCACACTAATGGTACTAAGGGTATTTGAGCAACGGTCAGAAGTTAGCACTTTTTTGTCCGTAAGCTGAAGACATAATATGCATCTCCATAACTGTTTTCTACTCTCTTTAACTTGCATGCATTGTTTGTGTGATACAGGGTTGGGTGGAAGTCAAAATCCATGGTTTGTTGATTTACTAAGTGAAAATAAGTTACACTTACTCTACAGAGAACGCACTTCTGCACATTTTATTAATGCACATGTACTGTTTATTTGCTGAATTGAACATAAATAACATCATTTAATGTGATATTTTTAACATAACATATTAACATATATTCAATAAACATAATATGTTTTATCTAATAGAAATTCTGCACTAAAAGTAACAGAAAAATGTCATTTAAATTTGTTCTCTGTAGAGAATGTGTTAATTTTTTCACTTAGAAAATGAACATAATGTAATTTTATGGGGGTGTTTTTTTTTGGGTTTTTTTTTGCATACTGCTGTTTTTGCCTCAGCCCAACCGATAAAAACACATCCAATTCACATTGTGATTTTTGTGACAAAAACATGATCATGAACACTAACAACTATGGAAAACAACTGCCATTAACTCAAACAACAGCAATCAGATTATTATGTAATAATTGTGATAAATCCAAATTCAACTGCATTGGTTGTGGCACTTGTGTAATATAATTAAATAATATACAATAAAGTATGGTCTCATTTTTCAATCCCTGGATATTAATATATAATAATCTAAATTAAAAAAGGCTGTGTTGCTACATTTCTTTCACCTGTTTCACTACATTCCACTACATTTTCTAGAGAATAATCAAAGAAGTCACGTCAGAGATTTACACCCCAAAACACATAAAAACCCTCAAAATTAACCCACTTTATAAAATGAACTGACTGAACATGCATCTTCTAAAATACACAAACTGTATCCGTAGCTGAAAATTCTCCCTGACAATGTTTATAATGGACACTAGTTTAGTCCAGTCTGTGCTTGTCCAAAATACTCTAAATGCTGGGAATTCCTCGCCCAGAGCTGCTCCCTGAGGCACTGCAACAGAGCAGGAGTTCAAACAAGAGCTTAGAAATCATGGCTCCTTTGTCAAGGACCAGTAATTCAAGCCCTTGCGGCCACCATTTCAGGCTATTAGAAGCTATTTTAAATGCATTTCAGCTCACAAAACTGGACTCCAGCAGTCAAAAAGTAGTCAAAAAGGGGACAGCACTGTGCAGAAGTAAGAGACAACCCTACACTTATTTTATTTAAAGTCAAAACAGCTATTAACTACAGTTTTTCAGCATCCAGAAAAAAAGAAGAGAGTGTTCACTCTTTATTACAGCTTTCATTCTTTTTTTTTAGGAGACTCACTTTCAGTTTCTTAAAGAAATCTGCAGGGATGTTTTCCTCACACCTCTAAAGTTCAGTCTTAGAAGTTGGTCGTATTTCCTACTTCTTATCATCCAAGTAATCCCAAACACACTGAATAATGCTGAGATCTGGACTCTGGGGTGGCCGGTCCTTTTTTGTCTGTTCATTATGGACACATCCTTTCAGACCCGTAGCGCTGAGTCGTCTTCTCACAGTGGAAGGATGGACAGAAACACCTGTGGATGTTTTCAGATCTGAAGCAGCTTGATTTTCTCCTCTCTCTCAAAGATGGAAGCTTTTTGTGCTGTTTATCTGATGGGGACAGTTTTGGTGTCTATCAGGTCTTCCAGGTGGTTGTCAGGAGTCTCATTTTCTCCACATCTTTTTTTCCCCCCATTTTTTTCCAATTTAGTTGTATCCAATTCCACCCACTAGTTAGGACTCCCCCAGTCACACGATACCACCAGCGCTAGCACAGGCCACCTCTGAGACCTGAGAAGAGCCACTACATCTTTGCGAACTGCTGCTAAGGCAGCGTCATTGTACAGCTGAATGCACTTGGATGAAAGCACCAACCGCCAGTTCTGTTATGTTAGCTTACGCTGCCCGGGCCAGCATCACGCTGGGTGATGGGGGCATAAAGGGGGCCATCCTACCCACATAGAGAGAGTAAGGCCAATTATGCTCTCTTGGACTCCTGGCAATGGATGGCTGTAGCATCACCAGGGATTAAACTCGCAATCTCCTGATGACAGGGCCAACGATTGCGCCACTCGCAATGCAAATAAATGAAGTCTAAACAGGTTTACTTTATTACTTTAAATAATTACACATAAATATCTGTGCCAGTATTAGTGACAGCGCTGGCTCGGGAATAATGCCAAACCACACCCAGTGTATCCCCTTTTTGTAATATCAGCACTCAGCAGCACTCAAACCTTTCAGGTGTTCAGACCATCTCTGAACCGACAGAGTTTCAATATATGCTTTTAACAATAGTTTGAAAAAGAAAACTATCAAAGTATTCAAGCAAAAACTGCTTGCATACCAACAAGACATTTTGATGGACAAGAAGCTGAGTGCTGAAGCTGAAACACTGAGTAAACAGCTGTTTTAAGTCATAAAAAACACCTTTTCAAAAGAAGACAAGGTGTCCCCAAACTTCTGATATGCAGTGTACACTGGTCTATCAATTGTCTTTGGTTGTTTCCTTGTCAATAAAACCTTGTTATTATAATCTTCTGAATATGCCCTTGTTTAAACCAAGCTTCCTTTCAGCTTCTACAAATCTAAAAACAATTCTCTCAGCTTTTAGATGATGTCCTAAGAGTGCAAGTGTGGGATGTTATGGAGTCTGAACAAAGAGACTGCTGACACAAGCCAAATGTGCCAGTTAAAACAGTTAAAAAGGCTGTCTGGGCATGCCCAGTTCAGACTTGCTACAGCACCTGTAAGAACAGGTACCTTTCCACTTTAATACACAGTGAATGCTTTTGAAAACACGTGAATAAAACCGCACTTTGATGATAATGAATAAGAGCCGGTGGACTGACGTTCACTATTGTGCAACTCTCGTCAGGAACAAGATGATGCGAAATGAAGGCAGCTTCTGGCATGTTAAACTCAGAGAATTGAAGTGAATAATGAAATTACCTTGACTTCACTGGGATTCTCCACTTTTATACCGCCCTGAAATAAAGGAGATAAAGGTTGTGTTTAATGATGTCAAAGAATTCAATTCAATTTACTGTGAGATGAGGTAGTAATTAAAGTGGCAGCTTGGCAAAATGTCAAATTTACACAGTTTTCTCTCATTACTCTAAATGTAGACCCTCAGTCAGGGTGTGTTTGGTGTCTGAAGATTGATTACATTACTTATTGGCTACAATAGCCTTAGTAAAAACACTATATGGCCAAAACTATGTCTACACTGGACCATCATACCTCCATGCGCTTGTTGGACATCCCTTTCCAAAGCCATTGGCATTAATATGGAGGGCTATGCTGTCTGGAACTCAGTAGTGAGTGATGCAACAGAGGACAGACGATTTTTCATGCTATACACTGCAGCACTCAGTGGCCCCACTCTGTGAGTATGCATGGTCAAGCGCCTTGTGGCTGAGGTGTTGTAGCTTCTAGATGCTTCCATTTCACAATTATAGCACTTACAGTTGACCAGGGTAGATCTAGCCAAGCAGTAATTTCCCGACTTGATTTGCGGCAAAGGTGGCATCCTATGAAAGTGCCATGTTTAAAGTCACTGAGCTCTTCAGTACAAACCACTCTACTGCCAGTGTTTGTCTATGGAGATTGCATGGCTATGTGCTTGATTATATACACCTGTTAGCAATGGGTTTGACTGACACACTTGAACTCAATAATTATGACCGGTGTCCACATAGCGTATCTTGACTACATTTGGGGTAAGTGCAAAAACTGTAAAATAGACTTTTGCCAAGCTCTTGATTTGCATGTTCTGAAATGATGTGCATTACTAAACCATGAGCATATCAGTGTTAGCGAGTGGCAAAAAACATACAAACATTAAAATAATTTCTGCAAATCCTGGATATAGTTACCATTTTGAGTGGCCGCAATGATCCGACGAAGGGAGCAGGGAAGCCCCAAGACTCAGGACAGGGATACTCCCCCATCTCCAACACAGACAGCAAGCCCTGGAAGCCTGGATCACTGAAGACCAGCCAACTGCACACACAGACACAGGCATGCAGTCAGCTTGATCTACATTTTTGTAAATACTCTGCACTTTAGTTTAGTGGCTTTCTTTTGTATTTATGTGTCTACTTACGTATGTATTCACTCCACTAAGACAATTTTTTGTGCATGGCCAAACTCTAATAGTATGCTATATTCTATGGTTTCAAAACTTCTGAATGTCAGTGGTTGTGTCTCTACACTGTTGCGCTGAAATCCCCTACTGTGGTTTTAACTGTGGGAAAAAGGGGCTTGAAATCAATTCCTGAGCGAATACCACCCATTCTGGAAAAAAAACGCAAGAAGACATGTGGAAAACATCTCATGCCTGTTGCCGAATAGTTCACAAAATAATCTATTCTCAAAATGTACTACAAACTACTGCCTTTACTTCATAAAACTGCCATTATGCTCTAACAGCAGATTACACATTAACCACAACAGAAGAAACATGTTCCCTCTAATCTTAACATTCTTAGGATGGGTTTCTCAAAACACACATTATTTGCTTCACACAGTATTTCTCAGCTGAATAACTCAAGTCGCGATACGTCAATAATATCTCTAAAACTACAGTCATACGCAAAGGTTTGAGCACTTCCTATCAATTTCAGTGCACCGCCTCTATTTATTTGCTGAGTTTAACATATCATAAAACTAAAATATACAAAATATGACATAACTTCTACACAGGCCGCATTTTTTGTTTTATTTTTCCCTCCAAAATGTCAAATTCAGCAAATAAACAGTAACTTTGAGTAAAAAATTTACAAGAGTGTGTTCTCTGTAGAGGATGTGTTAACTTATTTAAAAAAATAAATAATAATAATAATAATAATAATAATAATAATAATTCAACAAAACTTCATTTGACCAGGGGTGCCCAAACTTTTGCATAAGACTGTATCTCCTCTTCTGTTGAACACTCTTGAACTATTTGACCAAGAAATCATAGTTCATGATCATCCTTTTATCTTTTTTGTTTTATGGTCCGACTCTAACCACCTTTTACTGGAGCCTCACTGATGTTTTGTTGATGAACAAAAATATTGGCTGATATTCACAACCTATAGTTTTATTGGTATTGGCAAAAATATTAATGTGCCAATAATAAGCAGCCTTTTGTGGGTCAAGGCACCGAGAACACAAAAATATACAAACGTTATAACACAAGCTTTTTATGACAAATATTGCAAACCAGCAAAGACTTCTGGGTAGCTCCACTCCCAGTGAGTTTCTGCTGTTTATGCGAGTTTAATCAAATCTGTGAGCAAAGCACTGTTTAACTAAAATAAAACTACTGCAGCATAAAATCATAATACAACATATAAATATAAAACTATATATATCTTTTTTTTTAATGCATTGCTGGCGAAGACATTTTAGGGCACAATAGTACTAAGATTCAGATTCATCAACATTACATATAAAACTCAGAAGACCTTTAGGTTCACGTGTCGATTGTAAATAAAATGGCTATATTTATGTTGTAGTCATGGTGACCCCTGGTTCCCGTCACCACCACTGTAAAGACATCTGAGCTGGTAAGTTTCTCTATAATGAACCATTTCACATCAAACCACTCTGAATGACTTTGTTTTCAGCTCAGTGATTATTCTATGCAGAAGTTTTGCAAAATCGGTGGAATTTCCCAATATCGGCAATAAAACTTTCATGTCACTTGGTCACATAAATATTTAAACAGGTCCCAAATATAATCCTAGTATTTACCTAAAGAATATTACTGACAAATCCTAAAAAAAACCTTAAAAAGTCAATCTAGGAGTAAGCATAAAGAAGCTTTCTGTGTTTAACGGGAGACTGCAGTTCACAAACTAAAAGCTTACAGCTCTGTGGACTAAAGTGTGGTGTGGTTTGCCAAACAAACAAACAAACAAATAAATAAATAAATGCAGTTAAACTCCAGGGCTCCAGAAACACTTTAGCACTGCAGAATAACGTCTCCAGACAGCAAGCTCTTTGCTTCAGACACGCACTAGCAGGCCTGCAACATTCCAGTGACCGAGAAAAAACAACCTTCGCTCTCTCTCTGTTGTGACTCTGTTGTGTGAGGTACCGCCAACGACTGAAACTCATGTAGATTTAATCTTTGGAAGTAAAGACTCATTATTGTTTTGCTACACATTTGTTATACATTTTCAACAGAATATCGCTTGTTTCAATGACCTACCAGTGAGAAATAATTCATATAAAATTACAACGTGCTTTTGTTAAAGCCGGCAACAAGAACGACTTCCAGAAGGTTAAAAATGTGAACCTTAATACTTCTACAACATGAACAACAGTCACATGAATTATTCTATTACTGAACTGGCACAGCCGACTCCACCCAAAACAACACGCTCTGTGTGTTCTCCCACAGTGACAAACAAACTCCCACTCATGCATGCACACTGAGCACTGAATAAACTCTGATGATGTGCTTTGGGAAAAGGTCTGACTGAAAGGGCTGAGGATGACTCACACTCCGGAGTGGACCTTGATGGACCCGGTACTCTGTGGAAGTCCGTATGAGCAGACCTCGACGGCGTCGTCACAGAACGCAGACACTCGACCCAATCCATTCGGCTCTGCGAACAGCTCTATCTTAGGCAGACTGTAGTCCTGGGAGCACAAGCAGTGGGAGAAGAAAAGACACATAAAAATCACCTTTTCATTTATGTAGTTTCCAGTCAAAACGGCCATTAAATATACGTAATTTTTCAGTTTCAGTGGAAAAAAAAGAGCAGAAAATATGTATTTAACCAAAATTTACACAGAAGCCTCCAACACTAAGTATGATATCAAATAGTTAAGTTAAAGTTAAGTGACCCTTATTAGTCCCACAACAGGGAAATTCAACCTCCGCATTTAACCCATCCATGTCAAACACCACATACACACTAGTGAATGCACACACAAACTAGGGGGCAGTGAGCACACTTGGCCGGAGTGGTGGGCAGCCCTATCCGCAGTACCCGAGGAGCAGTTGGGGGTTAGGTGCCTTGCTCAAGGGCACTTCAGTCACATACTGTCCATTCAGGAGATCAAACCGGCGAGCTTCCGGTCACAGGGCTGGTTCTCTAACCTCCAGCCCGTGACTGCCCCCAGTAAATCTACCATTTTTTATTTTTTTTAAATACATATTTTTTAATTTACTTTACTTTTGTGCACCTACTGCCACTTTAATTCTTCCATCCTTCCGATCTTAAAACTGAGTTACAGCTGCATCCTCCCATCAACGGCTATTTCCAAAGCTCTCAGCGACATTATGTTCCCCTTCAAAGAGACACCAACATTCAAATACTACCCAAACACACATTAGCTGCCTTCAAATGCTTTCTCATGTGAAATGGCTAACGGAGATATTTCTGAGGAGAACAGATTTAACATGTAAAAACATATATTTTTAAAACACGTTCATGGTGGAGAGGTACATACAGACTGTTTTAAGGCACAATAGTACCCAAATAGTAGGGAATCACAATACCACAATAGTAACCAAAATGCCTTTTTTTCAGATTTACCACTATTTTACCATCATCAACATTGCATATAAAAACTCAGAAGACACGTGTCGGTTCACTGCTGGTTTTGGATAGTAAATAAAATTACAATATTTGTGTTGTAGACATGGCAAGCCCTGGTTCCTATCACCACCACTGTAAAGAAATCTGAACTGATTTGATAAGATGATAAGAAGCCATTACAGACAAAAGGACACAGACAAAAACTGCACACCAAACCACACCAAACTTGTCAAACCATGTCTTTTTACATGTCACTTTGTGCACTGGTACAGGAAAGGGCCTTCACAAAACAGCAGCAACAGAGCTGGAAGCACAGAAGTGTCTAAAATGTCTTTGTTTGCTGCAGCATTAACATTACCTTTCACATGAACTAAGGAGCCCAAACCCTGAAAAACAGCCCCAGATTATTATTTCTCCTCCACCAAACTTTAAATCCACTGTGCGTTCCGGTAAGTAGCATTCCTCTGGCATCTGCCCAACCAAAACGTGTCAATCAAACTGCCAGACTGTGAAGCGTGACTTGTCAGTCAAGAAAACACGCTTCCAAAGCCCAGTGATTGCTGTGCGCTTCAGCACTTGGCGGACCCGCTCTATGAGTCTGTGTGGTCTACCGCTTTGCGGCTGAGCTGTAGACGCTTCTAAGGGCTTCCATTCACAGAAACAGCCCTTACACTTGGCTGGGGCAGATCTAGCAGGGCTGAAACTTAATGAACTGACTTGTGGCAGGGGTGGCATCCTATGACAGTGTCACATTTAAATTCACTGAGCTGTTCTACTGCCAGTATTTGTCTGGGTATACTGCAAGGCTACATGCTTGATTTTTATATGCCTGTTAGCAATGGGTGTGGCTGAAACCCTGACCTCAATAATTATAAGGGATATCCACATACTTTTGGCCATATCGTGTATGTTTAGGTGTCTAGGCTTCTGTGTAATTTTCTATTAAACACGTTTTTGGCTTTTCCTCCTGATGCTAAAAAATGAATGACTGTCTAATTGGTGGTGTCTAATTTCTGCGCAGTACTGTTTTTATTGTATATTTTTATTTACATGTAATAGTTCACTAACATCATTATTCATATATAATTTACAGAAATATAATAACCTATTTATTTATTATTTATTAGTATTGTAAGTGCTCTGCTCACTGCTCAATATTAACACCATAAATGTACTGCAGAAACTCATTCTCATGAACAGCCACCACCCATAATAGCACACACTGCTGCCACAAGGAATGGTTTCCTGGATTTAATTATGTTGTTATGATTCTGCACTAAAGCTTCTTTTTCAGGCCCACACGGAGGCTGAATAGACTCAGGCTGAATTTCAGCTAACGCTGAAGCCTCTCCGCTGTTAAAAACGGAGGACAGTCAATGAAATCACAGTGAATCATCAAACCGCAACCTGTGTGACCCATTATCCAATCCAACATTAATAGCCTTTACAGGCCACTGAGCACTCTCCAGGCTCTCGATAAATATCAGAGGTGTCAGAAAAATCTGGCCACAGTAGTAGTGCTTGTGTCAAGCGCATGTAGTGTTGAGAGCCAATTCCCCATTTATACTGCTCCTGTTTAGCCAGCACACTCCTATCGTGGCTTTCACACGAGCATGAAACTCTCACCTCCTTCTTAAAGTTCCAATTCAGTAGGGTTTGTGAAGACATGAGGTCAACCCCAAAGAATAAACATGCAAGCTAGCAATGGCAGTCTCACTTCACCAACTCTCAAACCACAAAAACATCAGTCAATCTCAAATCCGTTTAGCAAAATTGTCAATTGATGTTATCCAAGGTCAGCCCAGTCTTTTTCTCTGACTGTGTTCTATTCAGGTGTGGCTTCTTTCTCACTTTCATTCTAACATACTCGCTCTGTAACTAGGGGCAGATGATACTATCAGATACTATATGATACTATTATATATTATATTATATTATACTATATCGGTATGGGGTAATTGCCAGGTTATTTAGATGTAACCAATATTGTAAACCAGCATTTGTAAAACTCAACAAATACCTGTTATATTTTTCCCATTCTCACATTTTATAAAAAATTTTGTATTAGCATTTTGCAGTCATATGCAAAATTTGAATAGCCCTAGTCATGCTTTTTTACTTTCTATGTGAAATACATTAACACATCCTCTACAGGACAAACTTAAACATGGCATTTTTCTAAAAATTGCAGTGGACCACTTGGATTTATTTGCTGAGTTTAACATATTGAAAAAAATATACATACAAAACATGCCATAACTTTTGTACAGGCCATGTTATATTAAATTCAGCAAATAAACAGTAATGATGCATGAAAATGTGCAGAAGCGTGTTCTCTGTAGAGGTTGTGTTAACTCATTTTCACTTAGAAAATCAACAAAACATGTCGTTTGACCAAGGGCACCCAAACTTCAGCACACGCCCTGTTCATGAAGAATATCGGGTATCGACATTGGCCCACAATTCCCATTCTGGTGCATCCCTATATATTATATAACGCTAACTGTTGTCCACACTTCGGCAAAGCTAAGTACTGATGTGGACGTTCTTACCCTCACAGCCAGTCGAATGGAACCGATCACCATGGGCTTGGTTGGGAGCGGCATTCCGTTTGGCCCCACCTCCTGGCCAGGATCTATCTCCGCCCACTCATTAACCACTTCAGTTGGCCCCTCTTCTAGGGCGACGGTCCGTCCCTGGAATCCCGGCTTTTCATAAAGCAGCCAGCTACACAGAGAGGATAGTGGCCATGATTTACTGTATTATAATGTGCAATGTAAGTACAGTACATTACTGAACTATGAAGACAACTAAACACTAAAGCGACACTGAAGTCGCAGAGCAGCCAGTAAAGCATAAATAACATGTACAACTACTTCTAATAAAGTTTTTGCATTTACATATTCAGTCTAGATCTGAGTTCCTCACTCCGAGTTCTGGAGGGCAGCAGTCCTACCAGTTTATTCTTTGGCTAATTTTGAGGCACTTTCTGAGCTACATCTATGCTCCTTTGTAACCGGTAGAAAGAAACATCGTTGAACATCAAATGCAGTTGTATAGAGAGGCTAAAACTATAAAAGGTAAGCAAAATAAAAATATACTGAATCTTTTTTTCCTCCAGGCAACAAGGCCTAACAGCCTTATGTAAGATATTACCTTAGAAATACCAAGAATATAAAGAAAGCATGTGCTTTTAATTCTCATCCATGTAGTCTATTCTGGGCGTAAGCCTAAACTGTGCATAAGCATAGTTGCATGAAGACGATATTTTAAAATATGTCAAGGTGGCTCTCATTACTTTATGGTTATATTCTAACATATAACAAGGACAGAAATGTGAAAGGCACTTTCAGATAGTTTTCATTGGTTTTGCTTCAGTTCATTGCCTGCCTGGCCCGGAGGAGCTCTAGAAAGAAAACAAACTCTCACCATCCTCTGACGACCTTGAGAGAGATGATGGGGGAGAGCTGTAATGAGGTAGCGTCCTCTACATCCCTGAACACCTCATAGGCCTCTCCTCCAAACTGGGCTTGCTGAAAGATGACCAGCTGTAAGGAAAGACACAAAAGATCCCACTTTGGTTGTAGTACGTTAGCATTTGTGTAATTTACTCTACCACATGGTCTGGTTATTGTAGCATATCCACTCAAGACAATACAAACTCAAACATACCTTTCCAGGGCGTTTATGAAAGCCTCTTACTGTTGTTATCTGCAAAGGAAATCTGAGTATTATTTACTGTGTTAAAGTCACAACACTACAAATCTTTATTATATTTTCACAGGCCAAATTCAGAAATACTGTCTACTTCCACACAGATTAACGTCCATTTATAAAAGCATGAAGGACACAGACTAACCATTCTGTAACAGACTGCAAAAAAATGATATCTTGGCAAGTGAAAATACCACAAATCTTTTCAACATATTTCTTATTTCTTATAACATCGTTGTAAGAATATTATAAGATCGTTTAAGTTATTTTCAAGACACTTTTACCAATTTTAAGGGATTTAATTCAATTTTTTGTTGGTATAATGCTTGAAACAAGAACAATTATCTGCTAGTAGAACTTGCCAAGTAAAAATACTAGAAATAAGTTAAATAATCTGCAATATTCAGACAAATATCTCAAAATACAGAACATTAGACATATCGGCTAGATTTACATTTTCACTTAACAAGATTTATTTTTTGCATTGCATATTTTGGAGAAGGAACCCAGCATCTTAAACAATAGCTTCAGATTTACTTTTGAACATGTCGAGAGAAGCATTTAAGATCCACGTCTGAACAATAAACTGAGGCCCAGTGGGTTAACATTCCTCCTGCACTGAGATATGACTCATGATGCAAGAAAGCAAATTGGTGGGAGGACAAGGCAGGTAGTAACGACCAAAGCTGAACTCAAAGAAAATGCTCAAGACCTCTTCATAGCACAAAATATCTATATTGGAAAAGTTCCATTTAAAAAAAAATATTTTGAGCTCACACTCACCTGTGTGCGTGTTGGAGATGGTAGTTTGGTCTGCGGTGCTTGTGGTTTTTGCTGAGAGGCTGGTTCTGGGGGCTCTGGCAGGCTCTTTTGGCCCACACTGTCTGGTTTCCCTCCTAATGCCTCAGGGCTGACACTCACCTCCAATGCTGGGAAGAGGGAATGTGCTTCTGTGCTTTGGGAACTATTTGGAGTGGCTTCCCTGTCTTTCTTCAGGTACTTCTCCAGGTAATCAGGGAGCTTGACTTCAGAGAAGTTGGGAACAGGAGGAGGTGGAAGAGGAGGAGTGGAAGGACTCTTTAGTGAGTCACCAGACCCACCCACAAGCGTACCTCGATCTGTCAAGTTCCCTTCAGCCACCTTTGGTGGCTGGACAGCTTCAGATGGTGTCACTGGGCTCTTCTCATCCGGTGTTAGAACTTGTTGGGATGGAGAAGTGGGTGATACTATTCCATCTGTAACAGTGTCAGGCTCAGTTTGGGTCCTCCTTAAGGTCTTGGAAGAGCTCATTAGGTTAGATAGGATAGACATTCTTTCTAACCGCGAAGACATCTTTCCAGAACCGTCGGTGGTAACTTGGTCTTCCTCTTTTTCCTTCTCCTCGGCTGCCTTTCCTTCTTCGTTTTTGTCTTGGCCCCGTCGGGAGGAGAGCGACTTGAAAAGCAAGCTGTCTTCAGTCCCCAAGCGCTTCGGAGGCTGCTTGTTCCTTGCTTCCTCATTTTTCCTTTTGATCAGCATGGCTGGAGATGGATCTTTCGGGCCCGTGGTCTTCCGCATCCCGAACTTGAACTCCTCAGGGTCGAAGGTCTTCTCAAAACGATCTTCTTTGATTGCAGGCAGAGCAAAAGCAGGCGTCATCATCCTGGTCTGGCCATGCTTTTTTGGAGGGAGGGAGAACGGGGAGCAGAGCTCTTTGATGTTGCGAATGAAGTCTTCGGAATCATCAGAAGTGTCCAACAGGCTATCATCGCTTGCTGAACAGTCCATTCTTCGTTCCATCTTACTTTGCTTCTTCTCAAATCCTCGGTCCACATCCAGCCAGCTGGACGGAGCTTCCTTACTTTTGGAGAGGCTTTTAGAGCCCAGTGGAAGGTCATGGGCCGTTATTTGTTGAGATTTATTGTTTGGTGGGGGCAGTTTGAGTGCATCAAATACTGACCCAGTCTTATTCTGAGATTTTGTGAGATCAGGTTTATGTTTCTGTTTGGTTTTCATACTATCAGGAGTGCTGGTTGTCATAGCTTCACTCTTTTTATCCATGTGGAAGCTCATCTTCTCAGCTGTTGCAGCTTCCTGATTAGGAACTAAACTTGAATTTTGAGGACATTTCTCTTCAGATGCAGCCTTAGTAACTGGTTTCTTTACAGGGATATCGTCCTTCTTGACAAATTCTGGGGTTAGTGGTTTAAGTGCATCGTGAGCTTTTCTTGTATCAGATGACTTCTGTAATAATTTTTGTTCATCTCTGCTGTCTCGAGCAGATGCATCAACCCTCGCCTCCTCGTGACCAGCTTCCTCAGTTTGAATCACAGCTGCTGTGGTTTTCGACCGGGTTTCTGCATTCACTGCAATACCATTTACTACAATGTCCTTTTGTTCTTCGCCCTCAGCTTGATGAGAGGTCTTCAATGCACCCTCCCGTAATACCGGAGAGGCTGTTTCCTGTGGTCTCTCAGACTGCTCAGAGCTTTTAGTTTCAACTTCTCTGGCTTTTGTGTGGTCACTGGCTGCTGGTTTGAGTGAGACTCCGTCTATCTTTTTAGCAGTCGGTCTGTCCTCACCTGCGACAGATACTCCTGGAGGAGTTTCCTCTTCTTTGACAAGATCTGTTTTTGCTTTGGGCTTATCCGCTTGGACAGTAGTATCTGTTGACGCTTCTCCACCTGATTTTGTCACTTGATAAACATTTGTTTCTGGAGCTGCTTTGGTTTCAACTTGATCAGACTTCTCGACAGCGATCGCTTCAGCAAGGTCTTGTGTTGAATTACCAGCCAATACACTAGCTGTGCTCTCATTCTGTGTTGAAGTTGTGGTCAAAACAGTTAGACTCTGTGGTTCTCCGGTCTTGTTCAGTTTCTTTTCAGGCGTATGACATGTGGTATTTAAGTCTGCTGTATCCTCTATTGATTTAACAACTACATCCTGCATCTCTTTGGGCTCTTCCACCTCCTTTTTAGACGCATGAGTATGTTCGATGGTCTTCAGATTTCTTATCTGCTTGTCCTTGACCGGTCCTGATTTCTTTTCAGATGCTTGAGTTGGAGTTTGCAAGTCTGCAGCACATTCCTTGGGTTTCACACGTACTCTCTGCTTTTCCTCAGCCTTGTCCATTTTCTGAACAGATATTTGAGATGTACTTTTTAAGCTTGCAGTATCCTCTGAAGATGTAATGCTTGTTTTCAGCATCTCTTTGGCTTTGTCAGTGCCCTGTTCAGATTCTAGCTGTGGAGTTTTCAAATCTGCAGTATGCTCAGTGCTCTTCTTGCCTTTGGGCTTTTCCACTTTCTGTTCAGATACTTGAGGTGGAGTCTTCAAGTCCGTACTATTCTCAGCAGTTTTAATGCTCGTTTTTACCATCTCTTCGGCTTTGTTCATGTCCTGTTCAGATGGTAGAAGTGGAGTCTTCAAATCTGCAGTATGCTCAGTGCTCTTCTCGCCTTTGGGCTTTTCCACTTTCTGTTCAGATACATGAGGTGGAGTCTTCAAGTCTGCGGTACTATCAACAGTCTTAATACTCGTTTTCAGCATCTTCAAGTCTGCAGTATGTTCAGTAGTCTTCAGACTCTCCTTTTCTTTGGCCTTGTCCGTTGTCTGTTTAGAGGTCTGCAAATCTGCATTTGTAGCCTTCATACTCTGCATTTCTTCAGCTTTGTCAGCTTCAGATACCTGAATTGGAGTCTTCAGGTCTGCAGCTTCTCGTTTAGAAGTCTGAGACTGAGTCTTCAAGTCAGCAGTATGCTCCAAGTTCATGCTCACACTCTGCATCTTTTTCATTGAATCCATTTTCTGTTCAGGCACCTGAGCTGGCGCTGTATGTTCTACAGTCTTACTGCACACATTCTGCACTTCTTCAGCATCAGATGTTTTTGGTGGACTCTTTAAGGCTGCAGTATGTTCGGTGAACTTCACAGTCGCACTCTGCTTGTCTCTGACATTACCCATTTTCTTTTCAGCTGCTTGAGTTGGAGTCTTCGCGTCTGCAGTGCTCTCAGTAGTTGTCACTCTCACACTCTGAACCTCTTCGTCCTTGTTCGTTTTCTGTTCCTTCTCTTGAGCTGATGTTCCCTTGTCTGCAGCAAAGGTCTCCTTTTTCTCTTCAGATGCTTGCAGGTCTGCAGCATGCTCCATGCCCTCCGTACTCCTTTCTTCTGCTTTGTCCACGCTCTGTTCTGAAACTTCAGCTGGAGTCTGGGAGTCAACAGTGTGTTGTACTTTTCCTTTTTCCACCTCTTTTCTATGTTTAAGTTTAGTGGGACTTTTCTGACGTGGCGCTGGAATACTGCTGCCCGCTGTTGGAAAATCGCTCAGCTCCTTCACGGGCCTTTTTGGTTTAGCTTCTGGTGAGGCCTTCACCACAGCATTCCCAGCAGTTTGGTCACGTTCAGCCCATTGGCCAGGACTTAGAGGACCGTTGACTGTGGATGAATCATCATCATGCTCAAGCTTGGCATCAGTTTGCAAGGGTTGCCTGAGTGAGTCATCTTCTCCATATTCAACTTCTTCCTCCGAGGGCTGTTTTGGAGCGCTGGGTGGGGTTAAACGAGGCAGTTTACTTCCCGTTGGTGATGCTTCGGCTTTGTGTTTTTTTGGAGTCTTTGTCTTGGTGATGTGGGTTTCATTTGTGGCCTTTATGCTGCTCTGCTCTGAGGGAGAGGGAGGCATGTTGTCTCTTTCAGTTTTGTTGACAGATTTAGGGCTTTTATTAACAGAGTTTGTTGATTTGAGTCTGGAGTCAGTGCTTCTGACTGAAGGTTGTTCCGAGCTTTTCGGCAACTTGCTCTTGGGGCTCAAAGGCTTTTCAGTAGAAGTTTGTGATTGTATTTTAGACTTCACACCTTCCTTAGAGTCACTGAGCTCTTTAGGTTGCTCCAAACCAGTAGGTGATGAGTCAGTTTTGTCCTCGGTGCTTAGGGATTTTGAATACTTTCCTTTCTTCGGCTCTTGCTCTGTAGTGTGAGGAGACTTTGGTGCTTGGTTAGCCTCTAAACCTCGAAAAGCCACGCTTACCTCATCCTTAACAGGTGACCTGGTTTCACTTTTACCAGGCGGCAGTGGTGGCTGGGGTTTTGTAACAGTATTACCTGAGCTGAATGTACCACCCTCTGCCTGTGCCATCTCATGTGTCCGAAGCGGAGAGGACACTGACGCATCGGGTGACGTGCTTGTTTGTAAAGCTTTCTTTGGTTTTGGTGGTACATCAGGGGCGGTCTTCTTAGGAATTTTTGACTTGTCAGAGGGCTTAGTGAATGCAGTAGGCTGCTCCCTTGTTGTGGGTGATTTACTTTCTTTTTTCTCGCTGCCATTTTGGGCAGCCTTTCTTCTGCTTTCTTCCTTTGGGGCCTCTGTGTAATTTGTAACTTGACCCATGGCAGCTTTTGTTTTCGGTGCCACTGGTGGGGCTGAGCTTTTTCCAGTACTCTCTTCATTTGATCCACTGCCCACTTTCTCCACACGCCTGGACACTGCAGCCGAGGTTTGTCGGCTGCTTGCCACAACCCTGAACTGTCCCTTGAATCCAGGCATTTCTGTCAACTGAGACTCCTCGTGAGTGTCTACGATGTTATTAGAAAGTTCTGTCAGGCTCTCTACATCCTCATCAAACTGCTGCTCTGTGCTAGCTTCCTCTTTCACAGACACATCATTGCTTTCTCCTACAGAGTCGTATGACTTGATTTCCACGCTGACGTTCTTAAAGTTTGGCTGACTGTGGAAAGAAAAATAACAAAAACATAAAGACACTGCTATGCTGAGAAACAGGCATGGATGAGATTAAGAAGGAATATGTTTTCATTTCCAAAGCCCTCTATACTTAAAGCCACAACCAGGTATTTGCAAAACTTTGGAAAGCAAATTTAAGGCATTTTTCTCACTGAACTGGACAGATTATACATCTTATAGGTCAAAGGGGGAATTCCAAAGATATTTCAGAATTCTAGCATTATTGAAATCGCAATGACTGATTTAAGTCTTTCGGACCTGTTTGACACAAAATACAACAGAAATTCTAGAGAAACTTGCCAAGTCACAATTGTTCCAGACAACCAGACAGAGAATAATGCCTCAAAAAGCTCCCATACAGATACACTGCCTGATGGCTGAGACCTTGTTTTGCAATGGTTTTGAGATAAGCTTTTAGCATGAAATATATTTTTAATATCCAATCATAGCGGAGAAATACATGCAGAGTGGTGGAAGGCAAAATAGCCTTAATTATTTTTTCAGATTTAGCACAAACATTCTATTTAAAAATACACATATTTACAGGCTGTTCTGAATAGTAAATAAAAGGGCTGTTCGCTTAGACATCGTGACCTTGGGTCCAATCACCCCCTCTGTAAAGTAATAAAAGTTGATAAGTTTCTCTACAATGAACCATTTCATATCACACCACTATGAATGACTCTGTTGAATGAATGACTTTCAAATTTTAGAAGAAAAAATCTTTGAAATGACCACATCTATCAGCTAAAAGAGTTAACTGTGCGACATGAAGGCCTACAGTGTGTATCATTATTTTAATGCTTACAAATATTGTAATTATATTAACATAATATAAAGTAAGTATAAATGAGCTTCTGAATGTGTTTCCTTTTGCCAGACACTTATACTGTGCTTATTTAGGATAGTTAGGAGGGGGAAAGGCCGCTGCTTTGACTCTGTTGCTCTGCAATCTCTGATTATGGCCTTCAACAACAATCCATGCTGTTTCTTCAACACACAACAGAGTAACCGTGGTGACCAATGACACATCTCAGACCATCTAAATCACTCAGACATTCAGTCAGGCTGAATAAATGTTTAGTAAATCATTACAGCCCCATGTAAATCATCACATATTATGCTGAGGCTAAGTTAACTGTCAATTTAATTATTTTTTGTCCTTTTCTTTGAATCAGTCCCAAAGTATCGCCTTATTTAACCCAACTTTGTTATCCAACTTTTTAAACATACGCAATATCCAACGCAACATGTAATTAACAAACTGCGGATCAGATTTAAGCAAGTTTAAACAGGCTATTTAATATGCCGGTCTTCTTCACAGATGCCGGCCTTCTTCACAGATGCAGACAAAGTAGCCTAGAGTCAACTTATAATGACTGATGAGTCATAAAATATAACTACATCTCAGGAAAAGCGTTAAATTAAGTGCATTTACCTTAATTCACCTCTTGCGCTCATAAAAACATAATGTTATGTAGCTTAGGAGACGCTTTGACTAAGTAAGTGTCCCATACAAAGGGGAACTACACCATTTTTTCAAGATTTCTGCCTAATTAAATGGTTTAGATGCAAAGTCATTCAGAGTGATTTGATGTGAGACGATTCATTGCAAAGAAACCTACCAAGTCAGAAGTGTGGTGGTGATAGGAACCAGACGTCTGAAGAGTTTAACATCTCTAAATGCTACATCACAGGAAGTTCTTATACAAAATAGTTATGCTGCCTGATGTCTGAGACACTGTTTTACAACAGAAGACACAAGTAGGTTCACTGGTCATCTTGGATAGTAATTAAAGTGGACATATTTGTGTTGTAGACAATGCAACCTCTGGTTCCCATCACCACCAGTGTAAAGGAATCTAGGTATTCAAGCTTCTCTTCAGTGAATTCTCACATCAAACCACTCTGAATGACTTTGTTTACATCTGAGTTATGACAGAACTATGCAGAATTATTGAAAAATAAAATTTCCCTTTAAGATGCAATGAGCGTGCTACTAGTTGACTCAGAACTGTAATACAATGGCAGTACAATTTTCTCATTATCTATTCATCAACATGATCTGTTTCCAAACAAATAACTCGACATTGCACGCATGACAGCTCTAATAAGAGTATTATGATACAGTTTGCTTTCTCTTTTTAGCCGATTTAATCCACACAGCCACAGTTCTGAACCTATGAAAAGCCCTGAGACTCATTGTTCTCCCCTCATACAAAAAATCATGGGAAACTGGAGATCATATTGCACAGTCTGATCTCTACTGGCCTACAAGAACAAAAGCATTACTGCTCACATGCAAACCGAACAGTACAGAAAGGGAGAAAGCAGGTAGTTGTACACATCACAGGTTGACTCACATTCTCACTTCAGATTTCTGTTGGCCTTGAGATGTTATGTCCGAGCTCGCGTCTGGCGTGCCTTCTTCTGCGTTCAAACTCGTCTGTGAGGAGACCCAGACTTTCTTTGCAAAGTACTTCTCTCTCGTGGACAACTTCACGCTCCTGCGCTTTTCAGTTATGACCTCCTCCGCGCCGCTGAGAGGTTCTGCTGGTCCTGCTGTGCCAGTTTTCAGCTCCACTGAGGCCTGAGACAACTCTGGCTTAGAACCTGCTGCATGCGGAAGGACGGGGGCACTGCTGATGTCCGTCCCCTGCACAGGTGAGCTCCTACCTGGGCTGTCTGCAACGGGCGTGGCCAGAGTAGGTGAGTCGATCTCTTCCTCTTCCATGTGCGTTTCCACCAACACGGCTTTGTGCAGCTGCACGGGCGAGGGCGAGGCCTGGCTGGACCCCTCCTCCACCTCAGGGGACGAGGCTTTGGTAGGGCTGAGCACCTCGCGAGAGCTGTCGCTCAGCTTGCGGGACCTCCTGCGGCCCGAGTTCCGTTTCCCCATGCTGTCACCGTCACCCTGCTCCAAAGAGCTCTCAGAGCTTGACTGGTTTCTGGACCCTGAGCTGAGTGTGACCCCAGTTAGAGCGGTGTAATTTCCTTTACCTCCCAGTACGGGTTTCAGAGCGATCTTTTTAAAGTCCGTCCCCCCTGCGACACCTGGAGACTTGAGTTCACAGGGACTCTTCACAGGAACCTCGACGCATTTCTTAAACGTCGTCTGCGTGATCTGCTGCTCGTCTCCGTTGGTCACACTGGTCTCCTCCAGGAACACCTGCAATTTCTTACTGACCTCCCTTACTAGACGCTTGGCGCTCTGGTCTTCGCCGCTCTGCGGCCGGGTCACCTCCCTCACGCTCCCGCGGCTGCTGCTCTCGCTGTCGGCGAACGGCAGGTCTCCTCCATCCGTGATGATGGAGGCCACGCTGCGGACGCTGGGGCTTCCTTTGAGCCTGACCTCGGAAACAAACACCTGGTCTCCCTCTGAGCTACCTGAAGAATGCCTCAGGCCTGCGGACGCCTCTGGATTGTCGGGGCTGGTAGCTGTGGATGCATTTTCACCTGCTTCACCGGATGCGGTCCTGCTCTTTCGTTTCTTCGAGAAGAATGTCGTGACCCGGCTCAGCACGGTTCCCTTTTCGCTTGAGCTCTGCCGTGCAAAGAGAGAAAAAAAACAAACATGGTTAGAACTGTGCCTCCTGTACCAAGGAGGTGTCATACCTGAAAACCATCCAACACATGGAATCGCAACTATTTTTCCAACGTATGAACATTCCAATGTAACCACCAAATGTCAACACTTCCCCGATCGCTTTGAAGCCAGTGTTCCCGTAAAGACCAGAACATCATCCCCAACTTCCAGCCAATAGATGAAAATGAAAAGTTGAGCTAAAACGAAGTTCAGTAAGTTCAGTCTAGTTAATAAGTGTGGTGAAAATGTCTGTGGGCGCTGAATTTCCACACTGTGTCTCCTGACAGGGAGGCCCAAGCTAATGTAAGCAAAGTCTCCAGACGACTTTCCAGCATAAAGCAGTTTTCCCTCACATAGCCACGAACGTGGCAGCCTGCCATCTAGACCCGTTAACGGCTGATGCTGATTTACAACAGAGCTCAGCGAAAACTCTGCGGAAGGATCAACCTCATAGCAGTGAACACTGTAAGCCTACAACATTGTATGGCAAAGAAACCCTTTTCTTTAAAGATATCCGAACAGTTAGGATACAAAAAAACAGATGATTAGATTCAAACAGCAGCACTCTATAAAGTTTATTTAAAATCCCAAACTTGTCCATCTTAAAAACCCACTACATCAGCATGCACTTAAGAGCTACTCCATTAAGGATGCAGAGGCTAAACAGACGCCTGGAGAGATCACATTACACGTTATTTGCATCACAATACAGTCATTGATCAGGAAAAAGAAGCTTTACCTTACAAAGCCAAGTTGACAGCTGTACACATGTCGGCCAAGCTAAGAAAACAGGAGCCAATAAAGTCACAGATATAAAGGAGGCAAGAAGAAGCGCCTACATGCCCAGGCCTACCTGACCGCTTCAATGATTCACTGTCTTTTCCCTCTCAACTGCGCGTGTCACATTAAGACAGGGCAGACTTTTTCCCCCACCCGTATTCCGACAGTATGTTGTGATTGGCTGGCATTGTCCCACCTCCTGCACTAGGATTGGCTGAAAGTGAGCCGGCTCTTACGCTGTGATTGGCCCGTCATATCACACCTCCTGCTTTAGGATTGGCTAGTATTTTCCCGCTTCCTGCCCTACAGACCGTCTCCTGCCATATAATAGGCGATGTGTCCAGCGCTGTGATTGGCTGGTAGTCTCCCTACTACGTTTCCTATTGGCCATTGAGTACCCTTGCGCAAGAGACGGGGCTTGCCGGAAAACAGGTGGGAAAAAAAATACATGCATGGCACGCTCTTTGGAAAATGTTCTTAGTCCGCCTTTCCCGCCCCTCCCCTCCCCTCCCCCTCCCCCTCCCCCTCCCCCTCCCCTCCCTTTTTCTTTCTTGTTGAAACTCTACACGGCCTCTGAGAGCAACTAACACCCCAAAATAACGCATTAAATTAGCGAAAGGAATGTCCTGATTAGATTTAACTCACCATTTTATATCCCGTGGCGGAGTGAACCCGGTTGGTCAGCTACCTGTGGCTGAACGAAACCGACTCAAATCCAGTCAGAGCCAAAAACCCCATAAACTTCTCAACTTTCCGAAGTAGAAACCCCAACAAATCTGTTCACTCGCTGAATAGCAGCTTGGCTACATGTTGTCCTTGGTTATAACTACTGTGCCGGTGTTTGTGAGTCCAAAACGCTGAGAAGACTTTGGTTGAAGTCGAAAGTAAGCGGGCTAGGCTACAAGCTTAGCTTGTGTTGGCTGATGTCAGAAGCCCAAATATGTCGCCCAGGTAGGTTTCATACAAAATACCTTCAGGTATTGCACAACTGCGGGACAAAGTCAAACGCTTCCACGAATGAATCACCCGCTTGTAAAGGCTATTTAGCCTATGGAGACGGCCCTGAGCCAAACAGCCACACCCATGCTGCTACACTCAGCTGCTTTAGCCTAGTCTGAAGCAAAACTCCTGAAATAAACCTGATTTTAAGGTGAACTCCACCAGTTTTTAACAAACGTATGCATGAGTAAATGGTTGAGACGTCAACAAAGTCAGTCAGAGTGGTTTGGTATGAAATGCCTTGTTCTAGAGAAACTCACAGAGTCAGAACTGTTCACAGTGGTGGTGATAGGAACCAGACGTCTGAGGAGTTTAATGCTCCCTCACAGAAAATTATCACATGAAATGCCCTGTCTGATGTCCGAGGCATTGTTTTAGGGTAGTTTTGTGACAAAGTTTTGGTCTAAAATGTATTTTAATCAGTTTATTTTAATCTGTTTGTGGTGGAGGGGTACATGTAGGGTGTTCTAAGGCAAAACAAGCCCCTAAAAACCTTATTTTATCAGATGTTTGACAATTTTACAATCAGCGTTACACAAAAAAACCCAGAAGACACAAGTAGGGTCATTGGTGGTTTTGGATAGTAAATAAAAAGGCTATATTTGCATATACACATACTCCTGGTTCCTATCACCACCACTGTAAAGAAATCTGAGTCGGTGAGTTTCTCCGCAAACGAACCACATCATATCAAACCACTCTGAATGACTGTTCATATCTCAACCACTGAATTAGACAGGAATTTTGAAAAACTGTTGAAATTCTCCTTTAAATGTGATCTGGTTAGCAGCCTGTTATGTTCGGCTACATGCCTTCAGATTTTTTTTGGTGGCTCTGCCTGCTTTTATAATTTTTTTTTAATGCTAATACTTTTTATTTAACTAAGGTTAGGAGGAAAAATATCCAGTTTTTCCTTAGTTACATTTTGTTTCTTCATATGTCGTTCCTAATTCCTTTTTTAACTTTCATTTTTCATTTCTGTCACGCTGGTTAAAGCGTGCGGTTGCTCATACCTAAAGCTCTAGCATTTCACGTTTGACCAATCCTAAAACTTCAGTTCCTGTCCTGATAGATGCTGGACATGCTAAGTTCCACTGAAGTTCTATAGGAAACTCATTTATGTGACCTTTTTTTTTATTTCATCATAATTTTGGTTTGTTTTTAAAGCAACTGTTGCGTCTACATGTTCATTTAAGTAAATTTAAGGCTAGGATTCAAAAAAGGAAAGACATGTGTGGGTAGTATTCAACTAAACCTGTTCACAGGCTCCGATTTCCATAGTAACATAGTAAGTTTTCATATTATTTCCATAGATCCTACTGTCAGCACAATGGAGATCCTACTACAGTCATGAGGGAGTAAGACTGGGCTGACAGGACTCCTTTGTTTCAGACATCCTGTTTAAACACGGCTCCCCCTTTTTCTCTATCCTGCTTCATAAATCACCCAGCAGCTCACCTGGAGGAGGATCCGTCTCTTCAGGTGCGATTTTTAAGGGTAAGACAGTAAGGAAACCAAAACCTACAAGTACAGAAGACACTGTTTTTGACTCACCTTTGTTCTGGTATATGATTTCTTGTGATAAGATAGCCGGTGACCTCGTTCACCAAGACTGGCTCAAAACAACGAGCTGACCGCATGAATCTCCATGACACTGGTTAGTTCCTTGTTCTGTTTTATGGCTTATACGCAGTCACTAGTCCAGGTGTGCATATGGACGATAAGGAGTACTGCATGAGCCAAGAACTTTTGCTTAAACAAGGGAGGTAAACAAGGGAGGACTCATGTTCATAATGGAGAATTAATCCTTTTAATGACTCACGCGATATTTAGCCATTAACTCAGCCCACCTCAGTGATGACACAGGCTTCGCAGTCAGCACTATTTGATTGGCACGAGAAGCGTTCGGCCTGTAAACATTGGCGCAGTGTTCATGTCCCTTACATGCAAAAAAGATCAGTATTTTATAGGTTCTGAAATGAGACACATTGTCCATAGTGTCTCTAAGTTCAGTGACTTTTGTCATAAATCAGACTGCTATTCTGAAGTGGATCACATAAGCATTTCAAGTCAACATTCAACACTCAGTCTGTAGAAGGATCACTGTATTTCCATCCACATTGCCAATCACTCTTAAAAAAGATGGTTCTTCAAGGGTTCTTTAGTACAGGGAGTGGTTCAGTTTAGAACCATGAGTTCTATATTGAACCATTTGATGCTTAAATGGTTCTTTGCATGGTGAAATGGTAATTCAGATTGATGGGAACTGTGTTGTATATAGAAAATGGTTCTATATAGCATCAAAAAGGGTTCTTCTTATGTTACAAGCTTGACATCTTAACAATAGAAGAACCCTTTTTGGTGCTATATAGAACCATCTGATGCTTAAATGGTTCTTTGCATGGTGAAATGGTAATTCAGATTGATGGGGACTGTGTTGCATATGGAAAATGGTTCTATATAGCACCAAAAAGGGTTCTTCTTATGTTACAAGCTTGACATCTTAACAATAGAAGAACCCTTTTTGGTACTATATAGAACCACATGCAACACATTCTACATCAATCCGAAGAATCATTTCATCATGCAAAGAACTGTTTAAACATGAAGTGGTTCTATACAGAATGCATGGTTCTAAATAGAACCACATATATAGCACCAAAAAGGGTTCTTCTATTATTATACATTTGACATCGTAAAACAATAGAAGAACCTATTTTGGTGCTATTTGGAACCATTTTTAAAAATGTTCCATATAGAACCATATACAAAACATTTTTAGGAACCATACAACCATGCAAAGAACCATTTAGACATGAAGTGGTTCTATACTGAACTTAAGGTTCTAAATAGAACCACATATATAGCACCAACAAGGGTTCTTCTATTGTTACACGCTTGACATTGTAAAACAATAGAGGAACGCTTTTTAGTGCTCTATAGAACCAGTTTCTAAAAGGTTCTATGTAGAACCATATACAACACATTCTCCAACAACCTGTGGAACCATTCAACCATGCAAAGAACCATTTAGACATGAAGTGGTTCTATACAGAACTTATGGTTCTAAATAGAACCACATATATAGCACCAAAAAGCGTTCTTCTATTGCTTTACAATGTCAAGCGTGTAACAATAGAAGAACCCTTTTTTCTATAGAACCATTTTTTAAAAGGTTCTAT